CTACTACTTCAAAAGGTTTCATTTAAGGTTTTGAACTTTGCTAACAGCGTTGAGCTAATAGCTGTTTTTAAACAGAATAGCATAACAGGTTTATCTAGTATGAGAGGCTTAAGTGTCTTATTTTGAAGTCTTCTTCTTCTTAACTTTAATGGCAATTTTAAAGTCTACCTCAATCACGCTCAATTTGACATTTGTAACTTATTCATGAACTTATATAACTATTTACGTTCAACACGTTTTAGTCGTAAATATCCTTGAGAGTTATTGAGATATGTGAAACCAAAGAGTTTGTGTGCAAACTACTAGAATTGAATACTAGCTACAATCTTTCAACGGATTTTATTAAAATTCTATTATGTATCATGTCTCATTTCATACTGCAAATTGCACAAACGTCTATTAAATTTTTTATTTCTTTTTGTTATTAGCGACACTACTCATACAAATTTGACACTCATTAGAGTTTAAAGGCGTCATTCAACCTTAATGGACGTTTGTGCAACTGACCATAATTGATTTATTTTTTAAACTAATGTTTTCCTATATATCGCTATTTCTTTGAAAGGGATTGACATAGATTTTGAAAATAGACGATTAGCCCGCAGGTATATCTCTAGACGTGAATTTTGTATAAGCGACGACGATATTTAGTGTACGGTTTCCCAAAATAGATATCCATTTCCGTCTCGATGAGTCAACCAAACATTTGGCAATGGTTTCCTTGTCCGGATATTTATTTATAATCCACGTATCATACTAGGTTTCTCGCAAGAGAGTTAATATTTTTGCTCATTCTTGATGATGTACCGGTTGGTGCAATTTTTTTAACCCAATTTGAAATGAATAGGATGTTTTTTTTCATTTAAGAAAAATTTTCTCGCGCTACATTTGCAAAATTTTTGTAAAACCTTTAAATTAGTGTTGTTGCCATTAAGTATATTATACACATTTTCAGTATTATTAATAAATAAGATTTTAGCGTTGGAGTAAATTTACGCTGAGACGGCACTTAGTATCGGCCAAAATGCGCAGACTAAATAGCAAAGGTTAACCTGGTATGAGGCTCTACAGAAGTAATATCTACTCCAAGAAGGACTTATACTAAAATTTCAAATTTAGTGTATATTTACTCTGACTCTAAACCTTGTTTATTGATAGCACTATATATGAATACTGTTTTCTTAATAAACTTTTTAAGTTTGATCTATAAACAAGTTGATAAAAGTATCATGACTGGATAAAAGGTACTGAAAAAAGACTCTTCATTATAATCGTTTCCACGCGGACGCCGCCGTTAATTGGAGGAAACGCCTCGATTTCATAGGGTTGACACTTTATAATCTAACTTACTTTTTCTTTATTCCTATGATATCCTCAAGATTCAAGGTAAACTATTAAGATTATTATACACTGAAAAAGAATACTTTTGTTAACGTAAAAATCTTGTGAGTACTAAAAATATGATATTATAATTACTTCGGCAGTTGTCAGAGTTGACGAGTACTGAAAAGTGTAATGATGGTTTTGTTGGTGGGTTATAAAAATATATATAAAAAGAAAACAGATAGTTCTGTGTAGGTAATTTTGTCTAGTAGTTTCGAAGCCTATTCGAAGCAAACAAACAATCAAATCTTTCCTTTTTATAGTATAAGTATAGATATAAATTTTATGTATGTTGGGAACATATACCTATAAAATTATGACAAGATATTAAATATAACTTTTTGATATCGCTACATGTAATTTTTTCGTGAGTTTTTAACAGTCCACTTCAAGTGAAATTCCCATTAATAGAGGCAACCCTAACCAGGCATCGTTTGAATTGAAATCCTAGGGGCATGAGAGGGCGGAAGGCTGTTGAAGCACCCCTTTTAAGGTTAAAAGAAAAACCACAATGTGCGCTCTAACAGTATAAAAACTGAATTTTAGGCACTTATTGTATTTGAATGGAATAGCTGAATCTGAATAATTAATCGACTCGATCTCTAAGTAGAAGACTCAGATAGTCCATAATACGAGGGTTGTAGCTACTCATCTTGGAATCTGAGAATCTGACCAATGTAGTGTCGTAATGCTATCTAATATTTATTTATTCTGGTTGCTTCCGTGAAAGCCCGTTATTTCCAGGTATAATTTTCCTTCCGATAAATTATTTTTTCAGTCTATACATTTGTAAATAATAGCCTGAAACTAATCTTCACGGATTTGATTTTCCAAAATTTATAAGAACGAATAATTATTCTATAAATTTTCGTTCAGAGGGCAAATAGAAAAGGCCCTTACATGTTAGTACGATTATAAAGACACGGATACAAAGTGACAGAATATGAAAAAATATTTATTGAAATAGGCTTATAAATAAACATATTTTTCAATTTTTCCATTAAAATATTTTAATGAAGTTGGGTGGAGGTTTTCTGTAGGTTATTAATTAAATGAAAGGACTTCAATAGAATTTTCTTGAGTAATCCGCTGTTGAGATAAATATTATTGATCACTTTTTAAAGGTTGAAGTCAGTTCTATATTTTTTTAAGATTTTTTCATGATTTTCAGTGATATTTATATTTTTTTTATAATAGGTAACATAGTTAAAGTCTTAGAAAAGAAGATTTTGTTTATTTGCCCAACATCATTTTTACAATAATCTATATTCATATTTTAAAGAGGAAAGATTTGATAGCTTGTTTGTTTGCACTGAATAGGCCCCGAAGCTACATAATACGGGAAGCTACATAATACGCGTTGCACACAGGCTATAATTTACGCAGACGTAGTCGCGGGAAAACAACTAGTTTGTTAGAAATTGGCTCAAGATTTTGATTGATTCATGAAAAAATAGATTGATATATACATACACATACTCCTTTTACAGAAAATCCTCCTCGGATTTTGAATGAATTCCAAATACGCAATCATTTGTTTTTTAACTGAAATACATACATGTGATACCTACAATACATGTGATATAAATATTTAGGTTATATATGGAGGAAACCGTTTTTTGTTTTGTTATAAAAGAAAAACTACTGATTCGACTTCGATAACCTCGGTCCATTAAGTTGTCGAATAAATAAAATAAATTTAGAAATCGGAAACTATTTGCGGAATTATCCGTGAACATACATAAAACAAAAAAAAACATACATCGCCGTCGAACTATAACCTCCTCCTTCTCCTCCTTTTGGATTTTGAAGTCAGTCAAAATCTTTTGACTGAGACAGAGAAACTGATATGAAATATAATGTAATTTTCTATTTTTAATGATAATTATTTCAACTTTATTAATTTGTACAATACTAGTTGAAAGTTATTGATGCGCCCTATTAATTTTAAATATATCTAGATTGTCAAAATTTTACCTACCTAGGTGTCAGAAAAAATAAAAGATACTGCTGAATTATATATTACACTGTGAGCTTAACGGTTGAGCTGAATCATTTGAACCGTAATCTATAGTTAACTCAATAAAGGGGCTACTTGGCATTTGATGGTTCTTAAATATCGGTTGTAGGGCATTATTATTTAATGATTGTTAGCAAAACATATTAATTTATGGTTTTAAATATATATATCATGATCCTTTACGTACATGCTATAGTTAGAATAAAAATGTAATCTTTGACGATAGCCGACTCGCCGAGTATCGTCAAAGATAATTTTGCACGCAGATTTCAGGAGGCTAATTCTACTAAATAAATTTTGTTTAAATCGAATCGAAAACGGATCGAAACCGAACGAAACTACAGTTTTTAATTTTTTTTTCTATTTTACAAAGTGACATACGATACAATTCCAGCTAAAATAGAACTGGAATTGTATCGTATGTCACTCGATTTAAACAAAATTTATTTAGCAGAATTGGCCCCCAGGTATTCGGTAAAACACTGGATTATTATTACGTGCGGGCTGACATTGAGCTTCCTATTTCTCAAAATCAATCATTTGATACTTTCAAAGCAGTAAAATATGTATAGTTTAATTTTAAAATAATTAAAGTGGAATATTATAAATACAAAGGTTTGCTGTAGATTTCAGAGAAGAGTTCGGAGATAAAAATTCGGTTAACGTATAGTCAGCGGTGTTTGAGATTTTTATGAACAGAAAATTACATTTTGTACACTTGTCTACAAATTTTTCCTGTATTTATAATCGGACGTCACTATAGGTCATTTATCTATAGTTTCTATATTGTTCTTTTCTCACTAATATTTACTAAAATACTGAATTACATTTGAATTGCTTGTGTAAGTCGTGATCCTAATTTGTTTCATTCGAATTTCCATTTCAATTGGCAATTGCTTTCAAGGTTTTATGTTTCTTTTGAATTACATTATAAATCACAGTGATAATTATTGGCATTCTTGGCAAAGTCGACGTTGCCAAGTGCCAGTGCATATAATGACTAGTGCGAATAGCGACGAAACAATACGGCGTTATTAATAATAATAACAATTTTATTGCATTCAAAATAACATACAAGATACGACAGCTGCACAGATTCACGTCTTGTCCGCTGGCCCTTGCGTCGGTTAGATATCTCTATGACCGTGCTGTCATCTGCATACCCAACAATGCCTGGAGTTAGCAGGTCATTAATGTGCAACAGGAAAATGATCGAAAAATAAACATATGCACGAACTCTCTCCCTCTCATCTCTCCTTCTCCCCTCTCCCTCTCCCCTCTCCTTCTCCCTTATCCCTCTTCTTCTCCCTTCTCCCTCTCTCCTCCCTCTCGCACTCTCCTCCTCTCCCCCTCACCCTCTCACCCTACCTCCCCCTCTCCCTCTAAAAATTTCGCATTGTTGTTCTCCAGAAACAGTGTCAGACAACTGACACGGTGATACTGTTGCAACATAATTTATTAAAAAATTAGTTTTTTAGGAGTTGTATTAGCGTTTCTAGAATAAGCGAAATTACGTTTTAGGAGACCTACAGGCTACTAATAACACATTAGAAAGGTATAATAGAATAATTCACATGATGATTCTTTATTTTTCCAGGAAGACATGGTATGTCTTTCGTGCACAGCTACTGGTGAGAGGGTGTGCTTGGCTGCTGAAGGTTTCGGCAACAGGCACTGCTTCCTTGAGAATATAGCAGATAAAAACATACCACCGGACCTCTCGCAGTGCGTCTTTGTTATTGAACAGGTCAGATATGAAACAATATTCTTGCTATTTAACTGAAATGTACATAATATATTATTTTTGTCATGTCTGCGGCCAGAGGCGTGACAGCCTGATTCTCAAGCCTTAGAGTACGTCATCTTTGCGATATTTTGTTTTATTTTATTACTTTGATATATCTTTTAGTAGATAAACGATAAGTTGTCTTTGACATAAGTTTGTCGTTATTGAAGTATATGTGAAAGTATTAAAATTGTAAACAATGTCACCGTAACATCGTAAAGATATCGTATATTTTGGGTAGGCTAGAGTCGTGGCTGGAGAACTCGGCAATCGCACCCCAGATTTAAAGTTTGCTCAATCATAGTACTTTTCAACCCTATTTTTAAAAACCTACTATTTGTGGGGCAAAAAATAACAATTAAAATTCTTTCGAATTGCAGCATTAAGTACCTACTGGCCAGTAAACTACAATTGAAACATACATATTTAAGTTGTTCTTTTTGCCGCATAACATAAGGCCATGTTATGCGGCATTCCCTAAGACAGCATGTTCAATTAATTTAATTTTCTAAATCGAGCAACAATAAATAATAAATGTATTCGATCAACAAATTCTTATTTTGTTTCCAGGCTCTGTCGGTGCGAGCGCTACAGGAGCTCGTTACTGCCGCTGGATCTGAAACGGTGAGTACAATCTTATAAATGCCAATATCTATGTATATTTAATTATTATATATGTTACACTTGAGTTTTAACTGTTACACCTCTCTGTAATCTTGTTCACCTTTGAATAATCTTTTATATAACTAAACCCAAATCATGTTATTCATAAAAAATGTGTCTATGTGTCTTTCTACCTGTTTTAACCATTATGAGTGTAAAAAAATCGATTAAGTTCATATTTTCAATTAATAATTGACACAAAGAAAAGAATAAGAAAGAGAAAAAAAGAAATTGACAAAAATCGACAATTTCTGTTGAACTGTGAATAGTCGTTAATAATTAAATAAACCTATGACTTACGTAGAACTAAAATAATTAAATTATACGTTCGAGTTTTTTTTTATGAATAATACAGAAAATATGTGTGTGTAAAAAAGATTTGCTGCGAAACTTTACTTTTACTTTTAAAATTTTTTAAAGTATATAAATATTGGACGATAACTTAATAAGATGTTAATTGACTAAGCGAATTATTTCCTTTTTCATTTAACAACGATTTTTAATTGCAATGTGTAGTGGCCATACGCCATCGTCCATATTTGTGGACCGTAGCCTTTCAATCTTAAAAAATCATTGATACTTTAAGGAGTCACTATGGTTGTTTCTATAAAAGGTGATGATATAAATATTAAGGAGGTTAAAGTAGTGTACCATATAGCGTTCACTCTCTGCCTACCGTGCAATAAATTAGTGTTAAAGATATACGATAATAAAATGCAAGAATTGTAACAACTTAATAATTTTCCTGTAATTTAATTGCTTTGACAAATCGAACGTCGCCAATAAACAGAGGAAGAAATCGTTTTGCCAGAGGTTTCGTATTTGATTTTATTTATATATGTAATTTGAAACAATTTTGATTTCTGTTATCATTACCATATGAATTAAAATGCAATTCAAATGCCAATCAAATGCAATGTGAGTTACAATTGCATCGTGATCTACATGGTAAGATTTCAGTTATTTTTGGAATCTTTATCTATACATTGTCCAATATTTTTATACGTATTTATGAAAGATAAAGTAAATTTCAATATAAAGTTTATATAAAAATAAAAAGTGTTGCAGCAAACTTATAAAAGTTCACTCAGTGTCGCCGCTAAAGGTTTTAAAAGTCAAATCGTAATGTTTCTTTACACTTTGTTCAGTGTTAGTTAACATATGAAATTTCCTATTGTGAATAATAGTACCTACCCTGAAGAAATTGCTTAATTTTCCAGGGAAAAGAAAATTTAGTGAGTATTCTTTGGATTCGGTAACAAAAACTGCATGAGAACCATAAAAACTAAATTCTTATAAATTGGCGTATTTTTTTTTGTTTTTTTTTTCGTACTTTTTATATTACCTAACGATAAAATCTTTTCGACATTCAGTGTCTTAACCACAGTAGATATGTGCTAAAACAGTAATGTAACTGACAGATAACTAAATAAAATAAAATAAAAAATCTGAAGCAACGACAATGTGTCGCCACATCACTCCAATGTTGACTGTTAGGGAATGGTTTAGGAATTAAGTCCGCCTTTGTACTTGTGCATGAAGAATTAATTGAATAAATGAATGGTACCACCATCGTCCAATTAAAAGATCGATTAAGAATATAATAATAACGTATTATATAATATGTATTAATTTAACTTATTTCGGACGTTTTTAGATAAAAAATAACCATTATTTCAATTAATTTGAATTCCATTATTTCAATTTGAATTTTTCTAAATTAATGTATGACTAATTTTTTCTACCTCTAATAAGTTGCCATTTCCAAGCTACAAGCAGAATTCTTTTTTCCTTGATAAAGAAAATCTGATATACTAACTATATTAAAGAAATAAATAATATGTATTGACTATTTCCTCTGAAAAAAAAAATACCACTATTAAATTATAATATTAACGCCATCTTTTATCAACCAAAACTAATTAAACCGTGACACGTTCTGCTATTTAATTAAGGTCATAAAAGCAGAATGAAAGTTAGTTTGAATTTAGACGCCAATAAGTACATGCAGTAGGTACTGTTTTAGCATAATCTATTATGAAATTCTATATCATAACCTTCATTATTGTGTTAATATTAAGTCTATCTAATGCATGCACATTTAACACTTTCTTTGGATGTATACTGATTTTGGCGTTTTATTATAATATTTTAAATGTTTTATCTAATCAATTACATCCATAGAAAATTTTCTAAGGATTTTTTTCTTTTCTATTTGTTAACCATATCAGTTGTCCGTACTTTTTTTTATAAATTATTTTAAGTTGTGATGTTGCTTAGAAAAAACCATTTAATACTTTCAAAATAAATTTCAAACATATGTTTCAAAATAGTTTAAAGATTAAATATTTATATCTTAACATTTTCTGCTTTATATATCTATACCTAACTATTATTAATAATTATGGTAAGTACTCAAATTTATGTTTTAAATATAAATGTTATTGTAACAATTTTATTTATTTGATATATTTCCAATTTGCACTAATGTATACAAATTAGTATTTTTCTTCGAATCAATCATTAAATAATTCTGTGGTTTCACTGACTTTCAAAACACAGATCTATTCAATTATTTATCAAAGCACTTTTCTATTTATCAGCATGTAAAAAACAATATTATTTACGGCAATATTTTTCTTATTTAATCAAGAATACATAAGTTCGGCATCATAATGTTTTTATTACATTTTTGAAATAAACAAAATATATTTTTTAATCCGCTTAGGTCATAGATTCCATTGTTTTATCTGTTGCAGGGTAAAGGCACTGGCTCTGGACACAGAACGTTACTTTACGGCAATGCTATTTTATTGAGGCACTTAAACAGTGATATGGTAAGTAAAATTATTTAAGAGAAAGACTGCGCCTTAGAAGAAAGAAAATATTGGACTATTTAAAAGAGTTATAGGGGCATTAAGCCCATTACGATAATTGACATGGTCCCTTAAGTCCACCCGTAAACCACTATACAATTATGCAAAATTGCTAATGAATTATAACAGAATACAATGCAATTTACACTTATAATCAAATGTTAACCTTCTTGTACTCGATTTTAAATGGAACTTTCTGTTTCCATTTGAATAAACAAATTTTTGACTAGTGTTTCGGTCGTATATCGATTTTACACTTTAATTTGTCGTCCATCGTTGAATATACATGTTAAAATACATACATAATATTTAAAATAAATTATTGCTTTCATGATATAGATGTTGTTGTTAACAGTATCTCGCATGTCTGTCTACGTCGTCGTCCCAAGATAAGCTGGCTTTTGATGTAGGTCTGCAGGAACATTCGCAAGGGGAAGCTTGTTGGTGGACTCTACATCCAGCCAGTAAACAGAGGTTTGATAAATATAAGGCATTAATTTATATACAAAACTAAAATTGAATAATCAAATGGGTCTATGTTTTTTAAAATAGCACTATTCCTATGACTAACTGTTTATTAGTTATTTAACGTTGATATTAATTGATACCGTTGAGTTTTTAATTTTTAATTTTAGATCTGAAGGTGAAAAGGTCCGAGTAGGAGACGACTTGATTTTAGTATCAGTTGCTACAGAAAGATACTTGGTAAGATTACATTAATTTATACAATGTATTTAATAGAGAAGAAGTTTGTTCATATTACTTTTTATACACTTCGTCTCCATCATCTGCGTTTTAATTTCATTATTATTATAGTTAATTGTTAAAAAAAATATTTGTTTACACTCATAAATTAAAAACCCATAATTATATAACAATATGTACATTTATACAGCACACGACGAAAGAGAACGAGGTGTCTATAGTAAATGCGTCATTCCACGTGACTCACTGGTCGGTGCAACCGTATGGTACTGGTATATCACGTATGAAGTATGTTGGATACGTGTTTGGAGGTGACGTGCTGAGGTTCTTCCACGGCGGTGATGAGTGCCTTACTATACCGAGTACTTGGGCACGCGAGGGTGGACAAAAGTTAGTAATTCGTTTATTAATGTTTTGTGAATTATATTTCCACAATACTGTCTTAATATTTATGTATAACACTTATTAAAAATACTCGAAAATTAATTGTGTCAGGTTATTTATAGTTTTTTTTTTAGATGAATAGGAGTGGCGACCAGTACTTATTATTTTATAGATAGACATGAAATAAATTAAAAAAATATTTAAAAAATATCATTCTTATAATAAGTTAAAGTGTAAAAATAAATTTATTTTTCAAAATTTCTCGTAAAAACGCCAGTTCTGTCATTGCATCGCTATGCCATCACGGCACTCTAAAACGAATATCGTTCTATATGCATAAGGTTGAGTTCTCTTAGTTTTGATATGAGTAAATAGGGCGTGACTTCATGCGCTAGTTGCAGTCATGTGACAACGAGCATAAATTTTTTTTTTCATAATTAGTTTAAGCAATGTTATAAATATAATAAGCGTAAAAGTGTGGTTATCGGTGATAGTATATTAAACACTACCAAAATTTATATATATATATATATATATAAATATTTGCTTTCGTTTACTGTCTACACCCATATTCTATTTCTAATTCAAAATTATCTGTACATTTAATGATCACTATTTTATAAACATAAATATAAAGAAATTCAGACATAAAGTTTCCATATCATGTGACAGCGTATATATTGGCCAGACCGGACAACGATCATTTTCTATGTACATTACGTGCGCAGTCCGTTACATTTAAACTTATTTCGCTTCATTTTATAATTTCATTTGTTTACAACTCCATAATAACTATATTTTAATGAAAGCAAACATGCCAAATATATCACTACTGTTATATAATATAAATTAACACTATTGAATTCCAAAATTAAATTAAATATAACATAAATTACGTTACATTTAATGAAAGTAATATTTCATAATTTTCAGACATTTACGTCACAACTGCAGTAGCTCAGACTTTCCTTATGGATAATTACAGTAGAATGGATCATAACTCCACGCTGACCCAATGCAGATTGGAGGGTATTAACGACTATAAATGCATCTAGGACCAACGGATTAACATGCCTTGTTAAGTATAGAGTACTTCGAAATAATTGCTTAAGTTGGTTAGCAACAACGATTGCGGGCCGCGGTGCTTATACACTATGCCACCAAGCAACTTAACTATTATTCTCATCCTCAGTATCGTGGTATACGAAGGTGGTTCGGTGATGTCTCAGGCTCGATCCCTGTGGCGGCTAGAGTTAGCGCGAACTAAGTGGGCGGGCGGATTCATCAACTGGTATCACCCAATGCGTATCCGACATATTACCACCGGACGATACCTGGGAGTCAATGACCAGAACGAGCTCTATTTAGTCAGCAGGTAATTATAAGTCCTCCACCGATTTATCAGATAATATAATTACTCTAAACTCTATATACATCTGATATATCACCATCGAGCTATCTTTATAGCCTTATATAGACTACTAGCTTGAATGAGTTTTTAGTCAGTAAGTTACTGTACGTACATATATTCAGAAAACTTATAAGCACATTTGAATGTTGAAGATAAGTTAATAACACAAAATAAATAAAACAGGCGCTTCTGTGCACTGACATTTATTTCGTCAGTTGACAACTTGCGTGGTATGTGCATCAGTGGCTCATCACGCCTATACTTATAGTTATTATACAAAATCCCATTCCTCGAGTTGTATGACAAGCAACTATATTTAGAAATGTTTTCGATTCTAGATTAGAATAAAGGCAAATTTTTAATGAAGGAGTTTGCCCCACTCCTTATATACAAAGCGAAACTGAGTTTTTTTTAATAACATGCAAACAGTCTAATTATTTTTCACTGATTTTTTATAACGACTGTTAAGATAAATTAAATTATGTCATAATATTTTATTTTTTATATAATTATTGTTATGGGTTAGAATACATGCTTTTACCCTACACTTTCTTAAAGGGAGGAAGCCACGACGGCATCTTGTGCGTTCTGTTTACGCCAGGAGAAAGATGATCAGAAAGTTGTATTGGAGGACAAAGATTTGGAGGTTATAGGCGCTCCTATCATCAAATACGGTGACTCAACGGTCATCGTTCAACACTCTGAGACAGGCCTGTGGTTGTCTTACAAGGTATTTATAAAACAAAGTTAAAATAAATTTAATTGTCTTAAAATACTTCCATGCTTCATCTCAGGGTGCCAGGGACCAAGTGGATTTTAAGTATTTTTCATTAAAAATATTTTCACTAAATAATACTTCCATACTTATTTCAAGATAATAACAAAACCATAGTTACACGACGGTTTTGACAACAAATTCATAAAAACTTTAAAAATAGAGCCGACTTCAACCTTTAAAAAGTCACTTATCTCAAAAGCGACTTATAAAAAAAATGCTATTGAAGTTGGGCGCATATCATTTAACTAATAACCTACAGAAAACCTCAGCCCAAATTTTAATTTCATGACTATCAGTGATATTAATATTTTTTATATAATAGGTATTATTAAAAATATCAGATATCTTTCTAAATAAATGTATTCAACATATTGAAAGCCTTAGAAAAGGAGATTTTGTTTATTTGCTCGACATAATTTTTTAAAATAATTTGTATTCATATTTTAAATAAGAAAGATTTGATTGCTTGTTTGTTTGCATTATTTGTTTGATAGACCCCGAAACTATTGAACCGCTTTATATAAGTTTTTCGTCTACGGGAAACTACATAATACGCGGCTGACATACGCAGGCAAAATCGCGAGGAAACAGCTAGTTTGATAGAAATTGGTTCACAATTCAAAACGAAAACATTGAACATACCCTTAGCTTATTATCCTAAGGAATTCTATATACGCTATCTTTTGTTTTTAGCTGAATTGGGCCATGTCACAATATTTATTCATATTTAGGTGATATCTGATGATTTGTTTTGTTATAAAAAGTTGTTTTGTTACTTATTCGTTTCTATAAAATTTAAATGGGTCCAACTCGGTCTATCAAGCTCTCAATTTTTTTTTGAAAATCTTTCAACATAGACGAAAATATCATACATAAAAAAAATATGCAATGCCGACGAACATATAACCTCCTCCTATTTGATTTTGAATCTTAATATTAATTGTATTGTAATACTTCCAGTCATATGAAACGAAGAAGAAGGGCGTGGGCAAAGTGGAAGAGAAACAAGCTATTTTACACGAAGAAGGAAAGATGGACGACGGCCTTGACTTCTCTCGCTCACAAGAAGAGGAGTCTCGCACCGCTAGGGTCATCAGGAAATGCTCCTCGCTCTTCACTAAGTTCATAAAGTGAGTTAATAAGTTATCAACCTACACACAATGCACAAGTATTTAGGCACTGTGGGTGAAAATACCATGTGAAAAACTAGCCATGATTTAGTGCAAGTTGTTATTTGTTCTAATTTAACAGAAAAAACGATTTAATCTAATTTTGACCAATTTACCCGCATCTGCTAAATTTTAGCCGAAGAAAGTAGAGAAGTGTGTGTATTTTAGATGATGTTCTTATAATTTTGTTAAAATAATTTCTTTGCAGTAAATTTGTTGATTTAAATAGTAGTAGAATATATAAAATACAAAACCGAATATTGGTTTACATAACTTCAAACCAGCTATTTTTTAAAAGAAGCTTACTGTTCTTATTCACTTAAATATGTTACCAGTGGTTTGGAAACGCTGCAAGAAAACAGACGTCACTCCATGTTCTTCGCGTCGGTGAATCTCAACGAAATGGTTATGTGCTTGGAAGATCTAATAAATTACTTTGCACAACCTGACGAGGATATGGGTGAGAAAACATATATTAATTAAAAAATGATCCAAAATGGCAGAATAAGCAAATTCTTTAGCTGTCTACAAATAAATTACACGAGTTTGAAATTTCGGCTGTGATTCTGTAGGCGTCTTAAGTACATTAAACAGTTCAGTTAAATGATGCAATTCAAGGGTTGTTTTGTTTCAAAGAGTTACGTTATTTTAGCGTTTTATCGCGAAGAAAAAAAAGACTCTTTCTTGTGGAATTTTCGGTTTGTCTGTATGAAGATACAAATCAAAGAGATTGCCACCAAAAACTGCAAAGAGGCTTTGAAACATATATTTTTTTAAATAATAATTATTCAATAACATATGTAGTTTGAGCTCATTTTTTTGCTCTATGGAAGATCTATGGTTCAAAACAAACTTGTTTAATTTTATTTGACTGATGCCAATTTTCTTCAGAACATGAGGAAAAACAGAACAAGTTCCGCGCCCTCCGAAACCGCCAAGACTTGTTCCAAGAGGAAGGTATCCTGAATTTAATTCTAGAAGCCATAGACAAGATCAATGTCATCACCTCCCAGGGTTTCCTCGCCGGTTTCCTGGCGGGGGATGAGTCGGGACAGAGTTGGGACATGATATCTGGTTACCTGTATCAGTTGCTTGGTAAGTGCTATTGTTTTTTCAAAATATAAAAAATAAATTTATGACATCCTTGTATAGTCAGTTTGTTTGATGCCTAGGCTACTGTTGAAACTTTCTGTGATAACGGGTCTAAAATTTGTCATGTTTGAGATTAGATTATTTATTCTGCGGAATTTTTTGGGGGGGCAAATTAAGATTTAAAAATTTTGCTTACACACGTAGCCCGGAGGCCTGTATCTTTAATATGGGTGATACGACAGTAGATACGCCCCTGGTTCTTAATAAACACAATAGTGAATTAATCTTAACCTTCATATTTCAAATAGGCAAGTATTTGCTATATCTGCCATCTGAGTCCTAACGCGCCTTATGAAGCATGGAAAATTTGAAATGCCAAAATTTTTGATCGACTTTTGCAAAAATGCCTTACTTCCACAATCGCGGACTGAATGCGTTAACTACAATCAAGATCGCCATCTTGACTACATTATAATTGTTTTGTTTTATAGCGGCGATCATTAAAGGCAACCACACGAATTGCGCCCAGTTCGCTAATTCGAATCGTCTGAACTGGCTGTTCTCACGTCTTGGCTCGCAAGCGTCCGGCGAGGGTACTGGAATGTTGGATGTGCTTCATTGCGTGCTTATAGACTCGCCTGAAGCTCTCAACATGATGAGAGTAAGTGACTATTAAATTTCATAATAAAATAAGAATTATCAAATAATATAATTTTTAGTAGATTAAGGTTTTGTTTAAAAATCACACGATACTCCTCAAGTTTAACATAATAGTGATTAACTAGAGTATCAATAAGAGCGCTGGTGAACTGTGTAACGGGTTTTGTAAAAAATACCTATTTCAGGCACTAGCTCTTTACAGTAATGTTATATACTTAACAAATTGTATTTCTATTATTATTTTAAGTATATAAAAAATTTATGATTATTATTTTGGTAAATTTTGCATTCATAAATTCCTCTTCAGCATTTTAATTTCCTCAATGTTAGGACAAAGGCTCTTCGAAAACGGGTCATAAATAATGTGCCGAGTATGCATTGATGGGTGTTAACCATGAATATGGAGTGGACGGAGTAATTCTTGATGAATATATAATTTATAAATATTTTCTGTAAAATAAAAAAAAATAAGATTAAATAAATAATAGTAAGATCAATTTCAATGCCTATTTCATTTGTCCAAGAACATAAATTGGGGAAATACATTCTTAGAATTTTGTTAAAATCATATATTTGAAAATGATCTGTACATCAGAGGCTGTATCAGGTCATACCTCCGTTGCATCAAATATTATCGAAAAAAAACTGTATTATTTTGAAGTTGTATTAGCATTTAAAAAATAGATGAAATTGAGTTTTCGGAAAAATAGGCCTTGATGTGTCATGTTAATTCATACATGTAGTATGTGATATTGTCTAAGATTCCTTTTAATACTAGTATTTTCTTTTTGTTGATATTTCTGATGGCCCTCCAATTAATTAAGCCTTCCAATGGCTTATATGCCCAAATTCAGTACATTGCGAACACACCATGCGAATAATGATTCCTTGTCTAATACAGGACGAACACATAAAAGTAATCATTTCCCTTCTGGAGAAGCACGGGCGAGATCCTAAAGTTCTGGACGTGTTATGTTCCTTGTGCGTCGGTAACGGAGTTGCAGTGAGATCATCTCAGAACAATATATGCGACTACTTATTGCCGGGCAAGAATTTGCTGCTACAAACCCAACTAGTGGACCACGTTTCGAGGTAATTTTAAACTTTATTACTTGCCAAATACAAATGATTGTCAAGTGAAGCAATAAAGCTGTTTTCGTTGACGTGTATCAGTGCAGTGATATGGTCAATTGTTTCATAAAAACCATAGTATTTCACAAAATTCCGTCTCAGTGAGCACCTACATTATTTCGCTACGTTGTTATTCTTTTCTCTAGCTGTAACTTTTAGATTCACAATATTTAATATATTAAAAATAAGTTTTCCGCTAGCGACTTCCCCCGTGTGATTCCTAAGGAACTCTTAGCAGGATAAATATAAATAAGATTATTTTTTAGCAATTTTGATATCGATTCATATCGTGACACGGATATAGTTACAATGAAAAATTGTATAGTAAATAACGGTTACTATAATGACGTTTTAATTCCCTGTACAAAACACCATTTTCATCCCCTTTCTTTGCAGTTTTTCGAGATAAAATGTAGGTTATGGTCTCCGCGTGTGATTTAGCTACTCGTACGAGCCGATTCATTGCAAACAAACAATCAAATCTTTCTTCTTTTTAACATAACTTTTTTAAAAAACCTTGTGATACCGATTTAAGTATTATTATCATAATCAGCGTTCGCCCGAATATCTTCGTGGGGAGAGTAGAGGGGTCAGCGGTGTACCAGAAGTGGTATTTTGAGGTAACGATGGACCACATCGAGAAGACCACGCATATGATGCCACATCTCCGCATAGGATGGGCTAACACTTCGGGGTATGTAGCTAAACTAATATTTATTATAATCAGTCCTTTTACATCCAACTGCAGCTGCTCAGGCCTTCCTTATGGATGGTAAAGGAAATTAAAAATTATTTCTTGAAATTAATATAATGGTAAACAACACTCAACGCTGAACCAAAGCGGATTGGAGGGTATTAACGACTGCAAATGCAGCCGGGAATAATGGTTTAACGTGCCTTACGAAGTACGGAGTTATTTTTGGATCACCCATCCCGTGTCCGACCGCTGCGAAGGTTGCAACAACGATCGCGGACCGAGCTAATATTATAAACGTAAAAATGTCTCTGTTTGTTTAAATATTGGAGAAAGTACGTCTTTTTACTAAGATGAAAAATGCGATGTAAAATTGTATACGAAATAGATTTATAATTTCTGAAGCTCAGACTACTAAAATCGCTTTCTATAAAGAACCATAGATAAAAAGAAGGATATATATAATTAATTAGGTTCAGAAATTCGTTTACATGTTTACATATATGAAAAGGTAGCAAAGTGGTAGAAACAAACTTACAGGTTTGTTATTTTTTTAATTTCACATTACACAAATTATTTTTTAAATTTCAAAATGCGGTTACATTATAAACACTTTAATTAAAAGGTTTTATTCACGTAATAGAATGACATAAGTCTAAATTTAATGAATAACTAATATACTTTTCACAAGGCAATAAGTTCTAGTTTTTATCAAACTGCTATCAACTGATTATTAAAAAACTAAAATCAGAAAAAACCTTTTTATTAGTGTTTAAGTAGAGTTTGAGATGTACTTAAATTTAAATATTCAATTCAGAAACCGGGAGTTAATCTTAAACCTTACAATCTGCGAAAGGCTTAACCGTAGTCTTTAAGGAAAGACTACGGTTTTAGCCACAGAATTTTGTTGCCCGCAGTAAATTTCTCAAGATTACGTGTGTAACAATAATTAACAGATACGTTCCGTACCCTGGCGGAGGTGAGAAGTGGGGTGGTAATGGCGTCGGTGATGACTTATACTCGTTTGGCTTTGATGGCGCGTTCTTGTGGGCGGGAGGTAGGAAAACTGCCGTAAATAGGACGCATGCTGAAGAACCTTACATCAGAAAAGGTTAGTATACCGACTACATATGGCTAATTTATTGTTTTACGAGAAGTATTTTAAAACATTTAATACAATCAGATTTACATTTGTTCAGTAAAAGTGTTAAAAATATTTTTATTCATTATTTTAAATTGTCAAGAATCAGTCACGTGACATTTTGAGTCATGACGTCACATTTCAATAAACATGAGTACTGATTGCACTCGCAGCAAAGACATTGTTTGTCTTTTCTGCCTTTGCTTATTGACCATTATTGAAATTCGACGTCAGAAGATTTACCTTCATGGTTGCGCGCGTTTCGGTTCTTGTAATCCACAGATTATAAATCATCGTCATCAGCCCTTTTACGTGCCCACTGCAGGGGCTCAGGCCAGGGATGGTTAAGAAGGATGGGCCCTGACCCTCCACGCTGACCCAATGCGATTTGGGGGGTATTAACGACTGCAAATACAAAGTAACTCGGGATAATAATCTTTTGATCACCCATCGTGATCGACCCTTGCGGATTTTGCTTAACAACAATGATTGCGAACCAGGGCGCTTATCCACTACGCCATGAAACTAAAGTATATTTTAATCCACTGTCTTTTATACAATATTTTGCTTAGGTGACGTCATCGGTTGCGCACTCGACTTGACAGTGCCAATTATCAACTTTATGTTCAACGGAGTAAGGGTCACGGGATCCTTCACCAATTTCAACTTGGAGGGCATGTTCTTTCCTGTTATCAGCTGCTCCAGTAAACTGAGGTAAAAACGTACGAACTCACAATGTTATCGTTACGTGACGATTGCTTTTTAGAGTTCCGTACCCAAAAGATAAAAACAGGACGCTATTACTAAAAGTTCGCAGTTCGTCTGTCTGTCACCATCCTGTATCTCATGAACAATAATAGCTAAACAGTTGTAATTATCACAGATGATGTATTTTGTTTGCCGCTACCATAAACAAATACTAAAAACCGAATAAAATATACCTATATTTAAGGGAGGCTTCCATACTACAAACTTTTTTTAATAGATAATGGTATGCAACCCTTTCTGTGCGAGTTCAATTATTATCCAAATATGCAAATGTTCAATTTTATAAAATAAATTAGTTAGTTTCTCTAACCATCACTAGATGGCGCTTGTTATATTTTTAAACAACGTTAATCCAAAACATTTAAATAGAAATAATAATTTATAAGTTAATAATATACGTTATAAACAACTACTCTAATATCAAAAACAATTAATTCCTACATATTCATTAACTATCAGTATGATGTACATTTATTGAAATTTATGGATATCGAATAGATTTTTTATCGAACACTATTTTTGCACTATTTATGTCCAGTTTTAATTATTTTAATGCGTTAAAAAGTAAAAAAAAAATCTTTGTAGCTAATCAATAAATCTATCAGTTAGATCACTCTGCTACATTTTAAATATTCACATAAACAATCTGGAAGATGTTAATAATTTTCTAAAGAAAATAAAAGTAAACTGATTTTCAGTTGTCGCTTCCTCCTCGGCGGAGAGCATGGACGTTTACGATACGCGGCTCCAGAAGGATACTCTCCTTTAGTAGAGTCCCTTCTGCCTCAGCAGATCCTGAACCTGGAGCCTTGTTTTTACTTCGGTAATCTCTCCAAGAGAGCCTTAGCTGGTCCTCCATTAGTACAAGACGATACAGCATTCGTGCCCACACCAGTTGACACTTTGCAGGTTAGTTATGTTGATGGGAAGACATTTTGCTTATTTAGTTAGTGATACGATGACTCAGTTTAGTCATTTCATATACTTTATCACTTTTATAAAATTACCCACACCTAGTTATTCTGTAACTATACAAATATTTTGATTTTAGATAATAATTATTATATAGTGCTAAAAACTCCACTTTTTTCCTGGCACCATCTCGGAATGCCAGGGACAAAGTGGATTTTTAAGATTTTTTTAGATAGTCTGACCCATCTTCCGTAACACGGAGCAGCTCGAGATGATAGCTTAGTCACCCATCCTATGACTGACCTGTGTGAGAGTTGTTTAATTTCCGTATCGCAAGCTGAAAGCGCTTCATCCTTCATGTGTTTGTATGAAATGAAATATAAACGACAAAATATTAATTAAAATATAATTTTCCAGATCACACTGCCATCATACGTGGAACAAATCAGGGATAAATTGGCTGAGAACATCCACGAAATGTGGGCGATGAATAAGGTATTATACTATCTTTATTGTTTATCTCTATATTTCTTTCTTTTGTACTGCATAAAAGGTGAAAAAGGTGGAGAAGGCCTTTAATTCATAAGGGTAGGATACAAAATCGAGGTTCAGTCAGTTAATGCATTCGGACACCTCTTTAAATTACTAAATTTTATTATGTCTCTTGATCATCGTTCCAAAAACGATTGCGACTTTAAACGTTACATAATTTCACACATCGCAATAACAATCAAACCTTTAAAAAATATTGCGATTTTTGGATATAGACGATTAGGCCACTGATTTGGATATAAGTTCCCTCGGGACGGTATCATTTTAAGATCTAATTATGAATTTATCGAACTTAGATTGAAGCCGGATGGATGTATGGCGATCAGCGTGAAGATCTACATAAGATCCACCCGTGTTTGGTTCCGTTTGAACGATTGCCTGCCGCCGAGAAGAGATACGACATACAACTCGCCGTACAAACTCTCAAGTAAGTCACTCATACATCGGCAGGACTATAGCAGATATTTTTTACTGTTAAATCACGGGGGAATAAATTAAGATATATTGTATAGTAATCTACGCAATTATTATGACGAAACGAATTTTCTATACACCTTGCCTTTCTATACACCTATGAATGACAGGCATGTTTCCTATAATTGTAAATACAGGTATGTGTTATATGTTCGGAAAAAATTAAGTGTTGAACGAACGTTGAAATATTTATCAAAATATTTTTTTACACTAATTTGGAAAAAATTTTTCACGACGTTGCTAAAATAAATTAGTTACATAACATATAACAAGTAGATTCCATTATAAAGTTAAACGCATAAATAACAAAGTTATCCCAAACGCCCAAAGGTTTGTCGCTACCGTAAACTGTGACGTCACTTTGCCTGATTTGAACGGAGCGTTTTTAGTGGAAACGCAGCATCTTATGTCCGAAAGTATTATTAATCGGAGACATACTGTTATTGCTATATGATTTCTGAGATGTTAATGGACTATTTATTTATAAAACAAAAAGTAATCATCTAGCCTATTCTGAAGATTCGCGCGTACATGTTTGCGACTGTAAATTTGTCTGTATACAAAGAATACTAAATTTTATTTTATTTGCTTCAATACAGATTGATGTGTGAACACTATAAGGGACTAAAGTACACTTTATCCATAATCGATTTTTTTTTATTTATTTTTTATTTGCACGGCCATAAAATATTGACCGAGCTTCCTACCTTGTCCCCACTCAGTAGCAGGCCCTTTTTACTCTACTTTTTGCATTCATACCCTTTCTCCCTGTTCTATCTTTCATTCCTCTTTCCTTATCTTTCATTCCTCTTTCCTTATCTTTCTATTTCTATCCTCTTTCATTTCTTTCGGCTGGGATTGCCGTTCCTATGCTATTCTACTTTATTTTATTTCTTTATTATCTTATTTCTACTGGGGTTAACACATACACATTTTCTTTATTTTATCTAGTTACATTAGTTTTTCCACTCTTATTTATAATATATGTATATTACTTGTTTGTTTACATTTATCTTATTTAATTATTTCTACTCTATTACGATTATTGTTATTACTTAAGTATATTTATTCTAGTACAGACAGTTACATGTTATGAAAAGGATCGTAAGTTGACATTCCATAGTTTTATCTTATTCCATTTATTTTAGGACCATCTTAGCTCTGGGCTACTATATCAGTTTGGACAAGCCACCAGCGCGCATTCGTAACGTACGCCTGCCCAACGAGCCGTTCATGCAAGTATGTTAACTATATAATTTTATTGAACGCTAGTTAATTTTCCGCGACTTCACCCGTGTCGATCGTGAGCGCGTTAAGATTTTAGTATGGAATCCGGTACAGCGCCCCTAGCGGTAACTACCAAAAAGTACAAATCTCCATACAAATTCTTAACGCGCTCACTATTGAACGCATAAGCGTAAAACTTACACCTACAATTCAGTATTTTAGAAGATTACCTCATCAAACAAAATGAATACTTATGTCCTCCTGCTCTTTTTAATTTTAGTATAGATAAATTATATTTTTTCTTGCATATTTGATGTTTTTCTGTATATATTTGAGTTAAGTTACCTACGTGTTTTCGACTGTCAAATATTATATGACAGCTAACACATTTTTTTATTATTCTAATACTGGGTTAACATTTCGCCACTATGTGACCTGATGGTAAGTAAGATATGGCTCAAGATGGTATTATACTTACCCAATGTGCCTATTCACTCTAGTTAGAATCATATTTAAAAGCCCAAATTACTTTAAATGTTTGATGTTTTTCTGAAATAATAGGTTTTAATTAAATTTTTTCACATAATTTTCTAGCTTTGTACTTATGGTGTACTGGATTGTTTTTGTTGATTTTCCCGCGTCTTCTTGACGTTTCTTTTCTACCACAGAATTATAGCCGCGTATAAGGTAGCTTTCCGTTGGTGACTTTTTTTTAAAACCAATCCTTGTTCAGTTATTTGTTCGAATAGGCTCAGAAACTACTGAGTTTCTAAGCCTATTAGAAGAGAACAAATAAACAACCAAAAAATCACCACGATTAATTTCAACCTTATTTTTAAAATTGTTTTAGTTTAAAATTGATCAAATACACTGTTGGATACATAAATAAATATTATTCTAGTCGAACGGATACAAGCCAGCACCGTTAGACCTGAGTGCTGTCACCCTAACACCGAAGATGGATGAGCTGGTGGACCAGCTCGCGGAGAACACTCACAATCTTTGGGCAAGGGAACGCATTCAGCAAGGATGGACTTATGGTCTTAACGAGGTGAGTTTATAGTCGTAGTTGTTAAATCTAATACCGTACAGCCAGTTGCACGAACGTCCATTAAAATTTTCATTAGTTAAAAGCATCGTTTCCCATACAAATTTGACATGGCTTAAAGGCGTCATTGAACGTTTGTACAACTGACCGTTAAACGAGCAATTTTTGTATGTTACAGTTGAAACCAGTTTTTAGATAGAACGCTTTTTCCCAGTTAGAACTAGTTTTTCCTAAATGCCTTTGTTAAAAGCCGAATTAACAAATGCCTCTATATATTTTTTTTTGTTTTCTGTTAAAAAATAACCTCGATATTTAATACGATTGCCAAGATAAGAAGACGATTGTTTCGCGATCGTTTTAAATTTCTAACCTATTACGTGACATACAGGACCAAAATAATTTCATTGTATATATTTTTTTCTTTTTATTAACTATTGTAGCACCAAGCTTTGAAATTACAATAGTTTCTCTGGTGCTAGTTTTATTTAAATGTCGATGTGACAACAAGCTGTATCTGAAAATCAAACATATCAATGGTAAATTCTAGTTTTAACAAAATTATTGAGAAAAACCTAGTTTAAACTGGGAAGAACGCGTTCTATCTAAAAACTGGTTTTAGTTAAAGCATATATAAATTGAACCACGAAAACGACTGCAAAAGTCTGTCATATAGATACCCGCTTTCGATAAATAAACGACATCTCCTATGTATGATATAGTAATTGCTTGTAAACAGCTTTACAGTACAGCCGAAGAGAAATTTTCGAAATTACTTATTAGATAGAATTTTTCTATGAAGTAAAGTATATTTATCGTCATAAAATATTCAACTCATGTAGAAAATGTCAATATATCTGTTGAAACTTGTATAAATAAATTATTATTTTTCTACAAATGGATATTAGGTTGACTCTTACATTTATTGATATATTTAAGACAATCAGAAAGTAAGAAAAAAGTTTTTTACAGAAGTGGCATTTTCGCGGGAAATTTTAAATATTTAATTTATTTTTAGATTTTAACTTACTATATGAGTGATACTTTTTTAAATATTTTCTAGATATATTTCATGTATGTTGTCTACACCCCTATTATGTTAGTGTTTTTTATGTTGCTTCTTATATGTATCTTTTTAGCTGTCGTGGCATCGCTTCGCAAGTATCAAACCCAATGGCTGCGACTCTCACACTTAATATGTGACATTTTTTACTAGGTGTGAGGGTCACAGCGAATTGTGTTTGATCAAATCATCGATTAGAGTTTATCTATGTACTATTTTATGTGTTCAATGTTGTAGGCTGTGCACTTCTTTTGGTACAGTAAGATACAACTGATAGTGCACGGTGAATCATTGTTTGTGCAGGCCAGACTTGACCGGACGTATCATATAAATTTACTAGCTTTCCGCCAGCGGCTTCGCCCACGTGGTCCTCAGGGAACTGTTTATTTGTATATAGTTTATATCCGTTATATTATATCATGATATTCATATCAGTGACCAATTGAATTTAGTAAAACAATTTATTATGGTAACGTTTAATTCCCCATCCAAATTTTCACTTTCATTTTAATCCCTTTATTTACTGTTTTTCGGAATAAAATATATCCTACGTTAAAAATTATATATAATAAAGTATATAAATTTTTTATAATCGGTCCAGTAATTTTGGAGTCAAAGAATCATATCTTTCCTTTTTATAATATTAGTATAGATATTTAGTCTTATTTTTATGAATATAGGAGTAAATTTTCTTCCTAAATTTTCGAGCTTATAGGCCAAATAATTCTTTATAGTTTTTTTTGTATTTCATTATAAAGTGAACAAATTTCGTCCATGACAAAAGTTTCAAACGCATTGCAGTATTTCTTATAATTTAAGGTAATTTTAATATACAGAAATTCTGCCAATATCCCAGAAAAAAATGTTATTTTAAGCATTATTATAATAATTATCAATATTCTGCACTTCTCCATAAAAAAATGTGAAACTATGATATAATATACATAGCCTCAACTTTCACACCTACTCACCTGTTGTGTACCATCCACACACAAATTCATATGTACAAACAGTAACAAGTCTCGCAACAATTATTACTATAAGGTTTAAGAACAACGAAACACGTGTATTGTTTGTTTGTTTTATTATAAACTTTAACAGTGTCAAGTTTTATATTTCTCCGCCCGCGTAATTTTCGTACAAAACGTTTTAGCTTCACATATTAATATGACTTATTCCGAAAAACCCAACGGAGCGAATCCAAAACTACTAGAATCATTCTGCTTGATCTATACTATTTGCCGATTTAGTCTTCAGCGCAGGTATATAAACGTGCCACATTAGTTTTATCTTACTGTACATTATAGAAATTTTACACTATTTAGTTCTGCATATGACATCTTATCGTTTTACCTGAGGATCAAACCCGTCGGCTGTGACTCTCACACTTAATGTTTGCTGCATCACTAGGTGTGAGGGTCACAGCGTGCCGTGTTTGTGCTTACATCAGATATCAAGCTTTATTATATAAGAATCTAGCTTTCTCCCGTATGTATGTTTTAAAGATCTCATCTTATAGACAACAGAGAATCGACTTTGTTTTATACTATGTTTATATGTATATAATTTTCTTGTTATCTCTCCTAGAGTAGATTAAACCGCAATTATATCTGGCCAGGTTTCATGTATTTCAACGAATGTCATTCTAAAGATATGAAACCGATTCCTTACCCAAGTGTTGATATAATTGAGGCGTAAGAAATGCTGTATTAACTTGTATTATTTATTTTTATTTGCTTTAAAAACTGTATGACTATTGGCTCGTATATTTCAATTTTACTATTGTTTATATATTTCTTATTATTATTTAAGTAAAAAAATAGCATATCAGATTACCTAAAACTGACAAATTTATCCAATTAATTACAAAAGTTGACAGTTTAGTTTAAAATTGATTACTTAATACTGATATTTTATTGTTACCTGATGTGCTGCCGTATATACGTTTTTTGTTTAATTCACAACATTTAGCTTTATGAAATAGTTTGTGAATTATTAAGAATATTCGCTCTGGGTTGATTTATTTCTGCCTACATTAATTGATTACTTTCTAAGTTACAATAAGTTCCTTTATACCGACATCAAAAAATTGATATCAATTCGAAATAATGTAATTAGTATTAGAATTAAAAACAAAATTCTTTGTCTGCTTTTCCACATATTTATTAGAACCAACTCGTAGGATAGCCAAAATATTAATAATTCCATATTTTTATTTAGTTCAATATCTTTAAATTTATGAAACTGAAAATAATTAAAAAAAGAAACGAGAATCATATAAATATCATGAATAGCGCCATAAAAAACACATTTTTAAATATCTACGACAGGACCCGGAAATGCATCGGTCTCCACACTTGGTGCCGTATCCGAAAGTGGATGATGCCATAAAGAAAGCGAATAGAGATACAGCATCTGAAACCGTACGGACTTTATTGGTGTACGGATACAATTTGGATCCGCCAACCGGGGAACAACATGAAGGTAATATTTAAATTCAAATTCCGTATTTTTTATTTATAGAAAATATTTATTAATGTTTATAAAGACAACAACAAACAGAAAAATAAAAACCGACTAGAAACTGTCTTCTTCGGAAATTGGCTCGTTTTCTCCCTGTTTTGTTTCATACAGAGTCGTCCATTGAGACTTCATATCAAGAGTATGAAGTTCAAAACTCTATTGCAGTAATGTTTTTTAACCTTAGTAGCTGATTTCCTCTGGGCACAAAAGTGTTGGAATATTAAAATTACTTCACTATATGTATATCATCATCATCATCATCACTTCAGCCGAGAGAATGCCCACTGCTGGGCATAGGCCTCCCCCAAAGATTTCCAAAGCGATATCCTCCAACAAAATATAGACTGATAAAATTTATGATGAAAAATGTTTAAAAAAATCCACCGGTTCAGGTACCTTGAAATGGGACTCGAATCCACGAACTTTCGCAATGCGAGTGACTGCTCTAACATTGATTGATTGGGTACCTGGAGATGATGGAATTCTTAAGCGTTTTTCATTAAAGTTATTTATCAGTATAGCATTGTGAATGCGTAATTGATCAAATATAAAAAATATCGATTTTTCTAGCGCTATTGGCCGAAGCATCAAAGCAGAAGCAAGCCGACTTCAGAACGTACAGAGCAGAGAAAAACTACGCAGTCAGTTCGGGGAAATGGTACTTCGAATTCGAGATCCTCACTACTGGTCCAATGAGAGTAAGTTAGCTTTTTAAGGGAATAGTGGCCATATTATTGAAGCTTTGACGCGTATAAGTTTGCTGTTATTTATACAGTTTGTTTACCACTTTACCATAGATGAATATAATGCTGAACAATACGTCCTGTTAAATTTTGTTCTGACAACGTTCCTCGCGCTTAATCGTAATTTTCCTGCCTAGGACTATTCACAGTGTAGTAAATTTAAGTCCACTGGTTTAGTTAATATTCATTCGCTTGTTCATTCGAACAGTCAATGAACACTTACGTTGAGAAAACGTAAGACATTCGAGTGATTATTATGATTTCACGATGTGATATCGCCTTTCTTCTGGAGTCTTCTTATATCTTATCTTCTCTTTATGTGGTTTGTATTCGACGTGCAATGGAGTCACAATCGACGATGTTTCGTGCTAAGGATATTGATCTCAAATTGAAATGTGTGACGGTTGATTTCAGGTTGGCTGGGCTCATGCAGATATGGCACCAGGAATGATGCTCGGCCAAGATGAGAATTCGTGGGCTTTCGATGGATATAATGTAAGTAATGGACTTTATGTTATCATCTTATATTTATTTATTTGGGATCAGGGTTAAATCCTTGTTTCGTTTAATTTTATGTTATTTTGTTTTAAATCGCCAAGTAGGTTAACTTGCGCATATCGTAACTATTTATTGTTCTCGATAATTCTCAAGCTGATAAATAAATTATATTTTTCCAATACATATAAATAAACTCGATTAATAAGTCATTATTTATCCAAACTCATATAGTTTGCGTTAATTATGGTCCAGAATTATCAGTTAGAAATGCCTAATTTTTAAATACAACAAAAATTTCACGGAAAGCTGTATAAATAAAAAAATAGTGCCTTTAAATTTCACACTGAATTTTAGAAAGTCATTTTGAGTAACAAATGTAGCGTTCAAACTCTCAATATAATAAAAAATTGTAAATAAAAAGAATCTGTATATACAGTGCCTTAAAGTGCACGGCGGCTCGAGCGACTGTTTCGGGCAGCTGTTTAAAGTTGGCGACATTGTCGGCTGCTTCCTCGACGTGTGCGATATGACGATCAGTGAGTCGCGGCGACGGAACTAATTTGATACTTGGATTCATATAACTCATTTTAGTCTGATTCTTATGCCAGCAACTTTGATACTTGAACTCACTGATAATTCTCGGTATTAATACTAACAGATATTTTATACTTGAATATCAAGTTTATATGTAAAATGGTTATTTTTCTATATAGGATTCGGCCGCAAAACCCTATGTTTAATTTTGAGTTTCGGAAAAAATTAAATCAAAATTTTTAGTTACTTGATTATTTAATTTGTACTCATTTTTAAAGATTACATTTTGCTTAACTCTGTACCAGGTCAAATCTTGGACAGTCATATTGCTGGTATTACTTTGAGTTATGGGCATGGAGAAAAATTATATATATTCTATTATATATATTATGTTATATATTTTTATTTGTAGAAGAGCAAAAATTTTTAAGAGGAATCGTCCAAATTTAGGTTTCCATACAGTAAAATTGAATTAAAAATTCCTAAAAGTTTCTATTTAAAATACATCACCTATATCGATTTCAAGTATCAAAGAAGTTTCGCAGCGCAACTGTAAATGTATTTTTTGTTAACTCGTAGTAACAGGGATATGTTTTTTATGTCGCCTATCCTTATTTATGTATTCTATTGTGTTTCTCCCTGATCCAATAGTGTTACATAATATAATAATTGGACCCCTGGATTTCGTAACATCTGTAATTTAATTTATAGATGTGATTTATGTGTCATAATATTTTTAAGAACAAAATATTTTGCAAATTCTCAACAGCCAGCAACAAGCGTCTATTCGAACTTAAAAAAATGTAAACATACATCAATGATCATTAACAATGTGTTGATGACTTAAAGCAGCGTTTTTGTACAACTTTTAAAGGAGGAAAAAGTGTACAGCGGTAGCACAGAGTCATTCGGCAAGCAGTGGGCGGTCGGAGATGTTGTTGGAGTCTTCCTAGACTTGATAGATAAGACGATAAGTAAATATCACGTGACGTCACATCATCGCACCACCAAGAAGTTTCTAGTTGTACTTTATTAAAAACTCTTCGCCTAATGACAGTCTACTTATTCAAACTAAAATTAACAAACATTAACTTATGATCTATTTTTCATTGCCTTAAGGGATAAATAAGGTAGCATGTTTAAACTTGTAATAATAAGATTTACATAAGCTCTCACGCCAGTTTTAGTTAACAAGCTAATGATATGCTAACATTCTATTGATATAATAATAAGTGGTAACATAAAAAATATTGGATGTAGGATTAAAAGAACCTTAAAAGATTGTGGTCATTTAAATAATAGTTATAACTTGTACCTTCCTACAAAATTATAAAGTCATTACAAGGAACATAGTCACATAACAGTGGTTAAGATATACTTTCTTGAATTGTCATGAAATTGATTAAAATTATGAAATAAAGTATAACTTCAAACTTCCTGTATACGAAGCTTATGCTGGGCGTAAAGTTAGATATTTGGCGGGAACATTGGTTAACTTGACTCAACATTCACAATCCAAGCACAATGTCAATAACGTATTTTACATTTATTTCTAAAAATATATAACACCAAATTATATTTCACTCAGGTACATAATGCACTTGCGTGGTACTACAATAAAACGGTACTTTATAAACAACAAAATGGTATTATTTAAACATATCATAATTTAACACTCTCCGAATAATGTTCCTGCCAAACTGCTACAGGATCTGAAAATATGAATTAAATAATCATCCATTAAAAATTATGCTTGAATCTAATACAGCTAAATTGCTTTGCTTGACTATATACACGTATTACTGTAGAAAAAGGGTTGATAGTTTTATAGGTATATTTTATTATTGTTTTAGTCATATCTTATAGAATCTCATAGATTTAGTTTCAATAAGATTTATAATGTTCAATACACAACAAATCATTGAATACATATTGTAATTGAAAATTTAGAGATAACTTTCTTTAAATTTTATACATTTCATAAAAAACTAGATTCAATTCAAAACGGTAACGGTTCATATGTAATGTGGATTAAAAAACCAACTAGGATGTATATAAAAATAGTGTATAATCATCATTAAATTTCAATGAATATAACTAACTTTGATTAACATTCCAAATACCGCTAACAATATTGTGACTAACATCACCGTTATATTTTTACATCCTGTTAATTGTTTGAGTACTGTAATTCTATTGATTTAACTAATGCTTATTAAACATAGATTTGGTGTCATATTTATCAAATATCATCTTAAATCATATGAATACTTAAGTTATAATGATTCATACACAAAACCAACGGTAATATAAGACGGGGAGTTGGACTAAAAGTTGCTTCTTTTACATTTTTTAGCTATTTTTATATATTATTTAGCTATTTAGATGACGTAATAAATTACTTCAAGTGCTTGAAAAACTTATTCTCTTAAATTTAAGCTAGATCCAAATACATTGGTCGCAATATCATGATAGTATAGTATATATATAAAAACTACTGTACCAAAATTGAAACAATCCAAAAGACTGTCAATTTTGTTAGCATTTCACTGCCAAGATTCTGGCTTATATGTAACAAAATACCTTTTGTATAAAGATACTTCTCTATAAATTCAAAGCTCTTACCCTTTAATTAGGTTTCTCTCTGAATGGCGAGCTATTAATGGATGCACTTGGTGGAGAAACGACGTTCGCTGATGTGCAAGGGGATAATTTTGTACCTGCCTGTACTCTTGGTGTGGGGCAAAAAGCTAGGTAAGTGTCCACGTAATAACTATCTAGTTTGATTAACAACTGCCTAATAGTCACGTAGTAATTGATTGATAACTGCTTTTTAAGCAACCTCGTGTAACAGATGCTTCTTTGTATTAAAATATCTATTATTTTTCTTTTCAGATTAACATACGGTCAAGATGTGAACACTCTGAAATACTTCACAACGTGTGGTCTTCAAGAAGGATATGAACCGTTTTGTGTGTAAGTAATAAATAGATCTAGTTGCTAAATACTGCTAAGAAGCTATTCCAAAAAGCAACAGAATGTTACAGTTAGCTCGTTCACTCTGCTAAGCGGAAGTTTCGCAAGGGTAATATTAGCTCCTTTGTGCTTCAAAAACTATGTTAAGCCGTTGGTCCCAGATGCATCTGCAGTCATTAACATCTACCAATCCGCTAGGCCCAAATGTTAGCTTATGACTTATTCTATTCAATTCCTTCAGTAGGGAAAGCCTGTACCCTAGCAGTGACAGGCTGTCGATGATCAGAATATTGGGTTAGGTTTTTGATGTAAATATAAAAACAATATGTCTATTATCAAGAGTCAATGGAAGAACTTACAATATTGACCGAATACACATTCAAATACTATTCGAATTGTTTGCTCCAGAAATATGAAGAGAGATGTGACTCACTGGTATACTAAGGATCAACCCATTTTCGAGAATACCGATGAAATGCTAGATACTAGGATAGACGTCACCAGGATACCAGCAGGCTCAGGTATTAAAAAATATTAGTTGTTCTGACAGAAATTAACACAATAATTAATATCTGGAACAGATAGGCTATATGCACTATGATGAATATTGTAATCGACTTTTAGAAAGAGACGATTAGATAGTATGCTACTTGATAGTTATAACAATAAATTATGAAATATGTTGGAAATGGTAACTTATATGTGAACAACAACTATTTAGTATTTTTTGTTTTAAAATAAAGGGAATATTCTAGTTTCTTTTTGCAAAATGAACTTGCAATTTATAATCAGTACAGAACATGAAAGTTCCAAAAAAGGAAGAAGAGCACCGTCTGACGTCATATTGCAATAAATTAAAAGTCAACGTCTTCGTTGCGAGACCAACCATCACTCATGTTTATTGAAATGTGATGTCACTGCTCGAAATATCACGTGACTGGTTTTTTTACCGAGACAATTTATATTAATGAAAAAAAATATTGTTTTTCTTTATTTAATAACACTTTTCGGAGAAATATAATGTAATATTATGATATTAAATTACTTTACCCGAAACAATCAAATTGCCAATTTCGGCTTCGTAGACTAAGAAATCGGGTACCTATTAAGAATACGTTTGCTTATGTATCTGTATATCTCTCAGATACACCACCGTGTATGAAAATATCACATAACACATTCGAGACCATGGAGAAAGCCAACTGGGAGTTCCTTCGTCTTTCACTACCTGTAATATGTCATGCTGAATTCATTGGGTAAGTATCTATGTCAGTCATGTCAAATACATATATATTATATTATTATTATTATTATTATATATATTGCCGAAGAAATTTTCACGCGATGAGTCTATGGAAATTGAAAAATACACACATTTTTTTTACACACACACGCTTTTCTTTTCTTTGTTTCTTCATATATGATTATATATATTGCCGAAGAGCAGTTCACGCAATGAGTCTATGGAAATTGAAAAATACACACTTTTTTTTACACACACACGCTTTTCTAATAATAATTTAGTATGTTTTTTTTTTATTTGGTCCTGACCCGACTACACATTATTAATTTTATATATGGCCCTCTGCAAATTTAAGATTGACACCCCTACTTTATTTAGCCATGGAGTAGCCATTGACAACCTGACACTCATCTATAATTGAGAGAAGTAATTAGTTGAACTATTTTCTCAACTAACTAAAACAGATATTTTTAACCAATAGATTAATAGCTCATTATAATAGTATTCCTACTATTAACAGTTTTTGTTTCAACAAAAAACATAAATTTTACTTTGTTTTAACAGAACACTCATAGCACACTCAAAGGGTTGAAAATTTTACCTGACTTAATATTGTGTGGTTTATATTTCAAAGCTTAAAGTAAAACGAGTTGCTATAAGTTTTTCGGTTATCTCTTTAAATGACATCTCTTTCTTTTTGAGTCGCTTATAATAAAAACTACTATAAAATAACCAAACTTTTAAACATAATTAATTTATGTAGCGAACAAGAAAAGGCTAGACGATGGGTAGAAATTAAAGAAAGACAACAGATGCTTATGAAAGAAGCGACTGAAGCACAAATGCCGGCCCACATAGATCAAATAATGAGAAGTGGATTCACCATGAACGATATTAAAGGTATGATGACATAATAATGGTAACATAAAATACCGTAAATTATTTTAATTTTACTTTTGATGATACCTTCTCCTAGACCGGACAATTCTTGCTTGTATTTTGTCACCTTATACTAATTTGTTTTTTACTTAAACCCTTTTAGTAATTAGTATTTGTTTACTATATAAATAAAGTAACGACTCTGTAACGCAAAAAAAGTAAACTGAAAAGCAGTTATATTAAAAAAAATAGTATTATAATATGTATGTACACTAGCACTAAAGAAGAAAAGTTTTGGTTTTTTGAAGTATCATTATTAAAGGAATGATTAAATTCAGGTCGTAACATTTTACAATCTTTAGAGCTGCCACTTTATGTTATTATATTGTATTTCTTTAGAATTTTTATGATCATGCACTAACTTGATTATAAATCTCAATGCGATGGTAGTTTTTCAGACTGTAGCAATGCTATAAAAACAAGATATTTAATAATACAAGTTTAAAAATCTTTCAATTTACAAACAAACATCTTTAAATTTTGAATTTGTTTAAACTGTAATTCATTGATAGTAATGTTCATGAAACTAGAAAAATCTTTAAGATTTCACCAGATATAATTGATAAAGTAAGTCAACAGAGTTTTTTCCAAATCTAGTTAAAATAACCATTGGTCATTTGTTTTATTTTGCTTCCTACCTAACTCCACCGGCTTATTACATTCTGTTCCCCAACCCCAAGGTCTCCACTACGAAGATAACCAAGATGATGTAAGCAAGATGAAGAGACAACCATCGCGACCACCGAGAAAGCCATCTCTTACAAGAGGTGTAACCTTACAGAATTACGGACAAGGTTCAATTTTGATTGGCGCTTTATCTTTGCTGTCTCATTTTGCATTCACGTTACGTGTTTTTCTATCGTAACCTCTATGTTTTTCTTTTTGAAAATAGAACAGGCAATCACGTTATCTGTATCGTTCCTTTTCACACTTAGTTTGAATGATTATGTGTGACAAGGATATGTTGATATTTACATATAGTCACTGATTCATTTTAGCACGAATTCTAATTCGTTTATATTAATCTATTAAACTTCTTACTCTATTCGTCTTTAAAAATGTCTACATTATTTCATAACAAAATCACTTAATTATTAATCGAAAATATTTCTGTACTATATAATAAGAAGCCTATCGCACTTACATACAACACTATTATCACACTTAATTTGTACTACTCATTCATTCATCACTCACTCTTTTCAATAAAGGTTCTTATGTTGTAAGACTTAGAGTTGATTATGTTTACTTAGGTCAAGTAAATGGAATGCACCGTTCAACCAGTGAGGCAGAGATGGCAAAGTACGAATTGGGAGTACAGAGCATTGCCGATGAGAAGAAGGACAAAAGAGGAAGATCTCCATTTAAGTGAGCGTTTTTTATATAAGCTTTAGTTATGTTTACTAAACTTCTTCTTGCAATGTCATTTCTTTAATGTAGAATTTTACATTGTAATCTCAAGGGAACCTTCACAAAATTTTCCTTAATTAAGGTTGCAAGATATGCTTGTGTGTCAAATATTTGATTGTAGCCTACTATTAATCGGCTACTTAACTGTTATAACAACAAATTAAAAAATATTTTCCAAATGATAACTTATAAATAAACAGTAACTACGTAATATTTTTGTTGTAAAGTAAATGCTAAGTGTATTTTATTTTCGCAATACTAATTTCCGATTTGTAATCTGTGAATCACTAGAACCGAAACGCGGGCGTATATGACGTGTAACGTCACATTTCAATAAATTAAAAGTCCACGTCTTTCTTGCGAACTGTTATATACAACCCCTACATATTAGAATGCTTACAGATAGATACCGCTGCATCAGCAGAATCTTTAGTCACCGAGCTCGCTTCGTCGCGAGCTCAGTCTGTTTTCATCCTTCTTATAACGTGGTTGCCCCAGGGTCTCGATATATTTTGTCCGATTAAATAAATTTATTTTTTAAAAAGCATTTTTTTAAAGACCCTATAACAGAACGCAACTAGCACTCATGTTTATTGAAATGTGACGTCGATGCTCGAAATGTCACATGACTGGTTGTTTTCGCGGGACTAAATTAAATTTCTAAATAAATTATGTTCTTTTTTTATTAAATACCTTTTAATGTGTGAAAAATAATTTAATGTGCTTTTTTTGCAAAACAGTAAATTAGCCAATTGTTTGATAGTGATGAAATAACTGATTATGTCTGTCGTGTTGTCCAAATTTTTCCCTATACATTGAATAAATTGTTCTTTCACTCGTCTATTCAGATTCTTCAAAAGCAAACGCGGCGAGAGCGGGGACCGTAGCAAGTCGAGGAAATCCAAAACCCCTGACCCCTTCAGTGATACCGAGGTCTCACCAGACCGAGGACCTTTACCGCGAAGACCCAACCCACAGATAAGAGTCTCACAGGTAACATACTCCAAGAGATGAGAAATAAACATGTATTATAACAAAAAAGGCATGGAAATTACTTTTAAACGTTTTCACGTTAAAATCGCTTCAGAATTTCATCTGTGATTTTGCACACTTGCACTTGGTATTATTGTTACTCGAAATGTACCTAATATTTAATTATTCTGTGTCTTACATTATTTTTAGTCAGTCACAGCTGTTACTGAAATGTTTCATGCCTTCAGTTTAATTTTTCACTTACATTACAAATGATGTTACCGTTTGTTACAATATAATCAGTGCTGTTAAATGGTCATATGTACAATAGTATTTTTTATTTGTTGGTTTATTTTTGAAACATAAATATGGACGTTTCAATTTATAATCCGTGAATGTGCATAAATGTATTCCAAATTTTCTTACTAAAATTAATATTTGATAAAAACAAGGAGTTAAGTCTCATAATACATCAATTGCGATTTTTTTGTAATATTAAGGAAATTAATTCATATTGAAAACCTACAAATAAAACAAAACGGCAGGCTTTACATGATTTTTCACCAGAACTGCACAGTCAATTTTGTATCCAAATTCGAAATCGAATGCAGAAATTTCTCATTTTGTAATAACTTGATTTGCTGATGTGTGATTTTAATAAAGAGTTGCATTTCATCGAACAATAGGATTGGCACTGGGTTCCCTGACTTTTGTATTTGGGGATTGTCAATATTTAACTTTTTGTTGTTACTCGTATTTAATATTGTAACGTTAATGTATAAGGAACACGCTACAAATTCCTTTGTTTTCTCCATCAAGGCGAATCAGAGTTATAACAGCATGCTACCCAGAACTAGCAAACCAAATTTGTACGGAAGCCAAGCGGGCTTGAACGTGAGTTGAATATAAATGATTTTACTATCAGTCATACTAACCAAATGGCTTTGATTTCTATACTAATTAACTTTCTTGTTAGCTCTTTCGTCTGATTCATCTAAATTATGTTTTTTCGTTCTTTAGGTTATTTACAGGTTAACTGATCATGTCTGATCATGATTTGTGTAGCACTTTTTTGCTTCTATGTGTATACTATGCAAAATGGATATGCATACATCATTTATTTATAGACGAACCAGCAGATGGCGACACCGACTCAAGACCGTAAACAGATGACGACTAGCACTCTAGCCGCGGCCACTACAGAGACTGTTGGTAATGAAATATTCGACGCTGAATGTCTGAAACTGATCAACGAATACTTCTATGGAGTCAGGTTGGTTTATATTTAATTTATCGTTGTATCTATTGTTCCAAAAATGGTATTACATCATATTGATAAATTCTCGTGTTGTCCAAATCAAAGAACAAGACTAGGCTTAGTCTTGCAAGTCTCGCAAACAGCTATTGCTATTTATTAAACTTTACTTTAGATCTTGTAATCTTGATCCACGTTGTAGAGTTCCGTTGCTCTTAAGATCTAATGTAAAGTTTAATAAATAGCAATATGCTAATAGGTTATTGCGATACTTACGAGACTCTTGCAGCAAGACCAAGACTGATTAAGACACGACTTGTTTTTGCATTTGGGCAACACTCATTACTTCTTATGATACAAAACCTAGGGTCATTATTACTTTCACTTTTATTTTAGCTCGAAAAATCCTATGTTATTATTTTTTCAGGATATTTCCCGGTCAAGATCCAACTCATGTGTACATCGGATGGGTGACGACGCAATACCATTTGCATTCAAAAGACTTCAATCAGAACAAGGTGATGAAGTCATCTGTCATCATCACCGATGACTACGACAGAGTCGTAGAGAGGTAAATATTATATAACTAGCTTCCCGCCAGCGGCTCCACTCGCGTGGTCCTGTATATACATTAAACCTTACCATGTGTATTAAAAGAAAACCGCATCAAAATCCGTTGCATAGTTTTAAAGATTTAAGCATACATAGAGTCAGATAGACGGAAAGCGGCTTTGTTTTAAACTATGTAGTAATCAAAAACATAAAAAATAATAATTATTTAAAGTATTATTATTCCATTTAAAGGTGTTTTTCACGCGTGTTTAATTTAATATGATGGATACAAAAAGCTAAGTTCCTCATAAATGAGCTTTTTATTTTCTAAGATAAAACGATATATCTTTTCGTAGCGTGAACAGACAGTCGTGCTATATGGTGCGAGCAGACGAGCTATACAACGAAGTTATGGCGGAAGCTGCAGGAGCTAAAGGAGCTTCTCAAGGCATGTTCATAGGATGCTCCGTTGATACATCTACTGGAACAGTTGCCTTCACCTGTGAAGGGAAAGAAACCACCATCAGATTCAAAGTGAGTTACTATCATCCCATATGCCGAATTAGCTCTTTCTTTAACCCAGTCTTTTTTAAAAAAAAGTCTACTCGGATCAACCTTATCAAACGCCTTTGTAAATTCAGCATGCACTGTGTCTGACTATAAAGATTGACTTTTATATACGATTTTAAATATTGATTTATAGTTTCTAAAAGAAGCATAAATTTTCAGATGGAACCGGAAACAAAACTATTCCCAGCTATATTTGTAGAAGCGACGTCAAGGGAAATACTTCAGATCGAGCTGGGAAGGTCTTCTACCAGTCTTCCTTTGAGTGCAGCAGTATTGCCCACCAGCGATAAACACGTTATACCACAATTCCCTCCGAGACTAAAAGTGCAGTGTTTGAAGCCACATCAATGGGCAAGAGTGAGTATAGACGAATTATAAGTAGATAAAAAATATAAAAATATTGCTACTTTTGGTTTAAAAGTTCCTTGAAGTAATATAAGATCATATTTATCCTTTTCATAATAGATTAAATTTAGAAAAGAATCATTTGAAATTAATTCAGAATATAATTAATTCCGTGAGTTTTCTATAATATTTCTGAATGTAAAGTATATGACATTTTAATTGCAATGATACACTTTGGATTTCACAATTTACCTAATAGAATTATAACTATCACACAGGTTCCAAATCAATCATTGCAAGTACACGCACTGAAACTGTCAGATATTAGAGGTTGGTCAATGCTCTGCGAAGATGCAATATCGATGCTGGCTCTCCATATACCAGGTAAGAGTCGTTAGCGTAGCCAGTATACCTTAAGGATGTATCATGTGGCCAAAATTTTTCTCTTACTTTTTAGTTTTTGATGAACTTAAAATTGTTTAAGTTAATTCAAGTATATTTGTTTATTTGAATATTTGTTTCACAGAGGAAGATCGATGCATAGACATTTTGGAATTAATAGAAATGGACAAATTACTCAGTTTCCATTCACACACGTTAACCCTATACGCTGCGTTATGCTATCAGAGTAACTACAGGTAATATTTTAAAGATTAATTATGAAATTTTAGAATTTATTCGCAAGGACTTTTTACGTTATCTATATTACGAACAATCGTACGGCTTACCACCTGTCTCATAATAACTGAACTATTTTGAAAAATTAATTAAATGAAATAATTATGTAAGTAATTTTTTAATATAGTTGCTCAAAAAGAGGCGTATTGCAGGGACGTCCCTACAATACGCCTCTTTTTGAGCAACTGTTCGGCTGTTCGGCTGTTAGCGTTCGGGATGTGGGCTATTATTACAAACTCGTGCTTTTTTTTACCTTACCCGCACTCATGCGTTCTCTTTCCCAACTGTCAAAATAATGTCTGTTAATAAGAAAAACCAACCATGAAGTTTTTACTAAAAAGAAGTTTTTATGATTCATGTTAATACGTAGCGTATGTATTTTTCTAAAAAAAAAAGCTACTAATTTGTATCAAATTTAATGATTTGATTGAGTTAGTGAGGTTAGGTTTCATTTCATTTTATCTCATTAAATTTCATTTTCATTTCATATCAATAAAAAAAAATCTACTGAAGACTACATATGTATGTATGACCCTTTGCCTACCAGGATGGGTTTGCCTAGAAAAAATGGCGCCATTTTCCAGAAATTTTCTTTGCGAGTTATTTGTTACACAAAATATGTTTGTTACGAAAAGCTATATTGGTGATTCATTAAACAAGAAACTGGAAAAAATCACACATTCCATTAATTTAAATTCCTGTCCGTCTCCTTCATACGTTCGACCATCTACCGACGTTGATAATGATAATTCATCAGATCCAGTTCCATCAACTAGCAAACGCCATTGTATGACAAATATACATGAACAATCATACGAAATTAATAATAGTTTATCTCAAACAGTAAATATGCAACCTAAAACTTCTCCAGTTAGTATAAAAAGCTGTACCAATTTTAATGTATATGTGAATTATATTTTCTATAAAAAATAAATGATTAGTTAGTTGTATTTGTTTTGTTTTAATTATTTTATTAAATTGCTTCATTTTTTCGCTACTGCCTTTCCGCACTTGTAATGAAATATACAATTTTTTCGTTATACTATTTTTGCAACTGTCACAATTTGCACTTCGAGAACTACGGGTTCTTAAATTAGATCAACATAATTTTCTTGACTACGGTTCTTGTTATTAGTTTTACCTATAGGTTTAAATACAGCGTACCAAAATAAGGATTGCTTTTATATGTTACTTGAATATTTTTTTTTCAATATTTCTAAGAAAGTATTACTTTTCCCTTAGGGCCGCTCATGCACTTTGTCAGCACGTGGACCAAAAGCAACTGTTGTATGCTATACAATCACAATATATGTCCGGGCCACTAAGACAAGGATTCTACGATTTACTCATCGCACTGCATTTGGAATCACACGCAACTACAATGTAAGTAAACGATCTTGACGTAATTATTGTTATAAGTCTTACTTTTAAAGTAAAAAAATAGAATTCGTATTATAAGAACATTTTGAACCATCTTTCATAGATAATTCAGAATCTAGTCAGAATTCTAGTTTTACCTTTTATTAATTTACGAGATGTGAAGAGAATTTTTTTCAAACGCCTGTTTCGGTTCAGATTGATCTGAAATCAAAAACCTTCCCACTTCCCCACTCAGGCCTTCCTTATGGATGGTGAAGGAGGATGGCCCATGTCTTTCCGCCCTGGCCCAATGCGGATTTGAAGGTATTAACGACTGCAAATGCAGTCGTATCCAACGGCTGACCTTCCGAAGCACGAAGTAGCTTGAGATAACATGTTTTGGTCACCTATCCCATGACTGACCCCTGCAAAAGTTGCTTAACAAAAACTATCTCGGGCCGTGACGCTTTTCCACTACGCCATCGAGCTACTCACTTTTAATTTAAAAACGACAACAATATTTGCGTTATCAATAGGGAGGTGTGCAAGAACGAGTTTGTGATTCCACTGGGTCCCGAATTGAAGAGTCTGTACGATGAACCTGATATGGGACACAGTCTACGTTCATTGCAGACAGAGAGTGTACGGCCTCAGATGAAGATGACTGATATTGCGTGAGTATACACATGCAATCTGATGATTTTACCATTACGTAAATTTCTACCATAGAAAATTTTCTGTTTTTTTTTGTTTAATTATTTGAAACGGTGAAACTTTTTTATATTTATTCAAATTGGCATTCACAATGCTATACTGAAAACTATTCTTGATGAAAAATGCTTAAAAATCTTTGTCCCTGGCATTCTGAGATGGGACTCGAAGCCATGACCCTTCGCAATCCGGACAACTTCCGTAAAAATCCGGACATTCTAACCACTGAACTATCTAAGGCCTAATAGGACTGACGAATTTTTCAAGCACTTGTTACCTTTTCGCAATCCAAATCTAAACAATCCACCCATACAGCTGAAAGAAATATATATTTTTTTACAAATATTTAAACTTCCGATAAAGATGAAAATTTGTTCTAACATAAGTTTGTAAAGACAAAACTTGTTGAAACTTATAGTTTTTTATTATATTTTACATGAATTCACGTAAATAAAATGCACATGTAAGTAAAGAATATGTTGTATTTATGTTGTATTTGTAATATGCTCAGATTATCCATATTTAAAATGTATTTACTAAATAGTTAAGTAGCTAAAAGATGTGAGCAATTTTTTCAGTTCTGTTTTTTTTATATTTATTTATTTTACCAACATTTTATACATTTATACAGTATACAGAAAAAAAATCTTATAAAGTAACTTAGTAAATCCAAAGACAATTATAGGTAAACACTGCATGCAATCCAACAACTTAATATATCTATAAAGTAACAGAAACTGTATACCAACTACATTAAAATTTTTCCCTAATTATGTATTAAAATAATTATACAGTATTTTTTGAATTTATTCTTTGACAACCAATTTATATCTGTTATATTACTAATACTATTGTATAATCAACTCAAACGTAAACGTAGTAGTTATATCCCAAGTTAAGACGACGTCTTGGAAGAGGGAACAATTTGACAGACGAGCGAGGATACCTCAGCGGTAACCTGAGCTTAAACTTACTAAGCAAACTGGAGCAATCAATTTAATTCCCTGATTAAGCCATATAAAAAAGTTAAGTCAACGACATTACATACGTCGGATATTTAGTTTTCCTGTATTGTTTACAGCAAAAGTTGTTAGCGTGCGTAAATTTTTTATGTAAAATTATAATCATTTCTCAGTGAAAGCATCACGGACATAAGCAACCTGTACTCGCCATACTTCCCTCTGGAGGTGGTAAGAGAGTTCGTGATGCAAGCACTAGCTGAAGCAGTGGACACAAACCAGGTGCACAACAGAGATCCTGTGGGTGGCAGCAACGAGAATCTGTTTCTGTGAGTTAACTGAATTTCATTGTCTTCAGATAATGCACTATTAGCTGCTCCATGTTCCTCGTTTCATATTTAATTAATCGAAATGAAAAGACGACGTTCGTATTATTAGTTAACTAGCTAACCGTCAGCGGATTTGCCCGCGTGTTCTCTAGGGAACTGTTTATTGCGATAAAAAGTAGCCCAAAATAAACCCAAATCCAAGTTTAGAATTTAATTTAATAAATCATTTGGATAAGGTTTCGTATCATGACACGGATATACTTTACTATTTGACACTTATATAATTACAGTGACAAATTAAATCCTAAACAATGGTTACTATGACAACGTACACTTCCATTTTCATCCCTTTTATTTGCCGTTTTTGGGATAAAATATAGCCTATAATCACCGTATATGATGTAGCTTGTCGGTTTTAAAAACACTTTCACCCCGTAGGTGAAAGTGTTTTTAAAACCGATCCAGTAATTTCGCAGCCTATTTGTTGCAAAGATACAAACAAATAAACGTACAAACAATCAATGGCATTACAATAAAAAAAGGTTAGAAACGTTACTTGAATTCAAAAACTGTCACCTTAAAACTATGCTAATTAGCATACCTGTGCGCAGTCTGGCGAAAGCGTTGATTGTGGGTATGTTCCGATATACACTGCGACCACTGAACAGTATGACGTCAATTTAGTATACTGGAAGCCCGTTCATTTATAGCTAGTTATACTGGTGACTTTTTAAAACGGAACGCAGTCCAGTATACTGTTAATCCTATTTTTTGGCGCCATTTTCAAATTTGTTAATGCAAGGTGAATATAAATATAAAGATTCCCTCTTTTCAAAAGAAAATTGGAAAATTGTATAAAAAAATTATTTATCAATTTATTTATCAAAACAATTAATAATCCATCTTATAAATAAACGTAAGTATTTTTTTTTTGTTTATTTAGAAACTTATCATTTTCTGATTCTGTTTCGACTGATCACGTGATCAAAAGCACTGCGAGCTCCTTACCTCGAAATCTCCAGTGCTCACAGTACAAATATGGCGGCAATTTATGACGTCATAAATTTCCCTAGGGTACTGTAGCAGTGTACTGGCAGTCCATAACGGAACGGATTTTTCAGCAGTAAGACCACTGCGCAGTGCTCGCAGTGTATATCGGAACATACCCTGTGTGCCTTTATGTACCATAATCATTTTAAAAAATGACAACCTGTAACCTGCGGAACTGTATAACCAACACAAGGAACCAACATTTTTAATTGATTTGCGTTTTAATATAACAACTAAAGATATGGAGAAATAATAGAGTAATGTTAGACATCATCACTTCTAAGTTGAACTGTTGATCGAAGTAAAAGTAAAATAAATCATTATACGTATGGTTTGTAACATGTTCAATTATAGTCTATGAATAATTGAAGAATTTATGTAAAAAATTTACTAAAATGTTAATAAAATATAAAAATATTTTATTTATTTTCCCTACATTTATCAAGTTGTCAAAGCATAATATTTTCCAAATTGGTGTAATAAAATGTATTTTCTAAAAATATTATAAGTTAAATTGGTCCATATTTTCCGAATATATAAAAAAAACCTGTTTTTTCACTTGTAGGACACAATTATATTACTGCTATATAATTTGGTCATTTAGTAATAGTAATAGGCAAGAAATCCTAAAACTCCCATTTATATAAAGCGACCTTATTGTTATATTTTAATTTTTGGTTTTGTCCATAGACCTCTAATCAAACTGGTGGATCGACTTCTATTAGTTGGAATGATGCGAGACGAGGACGTGGAGAAACTACTCATCATGATCAACCCAGAAACGTGGGACCCCACATTCGACAAAGGTAATAAGGGAAAATGGTTACCTTTACGTCATTGTGTCATTAGCTATAATAAGAAGGCATAGGGAAATTTGGAATCCATGATATTAAATGATATCTTAGTATAGACGTGCTTTAATGATGTACCAAGCAGCTATGCTATTTTTAGTACTCGGTTAGACTAGTACTAGTGCTTGAATAATTTAACTCTGTTGCTTTGGAGAAACGCTGTGAAATCAGAATGTAATGCCAAAATAGTACACCGATTTCTTTGCTTGCAACTGAACTTACAACTTAACTTTATTTATTTAAAGTTTTAGACTGATTGAGTAAATTCGACTATTCTTCTAACTTTATTTTATAATGACTGTGTTACAGATAGATACAGTTTAACTTAAAAAATTATGCAACCGTACATTTATAAATACAATAATTGATAAAATCGTTAAACTTAATGTTGTTTGTATAAAAACAGCAGAGTTTTGAGTAATGTCCTATCCATATTTAGACATCGTTATAAAAAATCTGGAAATAACTAGTACCTTTCAGTTTTGACCAGGCAGAATGACAATCTAAATTCATAATTAAATATTTGTAACAGAGGGCAAAGATGAACATCGCAAAGGTCTATTGCACATGAAGATGGCGGAGGGCGCTAAACTACAGATGTGTTACTTACTGCAACATCTCAACGATATACAGCTGCGACATCGTGTTGAATCTATCATAGCATTTGCTCACGACTTTGTGGGCGACTTGCAGTCCGATCAGCTCAGGTAATTAACATTGGTCAATCACGAATAAATACCGATGTACTGATCTTCAAATGAAATGCCAATTTTATTGATTTATCTTTTCCTAAAGAATTTTATTTGTAATATCGTAAATAAAGTGCACACTATTCACTCCAATCACTGAAAGGCTATGCAAATTATTGATAGCCCTTCAGAAGTAGATGCTTTTGATTGCATTGCCTTAAATTTATTAATTATGAGTAATAGTTAGATTTTTGTGGTAAATTTAAAATGACAAGGTAACATAGGGTTGATAAATAAAATTTCCATATATATAATAATGAAATAATGTTTGTTAGTCTTAATAAAATTAGAGAACTAATTTATATTTAAAAAAATTAATTTGTGAAAATATGAGGAAATTTCAGAAAAATAGTGAAGCACCAATTTCATTTTCCCGTAATAAACTATTCGTACCTGTGATAAGACTGCAGTTAGAAATTGTATAGAACTTTATTACTATGAAATTTCAAAAATCAATTGATAAATGATCTTTTTTTATTTAATAAATATGCTTGATACTATGATTTCACGAATCAAATAAAAACTATCTACAAATTTTTATACAGACGTTACACTGAAATCAAACAATCAGATTTGCCGAGTGCGGTGGCCGCGAAGAAGACCAGAGAATTCCGTTGTCCACCCAGGGAACAGATGAATGCTATTCTCAGTGAGTTTATGATCATTTTCATAGCAGACGTTATTTTGTTTAATAGATAAAAAAGGCTACCAATAGAAGAGTATCCTAGAAGTGAGTTGAATCAGCAAAATTGTATAACGAAGATAGAAAAAAAAAGAAAAAAAAATGTTAGCTGCAACCATATGTGTAAATTAGATGTTACCAATCATTATATACATGAACATATTCTGATGATACTGTTATTTTATTATTAAATGATAGAATCCTTTGATATAGAATTTGTAATGGTCTTTATTACGATCCGTGGTAGATGGCCGAATAAGAATAGTTTTTATTAGCTAGTATCTTAGGACTCATTCAGAGTATACTGAGTAATCCTAGTTCCGATATTACCCTGTGCCTTTGTAGTTTGGTGGAGCAATGTCTACACAAATCTACTCAGATAGAATTAGGAAACTAAATAGTATGTAAGTATTTTTTTTTTGTATCGATGGGGCTGTCGTGCTTTAAAGACAAAAGCCCCAAAAATATTAAAGATAATTAAAAAAAAGGCTAGTATCTATGTATACTTCTACACTAATATTATAAAGAAGAAAGATTTGTATGTTTGTTTGTTTGCATCGAATAGCCTCCGAGACTATTGGACCGATTTTAAAAATTCTATCATATACGGTAACTACATGATACGGGTTGACATAGGCTATAATTTACGCGTGCGAAGTCGCGGGAAAACAGCTAGTAATAACATAATATGAAAGAATGAGTTTCATTAATGGTATAGACCAGGGGTGTCTAAACTGAAATTGACAAAGGGCCATATTTAGATTAAGAATGTGTAGGCGGACCAGGTTCAAATAAAAAATAATAAATATTAAAACAAATTAAAGCTAGACCGCAGTTGGCCCGCGAGCCGTTGCTTGGATATTTCTTGTATAAACCATATATATCTTGAAAGCAAGACCACAGATGCTATAATAAGATCTTTGCATCAGGTTTCAAACATTTGGAGGATGAGGATAAAGAGAATTGTCCGTGCGGCGAAGATCTGATCGCGCGAATGAATGACTTCCACGAGTCACTCATGGTGCACGTGTCACTCAACGCGTTGCAGGAACCGGACGGCACGGTCAGTGTTGATATACCTTTCTTATTAGAAAAACATACCCATGACTAGGAGTTGCCATATTCATAGCAAGCTGTTGGGCAAAAAAAAACAAAAAATCCCGACTGCGTAAAAACGAATTTTACAAAATAAATGAAAATATTAACTTAAATAAAAACAAAAAGAAAGGAACAAGCTCAGTAGTTTAGAATTCGTATGTATGTTATGTGAGTATTTTATAATCGATACACACATAAAACAAATCATAAATTCTAATGCAGAACAGAACTACTCACAGTCGGGGCAAATTCAAATTTTACCAATAAAATCTTCCCAAGGATTCCCGACTATAATTTGTTCTGCCATATAGAAACATACATACATAGGCTGATAATAAACACATTACCCTCCTTTGCGTCACGCAGTCGGGTAAAAATACCCGCCCTCATACGCACGGCCGCACGACACGCTATACACCTCTACCGTTAGCAGACCTCCGTTGGCGCGGTCAGTACAAAGTCCACAATGTATAGTGTGACATGCAGCCGTGTGCACATAAAATAACTTCAATATCAACAACATTCAAGGCTGATCATGCCCCCTCCACCTTGAAACATCCCTAGCTGCGCCAATGACTATACTCTGTCAAGGTCTCGTCTGGACGTTCTAAAGAGGGTGGGGAGAAAAGATACCTGCACAATTTAGAGAAAAGTAATTTAATCTTTGTTGTGTGTGTATTTTGTTTTTATGTGTATAATTTTCTAAGCGATTTCATATTTGAAAAAAGGTTTGCTCTAAAATGTAAAGGCAAGTCATATTACAATTTACTTGAAGCTGTAAAATTGACTCCACAGTTTTTTGATAAAAATAATTGCATTGTCTCAATCGGGACATTTTCGTCATTTGTCTGGATGTCAGGACAGAGAATAGAGACGTAACGTATGATGTATCGGGACTTATGGCAACCGCACACATGACCAATAAAAAATTAACGCCTGCAGACCGACTGTTCGAAGAGGAACTTCATAAAATATCTACAAGTTTTTAATATTACTTTTACTTACAATTAAAATCTAAAGTTATTTTACAGGAACAAAATGAACCAGAACAAAAGCCGGGAGCGTTTGGCAAACTTTACAACATCATCAATACGGTCAAGGAATTAGAGGAAGAGCCTAAGGTAATACCCTAAAAACTTATGTACTTCAGTGATAGCTCTTTGACACCTGGTGACGTCACTATTTTGTATATTTCTGACTTTGCTTATCGAAATATTGAAGTCATGTACCTAAATAATTATCTATATTTATTTGTTTTGTAAAGTGCGTTTTTAGTCGAATTTGCTAATAATTATTGTAATTTTAATTTTGATAATTCAATCAAATTTGAAAATTTGGTGAGTGTTAACACCCGGTGGGTGTTAACGACAGTGACAGCCGGAACCAACGACTTAACGTACCTTCCACATCATGAAGGAGCTCGAGATAAAACATTTTTTATTGGGCATCAAACATGTATTATCTCCCCCCCCCCCCTCCTTTCATATGACCAGCCCATGTAAAAGTTGCTTAAAAAACAGTTCTGCATCGCAGACCGTGTTAACCAATGCGCCATTGAGCTTCTCATTGATACTTCTAAACAAAAACATTGGAAATAACCAACATTTATTATTGAAGGCCATAGAAGAACCGCCAAAGAAAAGTCCAGAAGAGAAATTCCGTAAAGTATTAATTCAAACCATCGTCAATTGGGCAGAAGAATCGCAGATCGAAACACCGAAACTAGTCCGAGAAATGTTCAGGTATTTACGAGATCTGCTGTGTCATAAGAGTGCCTGCTACATTTACTACGCCGTAGACAGTTAATATTGCTACAACTTAATTCCTTAGGTTGTAGTAATGTAACATCCCATAAACTAAAGGAGCATGTACTTTTTTGTTTTGTATGTGTGTTGAGGGTGCTGATCCGGCTCTATGGACCAAACTGTAGACGATGCTGTATAACTGTTGATGATGGTGCAAAACAAAGACGGATTTTTCTTTTGACGATTTATTTTTCTTCTTACTGACTAGTTAACTGCTACTGCTGATTGACTTCTTGTTGAACTGCTTGACTGACTACGAATATTTACAAATTTGGCCCTACCCTTATTCTAAACTTACTATCTAACTTAGATACTAATGACGCGCGGCGGCCGACCAATCACAGCGCGTTTTACGCCCGCGCGCCGGGTGGGGGAATCGCCCCCACCGTGCGGACGGCGCCTACGCAGCCAATGGGCTCCCTGATAATTCAGCTAATGTAGGCGCTGTGATTGGTCGTTCGATCTGTACATTTTTCGGCACGTGGCTGTCGTCAACAGTCTCCCCCCGGCGAAGGATCTCCGCAGCCTCCTCCGGTTGGCAGCCCCGTGCCCGTCGCGCAGCGCGTCCTCTCTCATCGTTCCGTGGAGAGTGCAGGTTCGACGACGATCAGCTTCGATGTCGGCCGCCGAAATGTTCCTCCTCTTGTCGTTATCTCCACGTTCCGAATCACGCCGTCAGGTCCAGGGTAGGTATTGGCTACGATGCCGCGTGGCCACGTGTTTCGAGGCAGAGCGTGGTCGGCTATGATAACCACGTCTCCGGTCCGTACTTCGCTGCTTCGTGGACGTTGTGGGTCGCGGCGTGGTACGAGGGTCGGTAGGTACTCTCGTAGCCAGCGTTTCCAGAAGGCGTCGGCTAGTGCTTGCGTCGCCCTCCAAGTCCTGCGGTCGCCCTCTTCACATGGCCCGGTGTATGGAAGGCCGGTCGATGACCCCAACAAGAAGTGGTTTGGGGTTAGCGCCTCCGGATCGCTTGGGTCTACGGAGACATGCGTCAATGGTCGTGAATTGACAGCATGTTCCGCCTCGGCCAGTAGAGTGTGCAGGACTTCCTCCTTCGGTGCTCGTTCCTTTAATGTGGCGTTGAGCGCGGTTTTCACGGAGCGAACCATGCGTTCCCAGGCTCCGCCTTGGTTAGGTGCTCCCGGCGCGATGAATTTCCATGTGGCATCGTAGTTCATCGCCTCTCTCTTCAGCTCGGGAAGCCACTCGGTGTACGCCTTCTTGAGCTCGGTGTCAGCCCCTCGGAAGTTAGTGCCGTTGTCACTATATATTACGGCGGGCCATCCTCGTCGTGCTGCCATTCTTCGTAGTGCCGCTTGAAATTCCAGGCGCGGTACGGTTTGGGTCTTCAAGGGCGCGACCTTAGCTCTTGCCGCTATCAGGACTGTCTCGATGACATGGCCGGGTCCGTAGTGCAACCTCCAATACGCCGCCGTTGCGTAGGCTTCTTCGCTGGCGTCGCAGAATACATGAAGTTCACGGCGACGCACTTCTCTCCCCCCGTTGTAACTACGGGGTAGCCGTAGTTGGTCGATTGCTAGCAGGCTTGCCAACCATGCATCGAAGTCCTCGCTCAAGTCGGATGGTAGAGGGTCGTCCCAGCCGGTCTTGAGGCGCCATAGTTTTTGAAGAGTTATCTTCGCTGTGATTGTGAAGCAGCTGAGCAGTCCGAGCGGATCGTATATGCTCATCACCGTCGATAATGCTTCTCTTTTCGTCGGCGGGCGTTGTCGAGACTTCACTGGCAGTGGGACTCTAGGCAGGGCGGTATTGAAGCCCAGCCGATCGGTACTCGCATCCCAAAGCAGGCCCAATGTCTTCTCTGCGTCTCCAAACGTCGTAGTCCCGCTTTTGGCTCTACTATCCGGGTTCACGGCTTGTAGTAGCTTCCTGTTGTTGCTGTTCCATCCCCTCAGGTAGAATCCAGCCTTCTGGTGCACTGCGTCGACTTGGGTGATGACTTCGTGGGCCTCTCTCGGATCATTGAAGCTGTCGACGAAGTCATCCATGTAGTGCGCTTCGGTGATTGCGCGCAGTGCTGCAGGGTGCGTCTCAGCATGCTGTCTCGCGTTGTGGTCCCTCACGCTGTGTGCGAGGAATGGTGAGCTCGATGCGCCGAAGATCATCGATGTCATCTTCAGCTTGCGCGGTGGTTCATTCTGCCTGCAGTCGCGCCACAGGAACATCTGTGCGGGTTGGTCCTCGCGGCGTATCTTGATCCGCAGGAACATTTCCTCGATGTCAGCTGTCACCGCGTATGCGCCCTCTCGGAACCGGAACAAAATGGTCTGCAGCGATCGTAGCAGATCCGGCCCTTCGAGTAGGTGATCGTTCAGGCTGACACCTCGAATTCTTGCTGCTGCGTCGAAAACCAGTCGCAGCTTCCCGGGCTTATTGGGATTCTTGACGGCGAAATGCGGCAGGTACCATGCGACGGGGCTAGCGTCCTCGGAGCCGTCGCAGGGTTCGGCGTATCCTTTTTCTAGTAGGTTGTCGATCCTCCGCTGGTATTCCTTCATGTCGCGTGGATCTTTCTTCAGCTTGTTCTCCAGATTTGTGAGCCGGCGGAGTGCTGAGTCGTAACTCCGTGGCAGTTTGGCGTCGTCGTTTCGCCAAGGCAGGCCCACTTCGTATCTGCCGTCCTTGTGCTTCACGGTGCGTTCGAACGTGGAGACGGCACGCTTGTCCTCTTCGCGGACGTGTGATGCGTCGAGCGACACTCCGAGTGAGTCGATCCGGAAGTGTCTCGACACGAGTTCTTCGAGCCGGTCGTCTGATGCTTCGGTCGTGACGACATGTAGGATATCCTCGGTGCGGCGAAGCGATCTCGATGGCGCCGTCCCGTGGATTACCCATCCGAGTTCGGTTTTGGAGGCAGCTGGTTCCTTGGTTTTTCCTGACCGTAGTTCGCGGGTCACTATGAGCTCCCAGTTGTCCGTCCCGATCAAAATGCGAGGCTTCGCATTCTTGTATACGACTTCTCGCTCGTCGAGATCTCTAAGGTGTCGTAGCTTCATCGCCTCCGCCGGTATCGATTGCGGCGTGAGGTCCAGGCCCACCATGGTGCGAGCGTTGATTTTGAAGATCTGGTCACTGCGCGTTCCTTTTATTCCAATCTTCACTCGACGGCTCTGCACGTGACTTTGCTTCTTATTTATTCCTCGGACGTTGAGCTGTGCGGTCGGTCCGTCGGCGCCGATCTGTCGCGCCAGGTCGTCGTCTAATAAGGTGACCGTCGAGCCTTCGTCGAAGAGCGCGTAGGTGTCGCAGCTCCCACGTTTGCCCGTGATTGTCACGGGGCAAATCTTCAATTTGACGGCGCGGCTTGTCGTCGTGGCAGCCGTCGTCGTTTCGGTGGTGGCTGGTTCCATCGCATCCGTGTTTGAGTCGGTCGCGCTCGTAGCCACGTCGTTCGTCGTTCCACGCTCATCTGCGTGCAACAGTCGGTGATGCGGTCGCTTGCATCCGTTGATTCCGCAGAGCTTCTGTCGGCAGTTCAATCGACGGTGTCGGCCCACGATGCATTTGAAGCAAAGGCCCTCCTTCTTCACCAGCTCCCATCGGTCATCATACGTTAGCTGCTTGAACTTTGGGCAGCTAGGTAGTGTGTGGGCTTCCTGGCATGAAAGGCATCTGCGCTGCGGTGCTTCTTCGGTGGCGACGTACACCGTCTTCTTCTTAGCCTCCGGTCTGGGGGCGGGGCGAGGCGTTTCTCGTGTTCGTTGCGATGTGGAGGGTGCGGTGAGGTTCGATACATAGTTGTATCGCATGCGGCGGTCAGCTTCTTTCATCAGGAACGATGAAAGTTTGAGTAGATCGGCGTTCGGGCCCGGCTGTGACTCGGCGAAGTTGCACCAACTCGATACAAGGTAGCTCGGCATCTTGTCCAAGACTTCCCGGGTCAGCAGTGGGTTAAGTAGGTACTCTGGCTGCACGTTCCTCAGGACGGCCACGACGTTCTGTAGCTTCACCGCAAACATGTTAAGATCGTTCGCGGTAGGTCCAATCTTCGGCAGCTTCCGTAGATCGGCGAAAGCCATGTCCACTAGTCTTTCTGGCCTTCCGTAGCATTGCTCCAGTGTTCGCATGATCTCGTCGGGGTGCGTCGCGGTGCTCAACAATGATGCGACGTTTTCCCGAGCTTCTCCACGTAGGCAGTTTCTTAGTCTTGCCATATTCTCTGTAGGTGTGAATTCGTACAGCCGCGTTGTTTCTCGCATCGCAGTCGCGAACTGTAGCCATTCCAGCGGTGAACCAGAGAATATCGGTAGATCCGATGCTTGACGCGGCGGCGGTCGTGACTTCACGAGGGTTTCGAGGACAGAGGCGAGTTGATCGATGCCTCTGCCTCGCGATGACGACCGTCTTCGTTCTTCCCTATCTGGGCGTCGCGTGTCGCGTTCAGGTGGCGGTTCAGCCACGGCGGTCCTTGAGAGCTCCCCCCGTTGTTGGTCGACGTTCGCGTCGTCGAGCCACTCGAACACTCGATCTTGCAATTTATTTGCCGGTTCTTCAGCTTCGGGTTCGCTCTCTGCTCCGTCTAGTGTTTCTAACTCGATATTGAGCGTCTTTTTTATGAGGTCCGCTTCAATTTCGAGTTCTCGGCGTCTTATGGCAGCCAGTCGTTCTTCTGCTTCGATGCGTAGCTTCCGGCGTGCCGCGTTGCTCGCTGCCGAGCGGGTCGAACGTGCGACGTGCACTCTCCTCGCCGGTTGCACCGATGACGTCATCGCAGATGTCGTTATTCCAGTAGTCGCCGCTGTGTCCGTTGGGTGTGCTGCGCGTTCGTCCGCTCCGCTCGGCGGCTGCGTAGTCACTGCCAAGGCGACGCGTGCTCCGGCAACGTCTGCCCCAGCGCGGTTCGCGTTAGGCGCTAGTTGCGAGACTTGCGGTGCGGTGCGTAGGCTCTCCCCGGCGTTACCCGTCTCGAGGCGTCCTCGTACGGTCGGTGTACTTGAGGGCGATCTCGGCGGCTGGTCGAAGACACGACGTTGGTTTTCTTCGTCTTGGCTTCTTGTAAGCACCATCTTGATTCACTGTTGGCTGGATCTCGGAGGTTCTATACGTGTTTAGATCCGGCTTCTCGAAGGACCAAAACTATTGAGGGTGCTGATCCGGCTCTATGGACCAAACTGTAGACGATGTTGTATAACCGTGGATGATGGTGAAAACAAAGACGAATTTCTTCTATAGACGTTTTATTTTTCTTCTTACTGGCTACTTATTACTGCTTGACTATACTGCTTGACTGACTTGACTTGACTACAAATATTTACAAATTTGGCCCTACCCTTATTCTAAACTTAACATCTAACTTAGCTACTAGTGACGCGCGGCGGCCGACCAATCACAGCGCGTTTTACGCCCGCGCGCCGGGTGGGGGAATCGCCCCCACCGTGCGGACGGCGCCTACGCAGCCAATGGGCTCCCTGAGAATTCCGCAAATGTAGGCGCTGTGATTGGTCGTTCGATCTGTACATTTTTCGGCACGTGGCTGTCGTCAACAATGTGCTTGTTGAAATGACTCCATAAAAATCATGATTTATAGTTCTAGTTAACTATAAATTGCATTAGATATCTGTCATACGTAAAATATAGTCGAAAAGCGATTGAAATAATAAGGTTTATGCTACCCTTTATCTAGGAGAACCATTATAAAATGTTTATTTAATATTATTCAATAGGTTATTTTTTTAAGGAAGGGCCACATGAAGAATTAAGAAACAGAGTGATTGCGGAATAACATATCTTACTTTATATAATACCAAATCGTTGGTGGTGTATAGATAATCAATAATACCAACTGGTTTACTGGATTACAAAAATAGTTATAATAATTCCAAACTGGCTTTATTGTTAAACTATTGCTGTCATTATAAAAAGAGTTTTCAATATAAAACGATATTTGAACAACCTAAACTCTCAATGATTTTTTACTATCACAGTTTGCTAGTCCGCCAGTACGATGCGGTGGGTGAATTGATACGAGCTTTGGAGAAGACTTACGTGATCAATGCGAAGACCAAACTGGACGTGGCGGAAATGTGGGTGGGGCTCAGTCAGATAAGAGCGTTACTGCCTGTGCAGATGAGCCAGGAAGAAGAGGAGCTCATGAGGAAAAGACTCTGGTACATATTCTTAAAATACCTTAGATTTTCAGTTTACCCCTCTTCCCTCAATATAAGTTAATATATTTCTTATTTGTGTACAGGAAACTTGTGAACAATCATACGTTCTTCCAGCATCCTGACTTGATACGGTAAGTTTTAACTTTTTAATGTGCAAAAAAATACATTTTACTTAAATCTCAACTAGTTTTAATTTAGAGTAGTGGTCGCCAAACTGTCAAAATTGTACGCTAATTATTAACAAAAAACATACTCCTTTATGATTGTGTCATTCAGTAAACAAAATTATTAGAACGAGGAAGTATGTTAAGAAAAATAAAGAAAGCACTAAAAAGCACCTCACTAGATGACGACTCTACCAGAAAATGATTTTAAAACATTAATTAAAAGAAAAATATTATAATATCAATAAAGAAATTTGACTAGGTTCTATCATAGCCTATAATAAACAAGTAGTGCCCCACTTGCCCCCTAGGTTTGTACCTGAAGGTGTTTCGTGTCCTTCCCCGGCTTCTAACTCTTTCCACTTTCGTTTTGTTAAAATTAGCTCCATATAAATTTTAACTCTGCCAAATTGTTAACATTTTGAGTATTTTCAAAAACAAACTCATTTAATCCTTAAAATGTACAATTTTTTCTTGTAAAAAAACAACATCTTTATAAACACGAACACCACCACTTCAATGAATATATATACTTTATTTCGCAGTAAAATATTTCAGAGAAGTACATATAATTTGTAACATAAACGCCAAAGGCAGCCTTATTTCTAAAGTAGCTATCTTCACCTGGCTAATCTCTAAGATAAACTATATCAAATAAGTTAAGAAAGTACGAGCTTATGCATTTGAAATTCTGTACCTTTTAATATTCGTATTATTATTTGTTCCGTTCGATATCCGGAATCCATCTTGAGTCAAGCATCATCCTTTTTGTGACGTTTCCGGTCCAAAACACTACCTCCCCTCTTACTTCCGGCGCCTGTGCTGCCATCTAGTTTGCGGGTAGCGAACCAATGACTTTTAGGCACGAACGCTTACCGTCATTATAGCGTCGTTTTTCGTGGCGAAAACATCGGTCCTACATAAAATGTGCACAAATTATACTTATTATTATATAGTTTAGTGTTAAAATTAAAATGAAATGAATATAAAATTAACCTCCCTTCGCGATGGAGCAACGGGACAGCGAAATAAACAAAGAAAACAGCATTGAAGCAGGCGAGTTTATTGTCTTCGAACTCATCGAACAGTGTCGTCGGATTCCAGCTCGGAGAGAGCAAGTAAGGTACAGAGGCGAGAAAAACTGTAAGTGATTTGCATTCGATTTGTTACCCCAACCAGTGACATTTTTTGATAATGCATGATAAAAACTGGAAAACTAAATCCACCTGTGCATTTTTCCATAACAAAATAGCACATAGTATCCATACCAGGACCGCAATTATGGCAACCACAGCCACCATCACGTTCCCTACGACCCCACGGTCCTGAACAGTTCCTACTTGCAGCGGTTACGACTGGTGATAATTTTCTTTATGTACCTACTATAGTAAAACAATCAACACAAGTTCAAATAGGATTTTTTTTTTCTTAATAACGTTAAAGGCCCAGTCTATGATGAAACCAAATTAGATGAAACATGCTCAAATTAATTATAAGTTGAGGCGATTTGTTTCTGCTACAACAATTGATGATTTAAGATAAGATCTTTATTTGCGAGAATAGAAGTCATTATAGTTATATTTTATAGAAATGGTACAATCTACAGCATTAACAAATACCTTAACAGAATTAAAGTATGAATCAATTAGTTTAGAACTAGTTTACAACAAATTGTAGATTGATCTATTGCTAAAGACCTTAACGCTAAAGAGCTTTTTGATAAAATCTAATCAACATTCAACAAGGATTATATTTTCCAAATATTAAGTGGCAGACGCACTGATGTGTTCAGAGCCGTGGAGAAGTTTTCTGAGGTGCCTTTACAGAAATTTTTGCCAAATTCAGAGTTCAAAGTCAAAGTCAAAATAATATTTATTCAAATAGACTTCTCTTTTTGAATCGTCCAACATTTTTCCCCACCACTCGTTCAGGACGTCTTTTGGCTGATAGGAAGAACGAACAAGTTCTTCTTTGATAATAGTATATTGCACCCAAAAAACAAGGGGGAGCATAAAATGGTTGCAACTGCAAGTTGATTCAAGGTAGATTACCAGAAGTACACACCAATATTTAAATGGTAATGAGACTAGTTCATTAAACTTTAGAAATAAATACAATGCATGACATGACACATTGGAGGGGGCTATCTAATGCGATCTGTAAGTTTATGGAACAATCAGGATGTTCCAGATTGCATATGTCGGAATCTTGGGCGAGTGGCTCACCAGTTCCAAGGTGTCACCATTTCTGAGCTCCCGCATTCCACTCTCGGTCATGTTAATGCAGATAATGAGCTTTTCTATATTGTCTCTGGTCTGGGTGTTGTTACCTTCGTTGTTTCAGATTTCCATAATACAAGTGTTTAACTATTTCATTTGGTATCTAAACTATGTAGGTATGTGATGGTATAAAAATTATATTTTTATGCGTGGGATTTTAAGCAATCTTCAAATATCGTTTGCAATGCTCAAATTAATATACTGGAGATTACAAAAAACACCCTGTTTTGTATCATTTCCTCTTCTAATGTTAAAGCCCGACAATTTCATTTAAAACGACACTGATTTGTCAAAATAAAACCTTTTCGACTGATCTATAATTTTTGAATGGTTTACGAAAATATATCCGAGCCAAAAGTATTTTCATTTGAGTATCGCCGAACAACATCTGGTTCACAGGGTCTTGAGACTGGCATACAACAACCTACCTAATGCAACTGACGTGTCTCTTGGGACTGCCATCGGTACTTAAAAACTTTGCTGCCTAGACCAACACAACAACTGCGCTACCAGAATAGCAGCGCTTAGGGTGGTCTCTCAACTTCGAGCAGTGTGTGCTGGTTCTGAGCTTCCTCGGCGTTGCCTGGTGCATCGTGACCAACACGGTCACGAGGTGCCGGGAAGTGCCGGGGAGGTCAGGGGTAAGTCCCTGTCGGAACCGAAGTGCCTTACGCTACGCATGGCACTTCAGCACGAGGCGACTACACATGGCGGTTAGTCCCTCAGACAGGCCCAGTTCCTAATGGGGAGACTCGACTTTGCCTCGTTTGGGATTCGAAGAGGGTGATTACACTGTCGCACACTGCAATACTACCATCGACAGTTGCCCAAAGATCACCATTACCACCGAATCAAACTACCAGACTCAGTACAGAACTTTCAGCGAAGTCACTGTTTGAACCGAACGCTTCACGCTACGCATGGCATTTCAGCATCAGATTGTACAAGGCGGTTAGTCCCTCAGACAGGCCCAGTTCCTAATGAGGAGACTCGACTTTGCCTCGTTTGTTATTCGAAGAGGGTGACTACACTATCGTACACTGCAATACTACCATCGACAGTTGCCCAAAGATCACCATTACCACCGAATCAAACTACCAGAATCAGTACTGAACATTAAGTGAATTCCCTGTTTGAACCGAACGCTTCACGCTACGCATGGCACTTCAGCATCAGATTGTACAAGGCGGTTAGTCCCTCAGACAGGCCCAGTTCCTAATGGTGAGACTCGACTTTGCCTCGTTTGTGATTCGAACAGAGTGATAACACTGTCGCACACTGCAATACTAACATCGACAGCTTAAAACTATTACTACCTATTCGGATTACCAGACCCAGTACTGAATGACTTAAAATGGTAAGTAAATGTTGTATCATGATACCTTCCAATAAATGCAACGCAAATCGCTCAACATCCGAGGACAGGTGCATAGGAAATCTGTTCGAGTGCTCAACTCGAGACAATTACTCACGCGAGTCTTCATTTCGCGGAATGCCTAGATGTAAATGCTAAGAGAACTGTACTGATTCCTGTACATAAACAAAGATGGGGGACCAAATCTAGGAAATTATCGTAATTATGACACGAACAAGGCAGATTCAGAAATTATGCATAGCCTGAATACTAAATCTAGCAGCCCAATGTACACCAGATGTGAACTTATTCCATCGACAAAAGCACACGTCATTCCTAGGTTCATGACAATGGATGTGACGGACGAGCAAGCTAGTAGGTCATAACGCATGACGTCATCAGTGCAAATGCAAGCTGGCCTTATTCAAACATGATTCCGCAAATACTTTCTCGACTTCAGTAAGCATCAAGGCAAGTAAGTACATTATGATTGTTCCAAAATGGGACACAGTGTCTTGGCTGACGATTTGTTTCCGCAAATACTGCAATAGGTATGGCAACAGGTGTTCATCCCCCGAAATTCAGAAAATTTATTTAAAAGTCGGACAGAATAAAATAAAATAAAGAAAATCTTGAAACTATCGATTTAATGTAAAGCGACTATAAATATCTACTAGTATTAATTCTGCAAATAACAAGTGCCCGGTAGGGAAATTCTGCCAATGTCGGCGTAATGGTGGAGGGTCAATAGCGCTTCGACTACAACCCTTTATGACACATTCTTGTTACTAGATCATAAAATAATAAATATATCTGTCAATATTGAATTGTTAGGAAGACATTGCACTAATAATATTAGACTTCAGGTATATAGTACAATGGAAATTTTACGTAGAATGGCAGAATTGACTCTATTTAAGTTGCTGGAAATTTAGCATAATTTCACAATCTTCAAGGCCGCAGAATCCATTATTTAACCCTTTTAACCTTTGAAGTATAGGAACGAAAATGATTTTTTGTCTTATGGTCCCATTTTGTATTAAAAACAGATAACAGTAATTATGACAGCCTGGATAGAAATGATTAACTGACACAAATCATTCGATTGCATGTATTGGACACGCGATCAATTTTTGTATTGAAAGAGCCCCAAAAAGAAGTAATTTTCACGAGTTAACTACTCTGTTCTCAAAAATGCTAAATAGAAGCACATAATGTAGAAGATTCTTCAGGGTCTATTACATATGCAGTTCCATCTCTAAATTGACTGGAACTGTTTCCGATGGATAAATTACTGAAACTGTGAACTGGCGCCAAGAACATACTTTTAGGAAGTCCTATCGAAAACTGATAAATCGGACAATCAAGAAAATTCCGATATCTATGTATTTACATTTTTATTATTCTTAATTAATGATATTGACCGATAACAGATAAGCCAATATTTATTTAGCTTAGATTACCGAAATACTTGAATAATTATTATAGTTGCATTGTTATGTAACAGCATAATATATGTACTATGTATGTAATAGCATAATATACTTATAATATGCTTTATTTTTTCTCATCAGACTACATTTGACTTTTTATACCTGCAACACATTATAGCGTCACCAATGGCACTCACCAGGAGATAACAAACACATCACTCAAGATGGATTCCGGATATCGAACGGAACAAATAATAGAGAGTTTTAACTACCAATAAAACTTACCTATTATTTTTCCTAAAGATATCCGGAATCCAGGTAAGTTCTACCTGGTGCATCTAGAGTAGGTATAATGACGGTAAGCGTTCGTGCCTAAAAGTCATTGGTTCGCTACCCGCAAACTAGATGGCAGCACAGGCGCCGGAAGTAAGAGGGGAGGTAGTGTTTTGGACCGGAAACGTCACAAAAAGGATGATGCTTGACTCAAGATGGATTCCGGATATCTTTAGGAAAAATAATAGGTAAGTTTTATTGGTAGTTAAAACTCTCTATTATATCCGTAATGAATCGCCTTGATATGATAAGCCGTGACATGTCTGCTGTATAGAGTGTTGCGCGTGCACGAGAACGTGATGGCGGTGATGATGAACACGCTTGGTCGACGTGCGCAAGCGCAGAGTGATGCTGCCACGCCCGCCCCTCCCACCAACGAAGACAAAGAGAAGGTATTGTATTATGCGAGCCAAATAAGAATAGGATTCGGTATACGGCTTAGGAACTTCACGGCTTAGCTGTCGTTTTAGTACGGACAACAAAGAAAATTAAGTTCATTAAATGTTTTTTGGATTCGTATAACTAGATACATATACTACCTTTTAAGGGTGGAACTCCCAAAAATCCGTTCTTAGTACACCTTGCTCTCTATTTGTCACTTTTGTTTTGCTCATACACTGAAATGGTATTCTTTCTTATTTTTGTGTCTATATTAGACAGTTAATAAAAGTCTGATAAAAGATGTAAATTTTTGTCGCTACGTTAACCGTGGTCACCCTCAAAGCATCGCCATCCACTTCAGATTCTATTACAAATGCCATTGTGCCGTATTCCGTTATGTCATACCACGACAATGAGTTGATTTAAAACAATAAATAAAATGCCTATTAATGTCCCCACTGCTGGGGGTCTTACAGGTCTTCCCTATGGATTGAATCGAATCGATTTGAATCCGATAGTGAATGAGCCATTACCCACAAATTAGGCCCAGTGCAAAATATATGCTATCAACTGCAGATGCAGCCGAGACAAACGGCTCACGTGAAAAAATTATAGCTCGATATAATTATTTCAGTCAGTCATCCATTGACATTTGCGAACGCTCCTTAAATTCGTTCTAAATATTTCGCAGCAACGTGAGCATTTAGCATAAAAATTATCGAGTGTAATTGTATTCGTTAGTCTCGCTAAGTCAAATTGAATCAAGGAGGGTTAACGGTTTTTTGCTCAGCAAATAGTGCGACAGTCACGAGAGGTCCTGTAAAAGTTTATTCACTAAGAGTGTGAACTTAAATGATACAGAATTAAATCAATTTATTAAAAAAAAAATATTTAGAATAACCTCTGAATTAGCTGTACTTTCAACCCACTTAATTCTGCACCTCTTTTTCTTAGCTCCATTTTTAAAGCATTGACATTCATTGACCCGTAATTCATAATTGCTGAAATGAATTTTCAAGTACCCCAAAATAAGCTCAAAATGCATTAATTTGAAATGAAACGCGCACAGCTCTCCAGTCAAGGATTTTGAAGGACTCCATTTGAGATTTCGAAGCCCTCATTGCTTGAGCACTCGTCCGATTTGCGAAAAATTACAGATCCGAAACCTGCATTAAATCTATAGACTTTTTAAACTGTCATATTTTAAAGTAATATTCTATAAGATAACATTATCGCAGGACACGTCTCACGAAATGGTGGTCGCCTGTTGCCGGTTCCTCTGCTACTTCTGTCGTACCGGCCGTCAGAACCAGAAGGCTATGTTCGATCATTTCGACTTCCTGCTCGAGAACTCCAACATTTTGTTGTCCAGACCTTCACTCAGAGGCTCCACGCCCTTAGACGTAGCTTACTCCAGTCTCATGGAAAACACAGAACTAGCATTAGCTTTGAGGTGAGTGAAATACATACTTGAATCGGAATCAGACATTTTGCTTGCATAAAACATGTAGAGCAATAGGCTATATAAGTTAGATGACAACTTTTTTTTTATAAAAAATAAAAAATTGTCATCTAAAAATATTTTTTATATAAATAGTCAATTAATATCTGAGAAATAATGTAGAAGTAACAGCATATCTGCGATTAATGTTTTCGAAGATACGGTGCTATGTTTGTGGAAATGCTGCTAGTCACCCGAAAACGCTCCCAGCAAATTCAAGGCACTCAGTGACGACACATGGAGCTACGGTTAGCGAAAAACGCATGGGCGTCAGGGCAATCTTTGTAATATCTCTGTTAATTTCTGCGTTTATGTTAATAGCTGTTATAATGAAAATTGTAACAATTTATGGATCTAATTTATCGCCATATGTATTTTAGCAATTTTATTTTATTTCACTATACTTTTTCAAGTTTTCAAAGCATAATATTTTCCAAATTAATGTCATAAAATTAATTTTGTTATATAAATTACATGTTTTCCGAATATATACTAGAAACCCGTATTTTCATTTGTAGGATACAAGCCTATTGTTGGTTGCAAGATTTTTTATCTATTGTGCACATGTATTTATTTATGGGTGGTGCAGAAATAGCTTGCAGTCAGTGACAGGATGCAGATTTAATGTTAAGTTAAAATTTCGCATTGTTCTGTTCTGTTTTCAGAGAGCATTATTTAGAGAAGATAGCGGTATACCTGTCACGTTGTGGACTGCAGAGCAACTCTGAGCTGGTGGAGAAGGGTTACCCAGATCTCGGCTGGGACCCAGTGGAAGGGGAGAGATACCTGGACTTCTTGCGGTTCTGTGTTTGGGTATGGAAATATTTTTTACTTCTTTGCTGTTCATATTTTCTTATATTTTGATTTTGTGTATAAGTAGATAATTGATGCATCTTTTATAAGACTTAGAGCCAGTTGCGCAAATACCTATCCATTAAAAGGTTTATTAGTCATAGCGAAATTACCTATACAAATTTTATTTTCATTAGAGCTTAAATATGTCATTAAATCTTAATGGACGTTTGTGCAACTGACCGGTTAGGTTTTTCTCGATTAAAATTCGATTTGTTCTATAGCGGTATTATGTCACTCGCAAATCCAGACGTAATTAGATATTAATGGACTCTAGTCCCACCTTAATAATGATGTTAGATTGACTATTACAATTTTATTCCCTATTTTATCAAAATATTATTATTCAAGCTTGTAACTGGCCTTGTTAGTAGGTTAGTTAGTGCACTAATCTCAAATTTGACCTGTTTCCCAACGTCCAATAGATGTGAAATTTTTCATAGATATGTAAGTCAAATGATAATGCAATATTATGGTGACAATAGACTGATATGATGATGTACTCGGAAGGTGGTACTTAGTGATGAAACGACGTGCATAAAAAATATGTGTATTTCCTCGTCTCCTATTTTACTAGCACTACAAGCTTTTCAAGTCGATTAGTGTTAGAGAAAATTTTGATTATTTACGCACAAATTAAAGCTTGTTTTTTAAAAACTTTTTTTTTATTATATTTTTCATTGAAAAACCTCAACATACACTATATTTTAACATCACGGAGGTTGTAAGCTTCGTTTACAATAGAAATATAATTTGATGTAATGAATGAGTGAAATAGTGAATCATTCGTTCATTCTTGATTCAAGGTGAATGGCGAGAGCGTGGAGGAAAACGCCAACCTGGTGATCCGGCTATTGATCCGAAGGCCGGAATGTCTCGGACCCGCGTTACGAGGAGAGGGCGAAGGCCTATTGAAGGCCATCGTAGACGCTAACAAGATGAGCGAGAGGATCGCGGATCGGAGGAAACTGAGGGAGATGGAGCAGGAAGGAGACATCAATGTGAGTATGAGTGAGATAGAGTAAAGTAGGTAGCCATTACCGCACGAAAGGTAGGATCGTCCCATTCGCAGTAATTGCCTGCTAAACAGTTATAACAACAAATTATGAAAATAGTAATATTAGTTATACTCTACACAAACGTCGGTCTAGTTAAGTATCATGATAAATTGTACGAGTATTAATGCAATATCTCTATGGAATTTCGTATACAGTTCAGCCACCCGTTGCCAGAGAGTGACGAAGATGAAGACTACATAGATACTGGAGCAGCTATACTCAACTTCTACTGTACTCTTGTAGATCTGCTTGGCAGATGCGCGCCTGAAGCTAGCGTCATAGCACTGGTAACTATATACATACATAACTATCATACTAGCTCTTCGCCCGTATGGTTCTTGTCATTCCTTGCTTCGCGTTTCATGTCATTACTGTGGTTTAGGGAAATAATTAGTATCAGATCCAGAGTGACCTAAAATAAACAAACCTATCAAATAAGTAAGATTGGTACGGGCATACCCTGTTCTATAAAGGGTTCAGGAACCGGTTCAATTCTAGAACTGGATGGACTTAAACATGCGATTTTTTTATAAAAGGTTTAGCACCATTTAACCTGTTCGTTAGAGTACAGTTATATTTATTAACCGGCTCAAAATATAACTCAAATCCATGATTTCACGATCTTCGATATACGAGAAATGATTATTCCTGTTTGATAGGTTATAAATAAAAAAAAAATTGAAAACACACGTGGTAACTCAACGAGAGTATAAATTGGTTTTTATCCGAAACACATTCTGTTCCGTTCCCGAGAAAACGAAAAGTTCCAGTAATTAGACGCTTTTTGTATTATTGAATTATTATATCAATATTTCTTCTAAGAAACGTAATTTAATGAATAGAATTATATTATGCATTCATCATTTTATTTTTTGCCATGATAATTATTTATCGAAAAACATTTTGAATAAAAGTCGAAATTAAAGATTTGCTCTCAATTTAACTATTTGCATGTTTTAAAGTTTTCATAGACATACATGTGGACTTTCACATTTTTATATTTGTTAACAGGGCAAAAATGAATCTTTAAGAGCACGAGCCATTTTACGTTCCTTAGTACCTTTAGAGGATCTTCAAGGAGTGCTGAGTCTTCGTTTCACTCTAAACAATCCTGCTGCTGGAGAGGAAAGACCGAAATCAGGTTGGTTGATCAAACATAATTGGTTAATAAAATTAGCACTAAAAACTTTAACTTTATTTATTATATGAATAGCTTTCGAAACTGTGATGGCTTTATTTTATTTTAATATTTATGTCATTTTCCAATCACACTCCTCAGAATTATTTAATTAAAACAAATATTATAATTTAACAGTAATAAGGCATATTTTGAATACTTAAACCTTTCTAACAATTAGTCTTGACAGTCTGATAAATCTTCAAACATTACTCTTTTACCTTGAGAATTACTGTTCCATCAGACATGCCATCTGGCCTCATACCGGGTCACAAGCAGAGTGTGGGTTTGTTCCTCGAACGAGTGTATGGCATAGAGACACAGGAGCTGTTCTATAGACTGCTAGAAGAAGCCTTCTTACCGGATTTGAGAGCGGCAACCATGTTGGATAGGGTGAGTTAATAGAGTTAGAAATTTATGCCGATAAAATACAACGCTGTATAAAAGAGCCCTATGGGTCAGTAGTTCTAAGTCCGCAATACTGTTCATGGGAAGAGCAACCTAAAATCTGTTAAATCCACGTTATTATTATATTCGCGTAGAAGATCTGTGGTCAAAACAACATAAGTCATTTTCTTGGAGAATATGTGCTTACTTGAATAATTGTCAAAATTTGTGTCCAAGGCCTGATGGGGTTAGTGTAGAAAAAACTTCTCTATATTGTCTGAGTGTTTAGTTATCTTCGTTTTTCAGATTTTCACTATACAAATACTTTAGCTACTTAATTTGAAATCCGAGCAACGTTGTCTAAATTTATTTATTTATTGTGTGTTAAGCATAATATTGTCACCTGTACTTTTGTATAAACAATATCTATTTGTACAAAAGTTAAACTTGGTTTCTCATTGTTTCCATAGAATGATGGATGCGAGTCAGATATGGCGCTTTCTATGAATCGATACATCGGCAACTCTATTCTTCCTCTACTCATCAAACACGCGAATTTCTACAATGAAGCGGAAAACTACGCCAGCTTATTGGACGCCACGCTGCATACTGTATACAGGTGATATGTCTTATTGTGTTCCCCACTTACGAGATATTAACGACTAAACATATTTTTTTCTGTCACCATATCGTCCATATCTAGAGCGTTTTCACTATTTTCCCATAACCATTACATAACCGCTACAAGTTTTGATATCGACATTAAAAACCGTCTCCAGATATCGATATCAAGGAATGGTTGTTGGTTGACTACTTTTCGATATATCAAAACTGGTAGTGTGGATATTTGCTTTATCTCTTAGGCTTAACATTTACTTACATTAGAAAGAGTTTTGTCTACGTGCTAGAAAATTTTGCCAGATTCAATCGTTCATAACTGGATTGTGGATATGATATTCGTTTTATCTCTGCTTGCCATACGATATTAAAAATAAAGGTAATACGTTTTTTGCCACATGATACGGTTTTGTACATTTGTGTTTTTTATTAAGGTTGTTATGAGAAAATGGATGTATAGTTTGTAACTCATATTGGTTTTCAGATAAGTTTTGATATATCGATTAACTTTAACTTTATTAATCATTAACTTCATGATTTTCTATCGAAACTTCACTGTTTCATTTGTTTTGTCTGTCAAGAGATTGCGTGATTTAAAGATACGTTTTCTGGATACCTTAGTCTAAGTTAAAAACAGAATAGTTCGAAATAGTCGTATCATTCGAATTTTAACAAGTGACCTTAATAACTATGATAACAAAGTCATATATCACATAAATTAATATTGATAAAGCAAACATGTAGTTACCAGTAAAACCAAAATGAATATTTAGAGTAGATAATCTATATCTTTTTTTAAAAAAAAATATCGTATTTCCGTATAAACTGACTTATTCAGACCTTATTTATGACATTGAGGAGAATTATTTTTCGAAAAATAAAAGTTTTTCTGCTCTGAAGAACAATTTGGTGTTGCATGTTACTACGCGTTTGCATTCCAGCGTCGATATTTTCCACTAAGAATAGAATAAAAATTCTCTTGGAACGCATTAGCGTTGGCATTAGCCAACACCATCTCTTGATAGTCTTTATTTATAATAATAAAATCGTGATGTTTCACCCAATAACAATTTTCAGCAAAATAAAATTATAAAAATTACTGATTTCTTTAGTTATAGTTTGTAACTTTTTATTTGTATTTGTAAATTATATTCGTCGTGTACAGGTTGTCGAAGAATCGTATGTTGACTAAAGGTCAACGTGAAGCTGTATCAGATTTCCTAGTGGCGTTAACATCGGCAATGCAACCCTCCATGTTGCTCAAACTGCTTAGGAAGCTTACAGTGGATGTTTCCAGGCTGTCAGAGTACACCACCGTCGCTTTGAGGGTGAGATTGTTTTTTTTAAGTCCATTGATAATGGGTACATGTTTTCTCTTTTATGACGCCAATTTTATAAACAGCATGGAATTTATAAGGAGAAAGGAATCAAATTTCACGTCATAACCGTCAAACCCTTCTTATCCAATAAGTCTACTGTTTCTACTGTTAATTCAGATCTTTTTGTCTCATCTTGACTTTGGGTTGATTAAATTTGTTTATTCTATATATTTTTCGGAAAATTTACTAACAAATATTGATATTATGTTACCTAGTAAATTATTCATATGCTAACCATAAATCACTACAAAAAGGTATTAATACCTTAATTACTATAAATTTAAATATATCATAACCATCCATAAGGAAGGCCTGAACCCCTGCAGTGGGAGCGTAAAAGGGCTGGTGATCGTTGTGATATAAATATATCATAGGATACAAATAATGGTACTCATTGAATATCTGAGCAGATACCTATATTTCAAAAAACGCAAAAGTCAGTCAGTCAGAATGGTCCAAGTAGCACGCCTGACTACCGCCGAGTGTGACTGAAACGGTCGCCTTAATACATTGTATTTTACACGTTTATAATAAGTTTTTATTTTTCATTCGGGCATTCTTGGTAAACTAGGTCTGCTTTGCGTAAACAAAGAATCACCATGCACGATTTAGTTTGATCTAACTGTAATAATTAAGTTAGTCAGTGAGTAATAATTTAAATGCTTTTCAGCTTCTAACGTTACATTACGAGAGATGCGCAAAATATTACGGCAGTACCGGCGGGCAGGGAATATATGGCGCCTCGTCTGACGAGGAGAAGCGTCTCACCATGATGCTGTTCTCCAACATCTTCGACTCACTCAGCAAGATGGACTATGAGCCTGAACTGTTCGGGAAGGCGTTGCCTTGTCTTATAGCTATCGGTCAGTTTAATTATGCTGAATGAAGATTATTTGAGTGTGTATAATTCATTTGTAATTTTTCATTATAGCAATTTGTAAAGATAAACTATATTGATTTTGTTAAGTAACCATCATCAAAGACAGTTGACATTTCACACGCAATGGACCGACAGAAGCGTCTCAGTACAGATAATTGGAATCTTCTAACCTAGCGTCCATCAAATCGGATTAATTAACCGGTTAATACTAATCAACTCATATAACATATTTTAACCGGTTTTAATACAAATAACTAAAAACTAAGCAAGTACCATCGTTTTGACATATCTATTTAAATCTATATATGGAATAAAACAAAGACATATCTTTTAAACTATAAAATGGATTTTAATGCGGTATTCATTAATATACACTCAATATTCAAGTGATTCAATAGGATAGTTCATATGTATACAGAACCACGCGAGCAAGCTAGTAGTTACATATATTCATTCGAATAAATTTTTGTTGTCGGATGTTGCCTGTGATAATTTTACCTTAACCGGTTTTCAAGTATTATAAACCATTTTTTTTACAAGAAAGAAGTTCCTGTTTCAAAAAGCCTATATCAATAAATAATGAAGTCTTAATTTATTGTATTTATTATAACAGGTTGTGCTCTACCACCTGACTATTCTCTATCGAAGAACTACGATGATGAATTCTACGCTAAAGAATCACAATCCAGTGGTAAGTTCAAGAAATCAAGTTCTTCGTCCCAGTTTGCAGATTTTACATATGGTAACCCATGCAAGCAATCATATATGCAAAGAGTATATATATATATATATATATATATATATATATAGTGATATATATTTAGTGATATATATATATATATATATATATATATATATATATATATATATATATCACTATAGTATATCACTAAACTTGGACCGCTTTATAACTATATTCCTAGTGAGATAGTAATGAATCGCTTCCGTATAACTATGTTACGGTATATAATTATATCCCTAGGGATATAACTATACGTCCCTACTACAGGGGCTCAGGCCTTCCTTATGGATGGTTAAGGAGGATAGGCCATAACCCTCCACGCTGGCCCAATGCGGATTAACGACCGCAAATGCAGCCGGGACCAACGGCTTAACGTGCCTTCTGAAGCACGGAGTAGCACGAGATGATATTTTTTTTTTGGTCACCCATCCCGTGACCGACCCTTGCGAAAGTTGCTTAACGACAACGATCGCGGGCCGAGGCCGCTTATCCAATACGCCACCGATCTATATATTAGAAGATATTATTAATTATTAGTAAAACGGCCGCTTAAATTGCGAACATCGTGGTTTTGAATCCCTTATGAAAGTGTCAGAAACATTCAATTGATATCAAGTTTGTAACTAGAGATAATAGCTTTTCGGTCACCCATCACGTGGCCAACCTTCCGAAAGACTTTTTCTTATACATGACGCCACCAATCTTCTGAGTTAATAATGTGTTCCTTATTCGCAGGTGGTCCAGATAATCCGCAATATGATCCGCAACCGATAAATACATCGTCCGTTGCTCTCAACAATGACCTCAACACTATAGTTCAGAAGTTCTCTGAACACTACCACGATGCTTGGGCTTCAAGGTAAACCATTATGTAATCAAATTGAATATCTCTTTGGTAAACTCATAAGTTTTTTTTTAAATAGCGTGTCGTCTTCAGTTTCTCGGTTAGGTGAGTGTAAAAATGTGGGGACTTATTATCTAATTTAAAAATCTATTGCAATTCCTTCCAATTTGACATTTGAAAGATAACTACAACTCTTTGACATGTGATAGCGATTGCAATCGTGACGATTTTTTGAAATATAGAATGAACGATATCGTTAAATTGACGTTACTGGGAAATCTTGGAATTGTCCAAGGCAAGTGTTTGACACAAATATTAGATTAAATTACTATTATATACAGGAATGATTTAAAACCACTGCGAAGATTTTGTGAAAATAAACTTTAAGTAATTTAAACAAACACGTATTTTTTTATTTTGATATGTTATAATACTAAAAAATAAAGTTATCGCTTATCAAAGATCGAGATTTTAAAACTTAATTTATGGACACCGCGCGCCGTGCGTCAGCTGAGCGAAAATAAAATATTCGCGTGTGTAAGTAAAAATAAAGCGTGAAAAAAAATATTCCTGTATTTATTATGTTTCCTAACCATTCAAATCATTATTCGCTCCGAAAGTAATTGCGGCTTTAAATGTTATATAATTCGATTAATCGCTATAACTTTGGAAGGGATTGCAATAGATTTTGAAATTAGATCTATGCTACAGATATTCAATTATCATCATCATATGTGTATTACATATGTTTTTTAGGTATAACATTTATATAAATTCATTTGTAGTACCTTTAGTTGAAGTAGTATATACTATATTTGTTATTTGACTTTATGCCGCTATCATGTTTTTCTATTTCCCAAAATGGAGAATATAGCATTCTAGCATGAATTCTGCCTCTTGTACCAGAATTCAGAATTGTAAAATTAATAAATTAAAGGTTTTAATCTCATTCATAACTACATAATTGTTTCATAACCATTGCGTAAGCTCGAATAAGTACTCAGTACAAAGTAGTATTGTTTTTTAACACTTTTATTGAAAAACGCTTTAAAAATCTACTTTGTGCCTGGCACTCTAAGACGGGATCCCAAGAATTTCTAGTAGTTTTTATATTTATTAGTTAAAACCCAAATTTACATCTTTAAGTCAATATTTATTGAATAAAATGAAAAGTGTTATATGTGTTTCAATAGAAAAATCGAAAACGGTTGGGTCTACGGAGAGTCATGGTCTGACAGCCAGAAGTCACATCCTAGACTGAAACCTTACAACATGCTGAATGACTATGTGAGTACAATTATTTCATTTGAATATTCTTTATAATTTCATTTTGTCTTGATGGATCTTTCAGTAGAAACAAGCATCTATTATCAAAAAACTATTCCTTGAAACGCTGAGTTAAATGTTTTAAAACGAGCAATTAGAAGTTAAACTAAAAGACCAGCCATTTATAAAAATACTTTATATCCCGTCTTCTGAAATTAATATTTCAAGTACAGCACGTTTCAGACTTAAATAGATTTTCGTATCTGATTTTTGTTATTTTAACGGTCAGGTAATAGCAGTTTAATAAAAACGAATACTTTTTAGATTGTCAAGAGTAAAATATTTAAGTCACCGAGAATAATCAGTTGACTTTTGTACTTTTCTAAATTTCGAAAGTAGCCGTTAATCAATGATATATTCTATATCAATCACTGACATTGATTTAAAATTATTTATTTATTTAATTTATTCTAATTGTATATACGTATTTTATTTATAGAATAGATATAATTGTCCCAGTAAATATTACGTTTTTTAGGAAAAGGAACGTTACAAAGAACCGGTTAGGGAATCTTTGAAGGCTCTACTTGCTATTGGTTGGTCAGTTGAGCATTCAGAAGTGGATATTCCCAGCACTAATCGTAGTTCTATGCGGCGACAGTCCAAGTCAGGAGGCGTGAGTATACTTAATTATCACTTTATTTTACCTTACTAGTTTTTCTTTTATGACAGTGACGATATGTGAGGGAAGTCACTATTTCCTTAAATCGAAACATAAAGGGAACATACCTACAGCAACGTAATAATTGCATCAACATTATGTTAATTCAATTGTTTTGATTATTAACGCATTATTTAAGAGTGAATGACTCATTAAAAAATTATCAATAAATATTTATTTCGTACCATTGAGAGTTTATTTGCATACATATGAAAAATTTTCTTACACGCTGTCAGGATCAGCAAATGGAAAAAGAAAAGGTTTAAGTTATGAAATTTTTATTTTAATATTTTCTATGTCTATTTCTATGTTGTTTCTATTCAAATGTAACAGTTTCATAAATGTTGTCATTATAAATGTTATTAACTGCTATTTATAAAGTTAAACGTTAACAAATATATTTAACTTTATGATCAATGTCCTAGATTTGTCAATTAAAGTCAACTTGCTTCATTGCAAATAAAAAATTATCACATATTTTGATATCTTCACGCATGTTTGTCGGCCATTTTGTTTTTGAGCACGCACCATTTTGTGTTATCGTTTCATTATTATACTAAGCTGTATGTTGTTTCCATATTCCTCTACCCGACCCCGCCCACAGCGACCACCAGAGATCGTGGTAAGTCCAATAAATAAAAGACTAATGATTATAACCTCTATTCTCTTTTAATATCTCTATATATAACCACATAGTCTAAACTAATCTAATAAACCTTTAATTTTTACGTATTAACAAAGCCAAGAAAAATTGAGTTAATTTTTTCATGCTATACTATTTTTAGGCTTTTATAAATTAATTTGACAGCTATATTTATAGAATATTACTATAAAATTAAACAACAACGGACAAAAAAAAATATTATAAATGCTAAGATTTTACAGTAAAATTTTACAGTAAAAAGAGCTCTGTGCTGTAACGGCATAGCTTCAATGAAATAAAAGCTTTGATTCAACGGCAATAAAGGTTTTATTTCGTTGATGTTTATGAAATTAGCTACATATTTAGTTCTACGAGGTTGCGGGTGTTTTACAATTACCTCTATTTAAATTATCTTGGTGGATATGTTAATGTAAATAATACTTTACCATACAGACGGACTCAGCCACGCCATTCAACTATAATCCACATCCAGTTGATATGACTAACTTGACTTTATCGAGAGAGATGCAAAATATGGCGGAAAGATTAGCTGAGAATGCCCACGACATCTGGGCGAAGAAGAAGAAGGAAGAATTGGTTATAAATGGGGGTGAGTTGCTTTTTATCTGCAATAATTTAGTCATATTACCCAAAACACTTCGAAATAAAAACTAATAAGATGAAGATGAACAAAATATAAAATATTTACATATAGATTTGTTGTGCAATCAAATATATATTTGAAAGATAATAGTAAAATGTAGGTAGTATTATAATCACTAATAGGATTACAATTTCAGTGTAACTGCACTAAAATTGTCCTAGTACAATATATATATATATTATTTTTATTCATACAGGAGGTATACATCCACAACTGGTACCATACGACCTTCTTACCGACAAAGAGAAGAAAAAGGACAGGGAACGCTCTCAGGAATTCCTTAAATACCTCCAATACCAAGGATACAAATTGCACAGACCGAGTAAAGCGTCACAAGTTGATACAGAACAAACCACTACCGGTGTAGCAATAGAGCTCAGATTCGCTTACTCGCTACTGGAGAAACTTATTCAATACATCGATAGGGCGACCATAAATATGAAACTGTTGAAGCCGTCTACCACTTTCAGCCGGAGAACCAGTTTCAAGACTAGTACCAGAGACATCAAGTTCTTTTCTAAGGTAAAATGGTTCTTTTTTTTCCATTATCAATTTTTTCTTTTACATTTCTAAACGTTCAGTTTAGAATCAAGCCAGTATTTTTTTTTCTAAACCAGGGGAGACGACACTAGAACTACAAACAGCGTTTGGCTTATTAGCGCAAATAAATAAATACTCTAAAACGCTGTTTTAGCCGATTATAATTTAAAAGGAGACTTTTTATTCTATGTGTTTTAGGATAACATCGTCAATTATTTGCGGATTTAGATAAAAAAAAGAATTATACTCATTAATATTCCAAGTCAGTAATTTTGGGAACTGACGCAAGTAAATTTTAGAAACTAAAACAAAGAGCTATGGATCGATATTAATATATTAAATCAAAATTATGGAAAGGTTTTTCCTATAATTAACCGAAGTTAATAAGCATTTTAGTATTCTGTTACATTTATTTCAAAATCAAAAAAGGTATTCATGCCTTCAAAACACTAATTTTAGTAAAATATTTATTAAAGGTTAACTATTTTTTGTTTACTTTATTTTATTACAAGCAATGCAAGGCCGAGACAAAGTTTTTCAAGAAGGTACCAAAACAACGGTACAATCGTTAAGCTCTCATTCATATGCATTTATGTATTAAACATAGCTTTAGCTTTAATAGCAATTTTTAGCTTTAGCTGACATTGCAATGGAAAAGCTTGAGCATCAAATGCATTGTAGCCTATTTCAAATACACCGCTCGAAGGACCATATTTTCAACTAAGAAGAAAGATGTTCATATGCGTGCAAAGAGAATGCAAATCATAATCATAGTTTAATGTCTTTATGTATGAGATTTTGAAGTACAAACTAGAATAAAAAACAATATACTGGCTCTTTTTATCTACCTCTACATTTTAGCTAATTGTAAATTAATTGAAGTGGGATATTTTTTTTGCGAAAACCTTGTGTATACTGTGTAGTATCATCTCGCGTGTGTATAGTACCATCTCGCTTAAGCGCAATGAATTGCATCCTTCATTATTGTTGCCCTTCATCAAAATGCTTTTATGTTCAGCTATCATATTCAGCTGATATAAAAGTTGAAGCGAAAATAGACTTTAAACGGACACAGATAAAGATGATAATCACTTACAGGTGGTGTTACCTCTGATGGAGAAGTACTTCTCAACTCATCGTAATTACTTCATAGCTGTAGCTACGGCCACAAATAACATAGGTGCGGCCAGTTTGAAAGAAAAAGAAATGGTGGCAGCACTGTTTTGCAAGCTCGCCAGTTTACTGAGATCACGGTATGCATATTTCGTATATTTTCGTAATATATAAATATCTTATATTGCCACCTTATATAAGATATTTATATATTAAGATTGAAATTAAGATTTTAAAATTCCTGAGGATTTACTCTAGCTTACGGAAAATTTAATTTAAAAATAATTTAATGAAAAATGCTCAAAAAATCCACTTGCACCCGGATTGCGAATGGTCATCGGTTCGAATCCCATCTCAGAGTGCAAAGGACAAAGTGGATTTTTAAAGCAGTTTTCATTAAGAATAGTTTTCAGTATAGCATTGTGAATGCAAAATTAATAAAAAATAATAATTGAAAATAGGTTTTGAGAGTATGCCATTATACAAGTACATCAGCATCTCCACTGCAGGGGCTCGGGTCTTCCTTACGGATGGTTAAAAAGGATGGCCCGTGGCCCTCCACGCTGGCCCAATACGGATTGGAGCACAGAGTAGCTCGAGATAATAATATTTTGGTCACCCATCCCTTGCGAAAGTTGCTTAACAACAGCAAACGCGGGCCGCGGCGCTTATATATTACGTGACCGAGCTACCCAAGATGCTTTCAATAAAATGAGGAATGAGTCTGAGAGAGCACTGTCTACTGTATATTGAGTTGTACAGGGATTATTTGATAACGTTATTCCGCACCAAATTAGGTGTTGGTAGAATGTTATACAGAATGATTTAATCAGGATTTTTATATCTTTTTATTTCATTCAGTCTTTCCCCGTAAAATAAACTTATACTCTAGTGCTCTTTTCTCAAGGAAATATTTAGAAGCAATTATTAAGAAAAACTCACTCACTAAGAAAAGAAAACGTTTCGAGTTGACAGCTAAGCAATAATTAGAGAAGAAGAATATATATTAATACAGTTTCCATTAGCTATATGTTGCCTAGTTTTGAATTTGGTACCTTAACAATAGATGCCTTATGTATGAATATTTATATATCTATTTATTTATTTGTTCTTGTGTTTTTGTTTTTATTTCAATAAAATGTAATTATTAATTAATTTACATATGTATTGACCGCATATGTAATTATAACAAGAAAAAGAGTCTATAATGACACATAATTCATATCCCAGATTGGCAGCCTTCGGTCCCGACGTGAGGATCACCGTCCGATGTCTCCAAGTGTTAGTGAAGGGTATCGACGCCAAGTCCCTAGTGAAGAACTGCCCCGAATTCATCCGAACATCCATGCTGACCTTCTTCAATAATGTCGCTGACGATTTAGGGCATACTATATTAAATTTGCAAGAGGTAAGGGTATCTCAATTTTTTTCGTTATCTGTTATGTGATGTACATTTGTTGATATGATCGGACCATATTATGATGACAATAGCTATTTTCTAGTTCATGAACTATAGATTATTGTATTTATATCTATACTTAATAATACATATTTCCAAGTCAGTGTAAATTCTCTCAAGCTTGGCTACCTATATATAATTTGAAAAATCGCCAACCACAAAAATGGAATTAAATCCACAACGTTATCTCAGTACCGCAAACAACAAAGTGTTTCACGCCAGTCGATATCTACGATGTATCATATACACGCCATTCTTTATTTTCATATGGTTTTATTCCTCTTCCGATAAATATTAACGATATCTAATTTGAGTGGCTTTCTTTTCTCCGCCATGTATATCAAAACTCGTTGATTCCTCTTGTATGAGTTGGTCTGGTCAGCTGAAACCTTAAAGCCTCATTTATGACAGTAATGGTTGTAGTGGCCCTCTCGAATCCTTATTACGGTTAAGCGTAACACAAAACAGAGTCTATCATTATCAGCAGCCCTTTTACGTCTCCACTGCAGGGGTTCCAGTCTTCTTTATGAATGGTCAAGGAGGTTGAACCACAAACCTTCACGCTGGCTCAATGTGGATTGGAAGGTATTACCGACTGCAAATGAAGCGGGGACCAACGACTTAACGTGCCTTCCAAAGCACGAAATAAGTGGGTTGGGAAGGGGCCTTCGGTCCGAAAAAAAGACGCCAAATCATAATAATATAATAAACTTAAAAGTGTATGCGCGTGGGGGGGGGGTAAAGTAAAGTTTCTGTCTATCCGAGCCTATACACTTTTATTCGCAGCATAATTTACTTTTATATTACGACCGCAAGATATAAATTTAAACGATCTTGTTTAGGGTAAATATGCACATTTGAGAGGCACCCACCTGAAGACGTCTACGTCCCTCGGTTATATCAACGGCGTGCTATTGCCCATACTTACTGCTATGTTCGATCATCTAGCCAACTGCGAGTACGGAGCCGATTTACTATGTAAGTATAAATATCTTCGTAATTGATACATTAAAAACATGTTAATTAGTAAAATCGTTTGGAAAATAATAATCTATACTATTAATATTATAAATGCGAAAATAACTCTGTCTGTCTGTTACTTAATCACGCCTAAACCACTGAACCAATTTGCATGAAATTTGGTATGGATATATTTTAATACCCAAGAAAGGACACAGGCTACTTTTCACCGCGGGAAAATGACTCATTCCCACGGAAAAATAATCTAAATATATATAACTCAAAGGTGACCGACTGACATAGTGATCTATCAACGCACAGCCCAAACCACTGGACGGATCGGGCTGAAATTTGGTATACAGGTAAATGTTATGACGGAGGTATCCGCCAAGAAAGGATTTTGACCAATTCTATCCCCAAGGGGATAAAATGGGGGATGAAATTTTGTGTGAAATTTTGTCAATGACGTAGACATTCTCTAAAAAAGGATTTTGATTGATTCCACCTCCAAGGGGATAAAATAGGGGATGAAAGTTTGTATGAAACTTTGTCAATTTTAAGGGCTGAGACTTTGCATGCATAAATCTACTATGACGTAAGCATCCCCTAAGATAGGATTTTGATAAATTCCACCCCTAACGGCATAAGCTAAGAGGATAAAACTTTTTTTTTCAGGTATTTTACACGATATAATGGATAAATATTCGTTAGAAATGCTGCTCAAAGTAACTTTAGTCGCGGGCAAAAGCTAGTAATAATCATATATTAAATCTAAATGATCATGATTTTATATGCTACTACTACATATAACGTAAAGACTTAATAGATTTATAGTAAAATATTGTAAAGTTGTCTTCTAAACTTGTAAATTGATCTTCAAACTAAATTCGATAATAGAAAAACAAATAATTTTTAAAAATAATCGAGAATGAATGTACGATAGATATGTTTGTTGTATTCATTTAATCGGTCAATCAAAATCATCTGTGTCAAAATCTGTGTCGCTCTCATCATCGCTGCTTTCGCTGGGCGATGATGCTGATGATGATGATTCTGAATCGTCTTTCTTGTTATTCCAGTCTTTAAACTTGTAAGACTTTCGGCATTGCCTCTTGCAGTGTTTCCGGAACGCTTTCTTCTTACTCTTTGCGCATTCATACGTTTCGCACGTAGTCTTGTATGCGTACATGCACGCGTTGTTGCATTTGTCGCTGGATGCCTTTTCGCATGCGCGCTCGTAGCGGTCCCTTAAAATTTTCTTCTTTATGTCGAGCGGCGTTATAGTTTGATTTGTGTTCGTTTTCATTCGCTGATTTGTTTCATTTCTTGCTTCCTAAAAAAATATTTTGTTGTATTCAAGACGTTTAGCTTAGATAAGTAAGGCGATTATAATAATTGTTGCGAGATGATGTTGCACTTGCTTATAGCGTTTTTATTTTTGCTTTAAGAACATCTTTAAAGGGAATATACTAAGACAATTTATAATATCTTAGTCTCCTGAACCCACGTGTCCACCTATTGCCCGTTTTTAAAATAAATTTTAGGCTTAGAATATTCCAGTAGTTTATATTTGTGAACATAGTCAGCAGCGCTACCAGGATGTCTACACATAAAGTCATTACAGGCAATTAAAAATTTCTAAAATAAATTTTAATCTCGACTACCAACAGATTAAGACCTAAAATCGATTGGAGAAATGAGGCTTGAAATTCGTATAGTAGAATATTATCGTTATTATCAGCCTGTTAATGTCCCACCAGCTCGGGCTCAGGCTTTCCTTAAAGATGGAATCTAATAAGGAGAATAGATCATCAGCATCACTTAATTCTAGTGCGGATTGGTAGGTATTAACGACTGCAGACGCAGCTGAGGCCAACGGTTTATTGTGCCTTCTGAAGCATAGAGAAAGCACGGCACAAGATTATAAATATTTAGTCACCCATTCTATGACCGACCATTGCAAAAATTGCTTAACAACTCTATCGCAGACCGAGCGCACCAACCACTGCGGCATCAGGCTCCAGTAGAATAACCTGGTATGCATTAGATAGCAGCCTTTGATTTATTGTGACAACACCACAAGTGTAGTAGAGATAACCTAAGCACGATCATTTTGTTCTGAATGCAACGTGCGAGTGAAATTCGTAGGAAAAAACGTACAAAATGGTCTTCCATGTGAGTTATACAATAATAGTGCAATATTCGAAGTAGGATGATCCATCAACGTCGTATCACCAGCATTTGCGTCGATTGGTAAAACACTTGATAAAAGTCCCTTGGTAAAAGTTGGTAGACCCTTGGTAAAAGTCCCTTATAATAGATATTAATAGCACTCACAGGCACCATGAAAGGATAACAGGTGTTGACCAAGAAGCCGGATCTCGTTGCGTCTTCAAAGTCGTCACTTTCATAGTCGAAATCTGAAAATTATTCAATGAAAAAATTGAGTTAGTGGTGGCATTTGTTCCGAGCACTAGTGTCAGGTGCTCCAATATCATTATATAATACCTACTTAAGGTTAAAAAAAGCTTGACAATTGTTTTCATACATATTATAAGCTACGATGGGATGGATATGCTTCAAAAGAGAAAAATTTGTTAATATACAATCCGGCCACATGGAACGTAGAAGGTGGTTGAGGAAAGGCGCCATACGAAGTTTCTGCCACGCTTAAAAAAAAGGTCCAAGCCTGATGACATCGCAAGTCCCGTCGACTGACGTTCTCCAATAAACACCTCTCCTATAGCTTCCTGACACGTTCGCTCTATACATTTCTTACATCAAATATTTTATTATTTCTCTTCACGTGTCTAAACCTCTTTCTTTCGGGTAATGACACAAATATACAGGATGTTACATTAAGAACTGTCAGTATTGGCACAGATACACATAAACTATGTACGGGAAACTCTACCACTATATGACATAAGTAGATAGCTTTTTTGGGAAACATCTCATCGATTTTAGTGAAAAGAAAACCTGCATTCATCCATAAAAAATATCTCAGGTCCAGAATTGAGCGCAAACTGCGTGGACTTGAAAAATAAAACTTACATGATTTCTACTTAGACACAGATAGACATTAAAATCGATGACATGGTTTCTAATAAAATATCTTTCTTATGTCTTATAGTTTTAGACCGTAAATTCATATTTTACTGTAATCAGACCAGAGCAGTCGCCCGGATAGCGAAAGGTCATGGGTTTGAATTCCATCCCAGAGTGCCAAAATAAAATTTTTTTTAAGCATTTATCATCAAGAATATTTTTTTAAATAGAATTATGAATGCAAAAACTGTTCAAATATTATAATCAAACCTGTCTGTAACCTTACCACTCATTTTACTATATTTCTTGAGAAAAGCTGTGTTGTTCTGTCTTGTTTTATTAAGTAAGGCCGGCTTGAATTCCTTGATGCATCCTGTTTTGGCATTTTCAAGGAATTTCTCCTTGAATGAACTCTTACATGAAGCAATTCTGCATGCAACCTTCTTAGTTTCTTTACATGCCTACAGTTAACAGAATAAATCGAAAGGTGATTTCTATAAGGGCTGAAGTGCAAAATATTAAAATCAAGGTAGTTGATTTATGGGTACTCCTAAGTATTGGTAAAATGGCTTGTTGCCCAGCAGTGAATACATTATAGACTGATGTTGATAATGTAATAGTTAATGAAACTTACCCTGTAACATTTCTTGACTACCATTCTCAGACAAGCTTCACCGTATGCGTGTCGCAGTATATTCGCTCTGATAATCTTCGTGTTTATCTCTTCTGATGAGAAGACGTGTTCTAAGTCTGGTGGAATGTCAACACGGTTCTTCTTTCTTTTCTAAAACGAATTACATAATAAAATATACGACAATGAAAATGAATGTGGAACTTTTGAACTATATGCAAAAAGATTAAATAAGGATTAAAAAAAACTAAAGGACAAGAATCAATAGTTTGAAAGCACATAAAAAAGTTAAAATACATAAATGAAAAAAAAATCTAATGTTCTTAATTATCTCTTGTACTAACTATCAAGAAAAACTTCTAGAACAAAATTAACAATATACAAATATATAACGCGATCCCTAAAGAATTTTGTCGGCATAAATTCGTTAAGACATCTGTTAAGTTCAAACTGTGAAAACAGAATTAACAACTTTTGATACTAACATTATTTTTAGTTAAAATTACTAAAGCTGTCTTAGGTGTTCTTTGGCTGCGGAAATTTCGCACTCGTAAGAGCGAAGGAGATATTTGAATAGTTCTCAGTTCTATCGGTTTCTTTCTAGCGATCTCATCCCAAATTTTGCCCTGTGGAAATGATTCAGCGTATATAATTTTTTTCACGTTTATAGTTTTTGTAGTATCCGATTCTTTTTCGGGATTTCTTGCTTTTTCGACGTAGTCTACTCTTAGCCTTTTTTCTTTATTTCCTTTACCTAAGTCAGGCTTTAGAATTATGACATGTGGTTGTCCTATCGCGCCTTTCTTGTTATTTACTTCGTTTGGTGTATTTTCTTGTTCTATCTTAAGACTTGCTGCAGAGTTTTTAGCAATATTTTCACTTATTTGCATTTTATGGTCGGTAGCGTTATTAGAAACCTGATTGCTGTCTGCTATTTCAGACGTAGTCTCTTCAGATACTATCATTGCTGTCGCAGGGAATTCCCTTTTAGGTAAAATCGTATTATCAGCATGGGTCCGTGATTTGCCTCCATTTTTTTTATTTTTGTATATTTCATCAATTTCTATATCCGTCGAGTAATCTTTCTCAAAAGTATTGGTATCATAAAACTTTTGTATCTTCTCGTAATTGCTTATCAAATCTTGTAACGCGTTATTGACTCTTGTTATATTGTTTATGATATCAGTGAATATTGTTTCGTCTTGTTTCTCCGGATCAATGGTAGTAGGTACTTCATAGTTTTTAATCGCTTCCGTTTGCTGAAAATTACATTTGGTATTTACTTATTGTAACAGATTAAATAATTAATCAGAACCTCATTAAAGTTTTTTTTAAGTTTATTTAGTATTTTCGGTAAGGATGTTTATGCTTTAAAATATCTTCTGTTTTATTTTACTTTGTGTAGAATTTTCTGTAACATTAGTTTCTATGTCACTTATTATTTAATATTTATTTATTTTATAGATTTAATATTTACATATGCTACTTATTAAATGTTGCAAAATTCGATCTATTTATATCTTCTCACTGTAAATATAAAGAATCTTAAAATAAATATTATATATAATATATATACAATTCTTATATTTGATTAATTTTGCAGTCACAATGATATACTTAAAAATGTTCCTAATAATAAATGCATTAAACATCCAATCTGTCAGAGTGCCAAGACTCTGATATGGGACTCGAACCCATGACCTTTCGCAATCCGGGCGACTGCTCTAACCACTGCGCCACCCAGGACCCAGCAGGACTGACGTTTTTTTCAAGCACAAATCAAATTCTTACCAAATAAATATTATGTATCAATAAAAACAGTTGTGTGTAACGAGAGCAAAGCAACATTTAAAATATCAACAGAAATATATGCGTTAAAAATATATTGTGTGCTTTTTATGTGTTTCGATTATTGGAATATTGTTACTTTTTGTAAGTACACGTCGCTTTTGAATATTATTATATTTCACACCGACGACGTTTGAAATCACAATCATAAAAGATGCAAGCACAATATTGTTTTTTAGTCGGTTGTGTAACCGCGTAATGCAACATACACTTATGGAATTGTTTGAATAAATGTGCTATAGGCTAAATTAATAAACAGGGAAATCCTAAAGAATCATGTAAATATTAATTTCTCTTAAAACAGACAATCTTCGCTCTACTAATATTTATTTAGTTGAAAATTTATTGCTCTATATGACTGTAGCTTTCTCCGTAAAAATATACTTGATTCGTAATTACCCCAAAACACCTGATTTAAGTTTTGTTTTATTTTTTATACTAAAATGTTAAGAAACTTATGTTATCTCTTACTGGTTATATTTTTTAACAGTGGACGAAATTCAGGTGGCATCATACAAGATGTTGGGTTCCTTATATACTCTGGGCACAGACACTACTCTTACACATGATAGAAAATACCTCAAGACTGAAATTGAAAGGAATAAGCCTGCGTTGGTAAGTAAACATTGATATAACTGCAATGAAATCTATTCTGATATTATGGAAAGGAAAAATTTAGTCATTTGTTTCAATTTAATAAGCTCCGAAGCTATAGAGCTGATTTTAAAAATTCTTTCACCTACGAGATACTACATCATGCGCGGGTACATAGGTTATAATTTACGCGGGTGCGAAAAAAATAGCAAATCCTATATAAATCAATTTACACTTCTCCATATATTTTAGTAGGTTGATCTCGATTTTTACTGCTGTTCACTGTATTTGTTTATAAGATTAATGTTATCATTAATTAAGCAATAGAATTCGTATCAGGGTATTTCTTTATCATATACTAGCTGTTCTCCGACATAAATTATAATCTATGCCAACCACGTATGATATAGCTTCCCGTAGATGAATTTTCATGATCGAATCAGTCTTTTCGATGTAACAAGTAAAGTAAGTAGAAGTAAGAAACTTTACCTCTTTATAATATTAGTATACATTTTCTGTAATAATTTTGTGTAGAGTGCAAAGTTTACTAAAAATAATATAATACAAGCTTAAGGGAATGAAAATTGTTCGTTTATAGGGTTCTTGTCTCGGGGCGTTCAGTTCGACGTTCCCCGTGGCGTTCCTGGAGCCGCATTTGAATAAACACAACCAATTTTCACTTCTGAACCGTATCGCTGATCATTCGTTAGAAGCTCAAGGTTTGTTATAACGTATCTTTATACTTTACTATAAATTAGACAACAACAACATTATACATCGACAATATTAGACAACAACAACATTATACAACAACAACATTAGACAACAACAACATTAGACAACAACAACATTAGACAAAAACAACATTTGACGACAACACATACATACATAGCTCAACTTCCGTAGCTAAACTCCTCGTATTTCGGAGTATTTCAGACAACGAAGCTACCACAACACTCGGACCCGAGATAAGTCCAAATCTCCGAGGTCCCAGATGGGTAAATATAGAAAATAGAGTTTTATATATTGACCTGACCGGGAACCGAACCCGGGACCTCAGAGAAGATGACATCTAGAGACAGGGTGTGAACCACTCGGCTACTTCTAATGCTGTGTGTGTGCTACTTCATATTTGCTGGATTGCTATTCTGTAAAAAAAAACAGACTCGAATTCGTCCACAGCTCTGATACAACATAGAGGTTCATTCAAATAAAATCTACTTCAAAAGGTAAAGGTTCTATTACATTGAACCTCTATGCTGTGACAGCTTGACGTCGAGTTAGAGGCTGAATTTATTATAGAATAGCAAAATTAATAATCTGTTGTAACACTCATAATGTCATATTTTCGTACGATCCAACTTTACGATGTTTAAGTTAAAGTAAATTAAAGTATTTAAAGTTAAAGTATTTTCTGAAGATCTGTCTTCAAGTCCAGTAGGTTTAAGTATATTTAAGATTATATCAATCTAAACTAATCTTTATTTTTCTAGATATAATGGCTAAAATGGAGCAATCGATGCCAACTCTAGAGACTATACTGAGTGAAGTAGATCAGTTTGTGGAATCAGACAAAACTTATAATGAAGCTCCATATATAATAGATGTTATCTTACCGCTATTGTGCTCCTACCTTCCCTTCTGGTGGGCACAAGGACCTGACAATGTGACGCCTACAGCTGGGTAAGTGGTATTAAAACTTTAAATCCATACACATAATGCACTCTTTTGCTATTAGATAGAACCTATCTCTTTCTAATCTCAGTATTCTTAAGTTGCTAACTAACTAACGAAACGTAGTGAAATAGTGATGATGCCTGAGTATAAAAAAATCAATTTAGCTTCAACTTAACAAGCAATGGCTTAGAAAATAGGCATTAAAGTTGACGAGTGGGGGCTTGTTACATCACAACTACGTAGAAAATGTACAAAGGCTTAACTTCATGCGACATTTTAACTCAATGTATCGATATAATATATTGGTTACTCAAAAAATTAAAAAAATAAGTGTTTCATATATTCGATAATCTGCCTGACAAACAAAAAAAACACTCATCATCCCCATTATAACTATGCTGCCCTATTTCCGCTAAAATATATGTAGCAATCTGTCCCGATAACGCTTTAATCATAGACTTAGGATATGCCTTTATACTTATAGCAAAAATACGTTGTTCTACAGTAGTAGTAGCACATTATACACTCTGTTAATGAAATTATAAGGTATATTTGCATTATCATATTATCAAATGTTGTAATAGCGATATTCTGATAAAAATATGATTTTGTAATAACGACAAACCAAAATATATACCCAGTTTTTAAATTCGAGTTTAATTAATATTTGGTAACGTAATGAAACGGGTCATAAGTCACGTGACATATGGAACGTGACGTCACTTTTCACAGACCTCATCTAACGCTTGCCAAAACTCAAAGAAACGAAAATGACCCTCTGGTCATTTGTATTACTCATATATTAGTTGGTATTTTAGTATCGGAATTGTTTTAATCTTATTTATTTATCCTAGTAATCACGTGACAATGGTCACCGCGGAACACATGAATCAACTCCTCAAGAACGTCCTGAAGTTGATCAAAAAGAATATCGGTAACGAGAGTGCACCATGGATGACACGTATCGCTACTTATACTCAGCAGATAATAATCAATAGTTCAGAAGAATTGCTGAGAGATTCCTTCTTGCCTTTAGCAGAAAGAGTCAGGAAGAGAACGGATAATATGTTTCATAAGGAAGAGAGCTTGAGAGGATTTATCAAGGTAATAGTTTCACTTTATATCATTCAGGAATAGAAAAATAGATAACAACCTATTTTCAGACCAACTGAATATATGTACATACATATAAAATTTCTTCAAATGCGGTCAATTCGTTTTGGAGGAGTATTTCAACTAGAACTGGCACGAGAATTTAATATAATTAATTTAGCGGTACTTTTGGTGTTGTTATATTTAAGATCTATAGATGCAGGTTTATTAAAATAACTAAAACCTCTGTATAACTAGAATATTAAAAAAACTTCTTTTTTTTCTAATAATAATTGACTTTTTTAAGATATATATCAGACTTCCTTAGCATTTCTGTTCAGGTTTATTTGTATTTATGTAAAAAAAATATCTAACAAAAATAAACTAAACCGTTGCCGTCGTCGTTCCCTTTGGGTATTAAATTACACTACGAATTTAATTTTTTAAACGAGATGACTTAAAAATGTCGTTGTTATTTCCATATTAACGTATATTTTTTTAAATATTCAGATTTGTGATATTAAAATTAATACTTGCTTCTACACTTGTTACTCTTTGTATAATACTTTAGTAATTATGTATATTCCAGTCTTCAACGGACGATACATCGCAAGTGGAATCTCAAATACAAGAAGACTGGCAACTTTTAGTAAGAGACATATACTCTTTCTATCCGCTCCTCATCAAATACGTGGACCTGCAGAGGAATCACTGGTTAAGAAATAACATCACAGGTTAGTTTTCGTTTTATAGTTTCATATTTAAAGGTGAGAAGGTCAAAGATATCGTTGGAAACATATTGGCTATCTATTTATCACTCCACTTTACATTTGAAATTTCCCATGTCCAATTCTCAGAGCAAATAATGCAAAAGAGGTTAAGTGCCAATCGGAGTTTTCCATTAAAGGTTCCGTTGTCTACACTAAAATTATAAAGGTGAAAGATTTGACTCTTTGTTTGCAACGAATAGGCTCCGAAACTACTTAATCTTTTTTAATAACACTATATTATATGCGGTGAACATAAATTATATTTTATCCCAAAAAACAACAAATAAAGATATGAAAATGGTTGTGGATGTTTAGAAGTACGTTTTGATTAAACGTTACCATAGTAACCAAGGTCAAGGTCTACACATCTGGGTAGCCCATGGACATTAAAGGAGGCATTCGGCAAAGTTAAAGGGCTTATGGGCTTCCTGGAGGAGCTGGGGTGGCAGGACTGACGCAACCCCATTATTCACGCAAAATAGGCACAAGGTGTCGAGTTGCGGAAAAGCCCGCCGTATAACATAACATAACATACTATATTAACCAATTTTAATTATTCAAACCGTCATTGTAATCATATCAATGTCATGATATAAATCGATATCCTAATAAATAGTTGAAATAAGCAACAAACAATTCCTAAAACTTGAATCCCTCTGATCGCAACTTTTTAAATTATTCATATGAGTAACATATGAGAAATATTAATGGTGCACTCTATAACACGAGTAGCTCCGTGGCGTGGTGGATAAGCGCCGTGGTCCGTGATCTTTGATGTTAAGCAACTTTCGCAAGGGTCGGCCACAAGATGGATGACCTAAAAGTTATTATCTCGAACTTACTCCGTGGTTCAGAAGGCACGTTAAGCTGTTGGTCTCGGCTGTATTTGCAGTCGTCAATAACCTCCAATCCGCATTGGGCCAGAGTGGAGGGCCATGACCATTCTACTTGACCATCCATAAGGAAGGCGTGAGCCCTGCAGTAGAACGTAAAAAGACTGATAATGTTAAATATCATAACCCGTGTGAGAATACTAAGAGAGAGGAAGAGGGATAGCGAATGTAATTTGTCTTCGATACTAAATTTTAGGTATGATTTCCAATGCTTGTTATAAGATCTTTTTGGTATTAATTTTGTATGTTATACTCAACAGAGGCCGAAGAGCTCTATAATCATGTGGCGGAAATATTCAACATCTGGTCCAAGAGTCAGTACTTCCTTAAAGAAGAACAGAACTTCATTTCAGCCAACGAAATAGACAACATGGTAAATATACAAACATTTATATACGTTAACTCTCAAGATTTAAGTTTGAATTTCAATTAAAGTTGTAATTTTTTTTATCGCAGGTGTTAATAATGCCGACGGCTACACGTCGTGTCACTACTGTAGTGGACGGAGCTCCGCAAGGAGGTGGCAAGGTAACTATATTATTATTTTATATCTATGTCGCCGTTGAGTAGCTCGGCGGCCCGCGATCGTTGTTGTTAAGCAATTTTCGCAAAGGTCAGTCACGGGATGGGTGACCAATTAATTATTATCTCGAGCAACTTTGTGCTTCGGAAGACACGTATAGCCATTGGTCCCGGCTGCATTTGCAGTCGTCAATACTGTTCAATCCGCATTGGGTCAGTGTGGAGGGTCATGGCTCATCCTCCTTAACCATCCATTAGAAAGGCCTGAACCCCAGCAGTGGGGATGTAAAATGGCTGATGATAAGTTTTATTTGGTTCCATTGAAATATCACTTAGATTATTATATGTATTAAACAAACTTACGTTTTAAAAAAATAAAGACAAGAGTTTGAAAGCTACTGAAAAATTTAAAAATACATACAAAGTGACATTTAAGTCTAGTAACTCGTATGCGAGGCAAGGGACTAACAAAAATGGGAAACGCCCACATTTCAACCCCCGTTTTTGATTTTTTTTTTACTCTATTGTTGGTTATTATAAAATTTCGTATTGCCTGTATATATCTATATTTTTTCCAAATGGAAAGTGACTTCATATTTTAATGAAGTCATTTTTCAGTCTTGATACTCTGTATGAAATAAAACAGGAGAAAAAAGCAGCCCTTGCCGAGTTTCTTGCCGGTTCTTCTCGGTACAAGGTCTCCCGCAGTAGATTTACGAACCGATGGCGTAGCTCTCGACTTTCTCAAGTGCTTGTTACAGCCTAGACTGAATAAATAATTTTGATCTTTTGAATTTTTTTTAATATGTTTTCTATAGTATAATTAATTTTTTTCATTCTTACGGTGCATAGAAAAAGAAAAAACACCGTGACAAGAAACGCGATAAAGATAAGGAAGTGCAAGCGTCCCTGATGGTGGCCTGTCTGAAGAGGCTGCTTCCTGTGGGACTCAATTTGTTCGCCGGCAGGGAACAAGAATTGGTGCAACACTGTAAAGACCGTTTCCTTAAGGTAAATATTATTTAATATAAACATCTCTAAACCATATTTACCATTTATCGTTTGTTCCTATCCATTTTATTTTATTCATTCAAATGTCAACCTGATTATAGCGTATTTAATATTTTTCTTAAAGTTGAGAATTCCGTTTCATATTCGACTCGTGAATAAGATTTTTTTTGCATAGAAACCGCAGAACTTTCCATAATTGGTAGTTTGAGTGGTTAAAAATTATTATTTACATTCGTAATGAGGGCATTCATTGGTGTGGTTGATGTAGTGTGGAGTATGTAGTAGCATAAAACAAACCTTTGAATGTAATAAAGTCTAATTTTGAATCAGTCAGCATTTCCAAGTCTAAACACGAAATCTCCGAGTCATACAATATGTGAATGGGACAGTTATTACATTTCTTTTCATTAATTATATAAAATCAATACAATAAAATCCAAATATTCTTTTAGAAAATGTCCGAGCAAGACGTGGCGGAATTCGCTAAAACTCAACTGACACTTCCGGACAAGATAGATCCAGGAGACGAGATGTCCTGGCAACACTACCTCTACAGCAAGCTGGGCTCTAAATCCAAGACTAACATTACCATAGAGACTGCTGAGAACAAAGCAAAGATTATAGACGACACCGTAGAGAGGATAGTGGCTATGAGCAAAGTGTTATTCGGATTACATATGGTAAGTAGAAATAATATAAACTATTATGTTATAACAAGCGCTTTCATACCACCTCACCCACTTTGGGGTGGAATTTTCGAAAATAAATTTTAAATACGCGCCTACTCATTTAAATAAATATACCCTCAAAATTTCAAGTCTTACAATGAACGGTTTTGCTGTACATCTCTTAGTAAGACCTTTACTAAGTTTAAATTTAAATAAATCTTATGGTATTAAAATAGGATATGATATTTTACACCCTAATAAAAAAAATAAGATGGAAAGTCACGGTGTTATTATTTTAATTGTCGATAGATGGCGTTAGTGTAGTACATTTATTTATTCAACAAAGTTTTTACAACGGTTACAAATCTCATTAAGTACACGCATACAAGAGATATATGATATGTTATGAGACTACAGTTTCTGAGAGGGCCGTAGGGGTTAATTCATTAAAAAATTGTTAAAAATAAAAAAGGCTTGTCATATGGTGTTCAAAGGTAATTTATTCACCAATTTGTTCATAACCAGATCGATCATCCCCAACAAATGTTTAAGAACGTTTACCGATCGGTGGTATCGATACAAAGGAAGCGAGCGGTCATAGCGTGCTTCAGACAAACCTCGCTCCACTCTTTGCCAAGGTTCACACGTATATATACTCTGTGTGTTGCATGGAGAGTTGGTTATTGCTTAACAATCTTATTAATTGGAGTGTATACTAATATTAAATTATTCGTGTTATTGTTGTGCTATTGATGTCGCGATTAAAGATTCAGCGTGAAAATAAATGAAATTGCAATATTTTTATTTTTAATTAACCATAGCAATATATTTATTGAACTTGATAAGAAAAAGAAAGAGTGTCCATTTGAAACTCTATGTCTTTGTGGTCTATTTTCTTATTTATTTTTGAGTAAAAATTAATTTATGGCGGTGTTGACATCTGATAATATCTGCAGATACTGTCTCAAAGGGAGTAACATGACGTTATTGGTCTACAAATGAGAAAAATCCCATTAGTTTTGCAGCACATAACGTGTCCTGTTTTATAAAACTTTCTAATTCAATCTCTTCTTTATGGCTCTTCTATGGTTTGTCCAGTGTCTAGTTGCCATATATTTGTCCGATCTCTGTACAATATGGCTATGATTTCTATATTTCAAGTCCGGGAGAACTCGGCGCAAAATTACTTTTGTGGCTGCATACGAGCCACAGGCTGAGACACTCGCCAGCGCTCGACATAAGGTTGCATTTTATGGCTCATCTTGCGCGCCAACTTCGTATAGTTTTCTCTTATATTTTTTTTTTGTTAATTTCCAAGATTAATGCAGCGTAATCGTAATACCTTCTTTTAAACTACTTGAAGTTTTGATAAAATATCTATGATTTCGAAATAGCGGTGGCACTCAATGGTGGGTGCGCTTGGTGGGCACATTTAGCAGCTTTGAGCCAAAATAAGACACGTTTATTGCTCGCATTTTGTAGTTTTATATATATCCGATATTTTACAATCAGTATCAATTTCTAAAGCTTCGAAATTTCTACTAAGTAAAACTGCTACTGTGGACCAAAGTTGCCAGCGTCACATCATCGGGTTGGTTAATTTCTAGCCAAGACTACTCAAACTAATATTAAATATTATAAATACCAATTGATATATATCAATCGATATACATCATGATATACATCTGTTGATATTTATCAGCGAACTCTGATATAAAGACATGTGTTGAATGAGAGGGAGGGATAGTAAATTATTTCAAACGATAAATACCTTCGCTTTTTATTGTTTTTTATCGAGCTTTTTATATGAATTTTTATACATTTGATGTACTAGATAGTAACATTGTCGCATGCTGCATCGGACTAACCAGGCAACAAAGCCTAAACAGAGATCTAACAATTGGAAGAGAGTGTTGTGTGCAGCGAGGAAACGTGCCGCAATCGCATGTCTCAGATCTACACAACTATACAAGATGAGTCGGTTTGTATACTAGTTTGTTTGTTTAACTTGTACGAATTAACATGACCCTAAAGACCTATTCTATTTGTTCTTCTTTGAACGAAACTTCTCATAATCTTGTTAGAATCATATTGATAAGATGATTAGAAGAAAAAGAAGACTATCTGTGCATCAGATGTGCTTTCTATCTCCGTTGCCACATAAATAATCGAAAAATGCGTTTCTTTGGAGTCTAATTAGCATTTCGAAAATGGCCTACAGGTGTACGTTTATTTGTATGGGTAGTATTTATTTTATCACATATACAAAGACTTCTATGTATACTCTTATTTTAAAAATCATATTTTTAACAATTATCTACCAATAAGGTGATGATGATTAATATTTGTTTATTTTTTTTGCGTAATCAATAAATTACAGTGATACATCCGAGTTGAAATGTCGCGTGACATGACGCTTTTGTACATTTTCTACATAGTTGTGACGTAGCGAGCCCCACTCCTCAACTTTAAGCTTATTATCTAAGCCATTTCTTGTTCAATTTCAATTAAAATAATACGTATCGATCTTTTCTATTATCTGAGTGACTAAATAGATTTTTTTTTTACCCAGTCAACATTCCTATTATAAATGTGTTAGATGTTATTCGTATTATTTAAGCATGGTTTAAATTATTTGTGTGATTTTATCGGCATAAACTTTCATATGCTCATAAAATATTTTCATTTAATGTCTTCATAATATATTATTCATTGCAATTGTTTCTGTGACAAATATATTAAAATAACGTTTGATTATTTATAGGCATCGTGCGTGCAATATATTTGCGAGAACTTACTACGAACTTTGGTTGGAAGAAGAGAACGTCGGTCAAGAAGTCATGATAGAAGATCTTACTGTGAGTATTTATTAAATACTGATTAAGGCTCTATTGAGCAAATATATTTTTTAATTTTATTACAAGAATTCTACAGCATAATCTTAACAATAAGATACAAGTTGAGTAGATCCTTAATGTAATGCTTTGTAATTTTATATAGGAAAACTGCAATTACAGTTTTCCTGGGATAAAATTACAAAAATCAGAGATATATAATTATTTAAAACTATATTACAACCAAAAGTATACGTTACATAGTCTGTATATCCCTATTGTTCATTCTGATTTTTCAAAAGCCTCACAATAGATTAGCATAGAAGTATTATAGACATTATCATCTAATTTGTTATCTGATTTTATTGAATATTCTTACACCAATTTTATTTATAATGACATAATTGAATGAGTTTGTCTTGCCATATTACTTACTTCTATAAAATGAGTAATCTGTGTTTAAATCAACGTTAATCTTGTTAGTGTGATAAATAAATAAAAATCAGAAACGTTCGTCAGTTAGAAAGAGAGATAAGGTCCTTAGGTTCCTTATCTATTTCTCTATTGAAGGCTGCAGAATTACTGTAAACAAACGTCGAATCGTTTTGCTTTATTCTCTTTCTGCGCTTACTCCGCTTGCGTGACTAAAAAGAGACAGATACCGCCTTAGTATAAAACGAGGACTAACTTCAGTACCAGTTTTAAACCATTATCCGAATAATTCCACACGTCTCAACTTGTAGTTTTCTTTCCTCTCATTAAATGTTATCTTCGATTTACTTTAGGGAGTCAATGGTTCAAACCAAATGCTGACTTTAGTCCTCATTTTATAAAACTGTATTGCTTAAGACGGTCTTCTCTTTATTCCTCCTCGAGGGACAGCTCTAAGTCGAGTTTCCTTGTTACATCTATAATGACAAGCTTCAAGTCGACAACAGCAAAGGTAACTTCTGCCAGCTGTCGGCAATGATGGAACTATTATTAGTCACACGATCAATTGCAATAAAAATACTCTCATGTAGCTGTAGTAATGCAAACTATGGTATACAGCAATCATTCGAAGATGCGGAGTTGAAGAAGAGTGACGTAGTGGAAGAGGAAGGGAAGCCAGATCCGCTGACACAGCTGGTCACCACATTCTGCCGCGGCGCCATGACCGAACGATCGGGTGCACTGCAGGTAAGTAAGATGGAATTGAAAGGAAAACATTCCTTCGACAAAATTCTAGTTACTATATAAAATTATTACGCACGGTTGCACACGTCGTTACCACGTGTGAAATTTCTGCAATGGCTTTTGACCTCTACCCTCAACGTATTAAGGTTTAAAATTGAATGGGGAAATTTGACAGTTGTATGTAGTCTGACTTGCAGTTGACTGTACTATAGCGTCCTGTCCTGTTGACATCCGGTCACGGATTGTTAATTAAAAAAGTTATAGTTTAGTAGCCTAACTGTCTAATTTATAGATCTTTCACAATCCTTTCAAAGGTATCGCAATTGTGATAGACATTTATGGAATTGTGTAACTTTCAAAGTCTCAATCGCTGCGAACTTAAAATAATATTTGCATTCAACGCTTGTCTTAGACATTTCAATTCACGTTAAATTTACTATATTGTTCATTTAATACCTTTCAAAAAACATCGCAAGCGCTATCACATGCTAAATAGTTGTAGCATATATTTTCTGAATATCTTTCAAATTTCAAATTGAAAGGTATTGCGGTACATTTTAAAATTAAAGAAATAGACCCCTGCCGAAAGAAAATCCACCATGAGAAACGTTTGTTGGAACTTACTGTAGTTACTTAATTAACAGTGAATATTAACTGCATGTTGCCAATCTACAAGAATATATATATATTTTAATAATTTCCCAAAATAGGAGGATCTCTTATACATGTCATACGCTAATATAATCGCCAAGTCTTGTGGAGAAGAAGAGGAAGAAGGTGGCGGCGAAGAAGAAGAGGGTGGTGGTGAAGCAGAGGGTGAGGAAGAAGGAAGAGCTAGTATCCATGTGAGTACAATTATAATACTTTAGTGCGCAAGACTTCTAGATAACAAAGAATATTCAAAGCCCTTTCAAGGTTAGAAGTTTCATTGTCATAATTGGCTACTAGACTACTATAAAAAATTGTGAAATATGTTGGAAATTATACTTTATATGTAAACAATAAATATGTAGTATTACTGAGCATCATGTGACGTCACTTTTCAATGAACTAAACATCAATGTTTTCATTGCCAGCGCAACCAGCACTCATGTTTATTGAAATGTGACGTCACGGCTTGAAATGTCACGTGATTGATCGGTTTAGCGGGACAATTTATATTATTGGATAAAAATATGTTTATCCTTTATTTAATAACACTTTTTGAAGAAAAATGAATCTGATAATAAGATCATATGATAATTTCAAAATACTTTTCCCTAGTAGCCAATGACGTTAGTAAGTAATCGATCTTATTCATGTTTCATGCAGAAAACTATGGGAACATTCATGGTATGTAACAGCTAATACGTCTTATCTTTGAACACTATTATTGCTCGTATGTAATATTGTTCTTTATCTATTTTATTCGTAATTAAACACATAAAAATGTGAAACAGAAAATATTATTTAAATCATTCCACTAGAGCATTATTTTGAAAATACTGATAAGGTCATGAAAATTCTTTCACCCGCTGAATACTAAATCTTATGCGAGAGACTATATTTAAGACGAATAATATGATGTTTTTGATAATATTTTTATTTATATTCCATAGGAACAAGAAATGGAGAAACAAAAGTTATTGTTCCACCAAGCTCGTCTCGCCGACAGAGGTGTGGCAGAAATGGTACTGTTACACATATCTGCATCGAAGGGGGTTCCCAGTGAGATGGTGATGAAGACCCTCGAGTTGGGTATATCGATCCTGAGAGGGGGTAATATTGATATACAAATGGTGAGTCGGTAATTACTTTTGTTTTAAGAAGTTCTAAATATCGCAAAGAAAATGTAATATAAGTGTAAACTAAAAACGAGTTGGCCAGTAGCAAATGTTATCCGATTCGGTTTTAAGTAGTCTGTTAGTAATATTATAATTGCAATTCTGTGTAAATTTACATTATCTTTTACAATAACTCTGGTCAATAAATTATTTTATTTTATTTATAAAGATTTGATTGTTTTTTGCATCGAATAGGTTCCGAATATACTAGAGCTCAATTACTTGCATCTTGCTAGTATATTATCTACCTGAGGTCCAATATTATTAGTGCAATGTCTTTCACATATCAATAGTGACAGATATATTTATTATTTTGTGATCGAGTACTTAAAACTAGGAACAAAAAATAACGAAACTCCATCGTGTTTGGGCTCTTTAAATCCGTCTTACCCAGTGTTATTACTAAACAATGTTTAGCATTGGAGTAAATTTAAGCTGAGACTGCACGTAGTATTAGTTAAAATTCATAATATTACACAGAGACTTAGCAAAGGTTAACCTAGTACGAGGTTCTACGAGAGTAATATTTACTCCTAGTAGGTAGTAGGTTTGCTTATTCTCTGTTAAATATGAATTTGGACAAATACTTAAATTGCAATTTTAGTATAAAATATACTCTGACGTTAAACTGTGTTGAAGTTATAGTTAATAAAAATATAATCAAAACAAATGTAATATAAGAAATTATAGTCGTATAACTGTTCCTGTATGAATAAATAAAATCTATACGTCCTTTAACGTTTAGAATTTTTATTTACTCTTTAAAGAGCACAAATAAAAGCTTGTTTTTAAAAACTTTTTTAATATATTTTGTTAAGTCATTGATGTCTATTAAAAATATACGTTTAGGGTATGCTCAATCACCTGAAGGATAAGAAGGACGTGGGATTCTTTACATCTATCGCCGGCCTCATGAATTCCTGCTCGGTACTCGATCTGGACGCATTCGAGAGAAACACCAAGGCTGAAGGTGTGATATAGTACTAAATTATTATATACACTATATGGTAGCGCAGAAAGGGATGATGGCTGACTGAAAAATATCTATTTAGTACGTCAATCAGATAATACATAAATATTATATGCATTTTTTTATTATTTTTTTATTTCAATTTAACAAGAAATAGCTTAGATTAGAGGTATTAATTTTGTAGAAAATGTGCAAAAGCGTAACGTCATGTGACAGCAAAATCGGTGCTTCGCTTATTCTTCGATGATTTAGGTACACCGAGCCTTTACACTTGTCTTCTGTTCTTTGCTGTTCTTGCGTATTCTATAAGTTTGTGATGTGATTGTATGTAGTTGTTTGAATAAACGAATGCACCGACAGACAGGAAAAAAAATAATCTTCATTCCTATTCATATATGTATTTGTACGTCATATGGTTTTAATTCTTACTGTTTATATTTTCTCGCAGTGGATGAAATTCAAGTGGCATCATACAAGATGTTAGGCTCGTATATACGAGTATTCTCGGTATTGGCAAAAAAAAAATGTTAATATTTTACAATTAAAAAATTGCCGTCATATCTAGTGTGCAACGTGAAAACGGCCAAGTTTTTATTTAAACCGCTGTAAAGTGAAAGCTTTTCGCTGTTGAATATTTACAGGCGCCGAGGAGTTATATTCTACTATCTATCGGACTCTACTGTAAAGTCTGCTGCGTAGCTCGGCGACGTAGTGGATAAGTGCCGCGGTCTGCAATCGTTGTTGTGAAGCTACTTTCGCAAGGGTCGGTCGCGGGATGGGTGACCAAAAATATTATTAACTGAAACTACTCCGTGCTTAGAAAGGTCCATTTAGCCGTTAGACCCGGCTGCATTTGTAGTCATCAATAACCTTCCAATCCACATTTTGCCAGCGTGGAGCGTCATGGCCTATCATACTTAACTTAATAAAGAAGGCCTGATCCCCTGCAGTGGGGACATGAAAGGATTGATAATGATAATGATGATTAAACTCTCTGTAAAGTTAGTACCGTTTATGTCCTAGGTTTGGGCGTAGGATTGGAGGGTGCTGCGGGCGAGAAGAATATGCATGACGCCGAATTCACCTGTGCTCTATTCAGATTCATACAGCTGACTTGTGAAGGACACAACTTGGGTAAGAATCTTTTTAGGACGTCAGCGCTCACTAGGATGGGATTTTGTGAAATTCAATCCCTAAGAAATTGTTTTTGGTTTAATAGTTTGTATGAAACATTATTACTTCAAGTGCTAGAAAACTCAATTTTTTCTTCTTTCATAAGTCATATGTATATGATAACTTAAATATTCGACCGCAGAATGGCAGAACTATCTCCGTACTCAAGCTGGTAATACTACAACAGTGAATGTGGTCATTTGTACCGTGGACTATCTGCTACGACTACAGGAATCAATCATGGACTTCTATTGGCATTACTCGAGCAAGGTACGCTTCATAGGGTTAGATAATTACGTGTAAACCGCAAACTTATAAAAAAAAGAGATTTTTTTCTAAGAAGAATCTTACCTGTATTCTATAAAAAATTCAAACGTCAGCCTTCGCTTCAAATAAGCTTCGCAGCAAATAAATAGTTGGACAAACAAATTATCTCTCATATTTTTGTCAAAACATATCTTGTCCTCTATACGAAATTTCAGATTAAAAAGAACATTAGTACGACCGCCTAAACTCTTTACCCATCACTAGTTATATGATACGATATCTTTGCCTATTAAGGTGATATTTCATTTTAATTTACTATTTTCACGTATCTTTCGTCGGATAAATTTAGCATAAATGACTAATTTGTTAACTGCTGGTTCTACATTGTAATCATCATTCTTTATCATTCGTTCATTGTTATTAAGGTCTTTGTCAAAGTAATAGAAACGAAATATCGATATAACATCGCTAAGATGTCGTATGGCTAGAGAGTTAGGCGGTCACACTCCAGATCTCAATCAGCTTTATTGCAAAAATTGAAATCACAGACACCAAGTGAATTATTTGAGAATTTGAACAAGAGTTAGAATACTGATTCTATATTTTTAAAGTTCTATATTGTTAACGATATAACGTGTGCATTGAATGCTATGAATTTATAGTTACTTCAAACTTCAAAACAACAAGAAATAACTTACATAACTGGTATTAAAATTTGGTTTGGGTACTCGCTACATCACGGCTTTGTAGAAAACTTACAAAAACTTCATGTATGACATATCATATGACATCGTCATCATATTAAATTTTAACCTAATGTGTCGCTACGAAAATAAATATTTGCTCAAAAAATAAACAATTACATGTTTAATATTTTTCAACAATCCACCTGAAGGAGAAACTAAACACAATTTAGTAATCGACCTTATTAAATGTTGATGCCTCCACATGATTCCATTATCTTATTGTGGTTAGGAGTTAATAGACCCGGCGGGCAAAGCCAACTTCTTCAAAGCCATCGGCGTGGCGTCACAGGTTTTCAACACCCTCACTGAAGTAATTCAAGGTCCCTGCACACAGAATCAACAAGCTCTGGCACATTCCAGGTACGTATAAATTCAGAAAAATTGTAAAGATTTTTGAAGTTATGTTGGTATCAACAGAATTTAATTAAGTTTAAATAAAATTATAAATTAAACTACTAATAGCATTAAACATCATCTATAATTTTAAGAAACATTGTTGGATAATGCATGGATGTGCGTCCTGTTATTTAAAAATTACGAATTTTTATTTACGTGATCTAAGCTTATCCTAGTGTACTAGTGCGTAGATCAAAGAAATTAATATAAGGTAGTAAGTTTTCTTGTAAATAATGTTTATACATAATAAAAAGGGTTACGAGAGAATGCAAGGAGAGGAAGACCAAAACAGATATGAGCGCCAAAAGTTGTTTTTTTTTGCCATACTGCTTTCCTTGCAGCATTCAGATGTACAACTTTTTATGATACAATAAGTGCATATGTGGCACTAAATTTTGACACGCATTTTTAGGTTCCGTGTCCACAGGGTAAAACGGGGACCCTATTACTAAGACCTCGATGTCTGTCTGTCACCAGGCCGTATCTCATGATCCGTGAAAGTTAGACAAATTGTAATTTTCCCAGACGATGTATTTCTATTTGTTATGTATTATCTATGTTTTATATGGCATCTCAAAAAAACCTTTTTGATTGATGGCAACACAGCCTTCCTTCTTCTCCATTTTTGACGACGCTAAGCGTGCATTTGTTAAATAATGTATTTTGTGATTAAACTAATAAAGAGCAGTGAATCACAATTTTATATCTTTCATTGATCACGGCGATCATTGTGTCTCTGAAGGACAGAGGACACATCACTATTGCAGCTTCAACAACATATACTATAAACATGATTTTTAGCTCGTTTATGGTACAAAACACTCTGTGCGCGAGTCCCTGTCGCACTAGGCCGTTTTTATTTATTTGAGAATAAGGTCCCGTCAAGACGCCCTCAATAATTTGGTGTGATGTTCATTTTTGTACGCCTGCTGCACGTTACAATATGTCTTTCCGCAAACGATTTTCTACTCAGCTCTCAAAATGTTAAGGTTTAAATTCAAGTGGAGAAGTTTAACAGTTTTGTGTAACCCGACGTGATGTTGACTGTATATTACAGTTTTAGATAAAGCATTTAGTAAACAAATTATGATATATTTGTTTAGGTTATGGGACGCGGTGGGCGGTTTCCTGTTCTTATTCTCCCATATGCAGGACAAATTGTCCAAGCATTCCTCACAAGTGGACTTGCTTAAGGAACTCCTCAATCTGCAGAAGGATATGATCACCATGATGCTCTCTATGCTTGAAGGAAACGTTGTCAATGGTGAGTTACACACATTTACTTAGTAGAGTTACTTTAGTATAATCTATATCGCTAAACTAAATTGTAAAGTAATTTATCTTAGAAGAAAGTCTATGGTAGTACTTTTTCTGTTCCACGTTTCTATTAATACAATAAAGACAAGAAATTAGATCGGTCCATCTATGACGCTATATCTATTAAGCATAATCAGCAAAGGTCCGTGGTGTGAAAAAAGATGAAGCTAATACTATATCCATAGCATAATGACCTTTAGTTTTATAGTAGGTAGGTATATTTTGCGGTTCCAAGATACGTTTTAATATATACGATAATTAGTAGCGAACAGTGTTTTAATGTTTATATCAGAGTAAATATAGTATACGTATATATAACGATTGAAGAAAAATATTGAAAACGTCTTTATCTTTCTGTGTTTATCAACAACAGTTAATATGAACTAACTGTTGCTTCCAGTAGGTGATAGTATTTTCATAATCCAATCACTATTTCCCGACATTACACTCTACAAAGAATCTAAGAAATAAACAAAATTAGAATCTATACCTCTTTATATGTATAATAATAGCCTAAATAGATTTTTATAGATCTTAGAATTTAAAGGAAATCCTTCCATCAGGTACCATCGGTAAACAGATGGTGGACACACTAGTAGAATCTGCGTCTAACGTAGAGTTGATCCTCAAGTATTTCGACATGTTCCTGAAGCTGAAGGACCTCACATCCAGCGCCAGTTTCCAGGAGATAGACGCCAATAACGACGGATGGGTACTACCCAAAGATTTCAAAGAGAAGATGGAACAACAGAAGAGTTATACACCGTAAGTCTTTACAATTAAAGTTTGAAATTGATTTTCAATTGGGTTGTGTATCAATCTATGTATATAAATGCGCTCGCAGTAAGAAAATATAATGATGACCTTATGCGTATTAGAATAGATTTTGAAATATCACAGCAAACACATTTCGTTTTGCATTTCTGATAATGTTTTGGTAATAACTTGACGCTTATATCAAAAGATTTGGTGTATTTTTAGAATTTGTCCAAATAATAATAAATTATGATCCATAAGCCATATCATTACGTAACAACACGGTACACAAAACACATTAGTGTACTATACATTTTTGAAATCTATTTTTAACTTAAAATTAAAAGATGGGACAAAATAGCATTTGCCTATTTTTCACTTTTTGATGGCAAACATTCGTTAAGTATAAATAAATGATATGCATTTAAAAACGTCAAAGACATATTAGTGTAGTTTAAAATGTTTTATTATGATATGAGGACTAACTATAGTACCAGGTTTAAGCCACTATCCACGATCGACTTAAATAAGTCTACATGTCTCAATTTGACGTTAAATTTTATGTCATTGTCAATTTAGTTTAAGTAGCCAATGGTTTAAAGTCCCAAATTAAGACCTCGTTTTATAATAAGAAGAAAATAAATATCGAAAGTGCATTGAAACATAAATGAATTGTATAGCTCTTGTATATTAATCAGCTCAATTCATCAAATATCAGATTATACTTACGGAAATATCCAAATTAAAACTAAAGAGTCTCTCCTAATAAGTCATGAGTTTGCATTTCAAACCTTATGAGGTTATACATAGCAATCATCTATATAATGACTTGGTACATTTCTTACTCAGAGAGGAGATAGAGTTCCTGTTGGCTTGTTGCGAGACGAATCACGACGGCAAACTGGACTACATCGGGTTCTGTGATCGATTCCACGAGCCCGCGAAAGAGATAGGCTTCAATCTCGCCGTCCTGCTCACTAACCTATCCGAACATATGCCGAATGAACCCAGGTATACTATACTTTTTAATTGATTAAAAATCGATGTTATTTTCATTTAACAATAACTTTTTAAGAGGAGCTCGATGGCGCAGTTTCGTGTCTGCGATGTTAAGCAACGTTCGTAACGGCCGGTTACAGGATGGGTGACCAAAAAATTATCATCGTCAACTCCTTCATGCTTTTGATACGTCAAACCATTCGTTCTTCCTGTTTCTACAGCCGTTAATTTACACCCACCAGTACGCAATAGCCCGCGTGGTGGGTATGCATGACCACTTGTCCCTGCTCGATTCGATTCCATCCACGAGGAAAACTGAAAATAGGCTAATTATGATGATTAAAAATTTTTGATAGTGTAATTTTAATTCTAGCGCCATCTATCGTCAGTAAATACAAATAATTCTATATCATAGAGAACTAAGCACTTAAAACCCATAGATGTCGCTGGAGTCTTATTTTACTAACTTTTTCTATTTTGTATAGAACCAGCCCTTGTCACCCGAGTACGATGAAGCTTCACGTAGGTGAAACAATTTTTTAAATTGGTCCAGTAAATTTGGAGCGATACAAAAAAACTAATATTTCCTCTCTATAATATTACTAAAAAAAATGGTATTTGATAATGGTCTCTTCTTTCACCAGGTTGGCTCGTTTCTTGGAGACTGCAGGATCAGTCCTGAACTATTTTGAGCCATTTTTGGGTCGTATCGAGATCATGGGCGGCTCTAAGCGTATTGAGAGGGTGTACTTCGAGATCAAGGAGTCCAACATTGAGCAATGGGAGAAACCACAGATTAAGGTAAACAATAGTCATTTATTATCAAAAAAAAATAGATACTTTGCACTCTGTTTTGTTCTTATTAGGCTTAGAATGTATTAGATAAGTTTAGGAATATTGTATTAATAAGATAACGCAATTTGTTTTAAGTCTTCATACAAAATTAATTTTACGAATTCACAATTTCTTAAATATAATAATAATTTAATATATTTTTAACTCTCAGGTTTAAAATAAGTATTATTAAAAATATTTTCTGTAACTATTAAAAAATACAAACTAACTGACTTACAAATCGCAAAGAAAATGTCAAAACATCGTTTGGGTCAAACGACCCTTCCTTAATCCAAGCGACATATTTATCAAATTTTTGCGAATTCCAAATAATAAATTATCTCATTATAACTTTGATCAATTAACCATTTTACCGCCGACTTTTTTGGAGCCATGGAACTGATTACTCTTTAATCTTAAATCCATCCAATCCATGGATTTGATTGTGTTATAAACCTTAATATTTCCCATAATCGACTATGGTCATGTGTGCTACTTCGACCTGCCATCTAACCCTCGAACGCATTCGCCGGTCGGCATTGCAATTGTGCCGCTCCGCACTCTTGTATCACATCACAAATGATACTGTCGGAAAGGAAAGTGATAGAAGTAATAAAATAATTGCGTATATTCATTGGCAGGAATCGAAACGCGCGTTCTTCTACAGCATCGTGACAGAAGGCGGTGATAAAGAGAAATTGGAAGCGTTCGTGAACTTCTGCGAGGATGCGATATTCGAAATGACTCATGCATCCAGTCTAATGGCGGCGTCAGAAGAATCCGCTGGCGGACCAAAGAATAGAGAAGCTAGCTATATGTACATGGGAGATGATGATGACGACAGGTAAAATTCTAAAACCTGAGAATAAACAATGTTTTTATTCCAATATAAGTTTGTTGAAAACGTTCTAAATTGTTCCAACATTTTTTATTAACCGGTTAGCATTGTAGATGTATTTTGTTGGCTGACAATAAGAATTAGCGCAACTTAGCATATTAGTAGAGTAAATCATAACGTATTAGTTGAAATTTACATGACTCACAGATTTACCCGTGGGAAAAATTCGAAATGAAACAAATTGTAATAAATCAAATTGAATCATCCGAATGTTGGGGGGCGGGAATACGAAGTCCTGATGCGTTGTATTTTACACCTTATGGTTATAAGAAATCTGATTATAAACTTTAATCATCATCGGAGTTAGCAGATGCACCACGTGCCATATTAATTGGATTTTGTAAATAAATTTATATAATTTTAACATTGCCAAATCAATCTCATTATTATGAAAATTATAATGTACTGGATGTCTCAAAAGAAATATTATTTGTAAAATACACTCTTTGAGAATTTATTACTTAAAAATAATGTTTTTCAAATGTTTAATTGAAGCTTTAAAAATACGTATCCAATATTTTTCTGTTATCGTACTGACTAAATAGAATTTCTTTTTTTTTACCCATACATCATCCCTATTGTGCCTATTATTCATTACTTATATTATCAACTAGCTTTCACCAGCGGCTTCGCTCGCGTGGACCCTAGGGAAATGTTTAGTGGGATAAAAAGTATCCTATTATCTAAATCAGCTAATACCTAACTGTATACCAAATTTCATCAAAATCCGTTCAGTAGTTTCGGCGTGATTGACGGACAAACATCTTAACATCCAAACAAAGAAACTTTCACATTTATAATATTAATAGGAAAAATAACAGGATACGTTTTCTATCAAGTTATTGTTAAAGTCACTTATATTCAATCTCTTTTCTAGAGCCGGCAAAGATCCCTTCCGTCGAGGTTTGCAGTCTGTGAAAGATGGCATCTCAACAGCATTCTCATCTTTATCGCCGTCTAATATAAAACAAAAGATCGCTGACATGCAACAAATGCCCCCGGCCGAATTGGCCGTTGGATTCTTCAAGATGTTCTTCTATCTGTTCTACTATTTAGGATATGGTGTTCTTGTTGTCATCAGGTGAGTTTAGATCTTATTTACATTAATTTTAAGTTATTTTTTTATGGCAATAAATGTGGCAGCATAAGTCGTTTTCTCATCACTGACCTTTTTAAATTTAAAAATGTTCGAAATTAACGAGAAAATAAACGTTGTACGAAGTTGTTAAATATTACAACTTATATAAAGAGAGATATTATATACAAGTGTTATTTTTAAATGCCTTACAAACACGTTAATCTAATCTGTTCTTCGATAAGTATATGTATTATTAACTGAATATATTTAAATGTCTCAAAATAAACTCTTGTGTATTTCACGCATTTCAATGGTGCACAGTCATTGGTAATTTGCCTTTTCTTATATGTAAATAATATGTTTGTGTCGTAACTTAGATGCTAACTTGTTATCTATTGTCTATAACGTAGAATCTTTTTTACAACCCTATCTATAGCTTTTATTCTCTTTTAAAGCACAGAAAAAGACAGTATGCCAATGAATACTACCATATTCATTTCCCCATTCAACAATTAAACCCTATGTTAAGTTAGATTAAAACCTACTTTAATTTATTTTAACATCTTTTATACAATATGTTCTATGAGGCTAGTTTTTTTTTTTACTCTGACAAAATTTTATTCATCTTATGAAACTGAAAAACCGACCTTCGTTGTAATATGTTGGTTACATTAAACATTCTACGCTTGAAGCGGTTAACCGTTAGAGCAAATATATCAAGTGACTATTATGATATTTTACAAAAACAGATGATTGAATTCTGCAATCGATCAAATAACAATAGAGATGATGACTGGGTAAAAAAATGCAATTCTATTTAGTCCGTCAGTCAGATAATAGAAAAACATTAGATACGTATTTTTTTTTTACTTCAATTTAACAAGAAATAGTATAGATAACAGGCATTAAAGTTGAGGAGTGGGGGCTCGCTACGTCACAGATGAGTAGAAAATGTACTCTAACGTGACGTCATGCGAAATTTCAACTCAATGTAACGCCGTAATTTTATGATTACGAAAAAAATACGTGTTTAATATTTTTTAACACTCTACCTGACGTATAAACAAACAAAAATTAGTCATCATCCCTATTATACTATTTTTTCTTTGCACCATATTAAAACGTTCGTACTCAATATCGCCATCTTTTTATAATAAGCTTGTATAATATACTTAAGAGCTCATAACCTATCTTCATCATCTCTTATCTATGCATCAGCTTTAATAACTTTAGATTATGAAAAAGCAAGGGCAAAAAGACCTTAGCGGAGACTGTGAGAACTAAATTCATAAAATAATTGACTTCATAATCGATTTAGAACTTTATCCGTCATATTAAAAATGAGGACTAAATAGTACTTGGTTTAAACCAGCCTTTCAAAAACTAGGCAATAATGCCGCCTTGTGGGCGATACTACTCGCATAACTGAGGGTAGTAAGAGACCCAGAGAAATAAATGGGGGCGTTGTATAGAGACTTAGGAAGAGTTAACAAGAGACTTACGTACTACCTTCTGCACTCAAATCAACTCTTGCGGGTTTTAATAAAAGTCTAGTTTAGAATGATTGTTTCATCTCCGCTAATATAACTCATGCTAATTATTTTAGTTTGAATTTATAGTGGTTTTAAATATGTAAAAAAAATGGCAGCGCTAAAATTCAATTTATTCTCAAAGTAGAAGAAATAAGTTTGGGAGCACCTGGTTTAAAGGATTGGTGGCCTAAAGCAAATTAATTGTGACAAAGATAAAACATCAAACGTGATATAAAGTTCCTCGTTTTATAAGAAGACGGTATCTCTCTGAAGTCGTAATTAATAATAATCATTATTCGCAACAAACATTGTCTGTAAGGAATCACTAAAATTACTTTTTTTTTATTAAAAAATGCCTTTTCTGCATCATTAATTAAAAAATTGTTTCAAAAACACAATTTATACCATAGTTACCTTAGTTTGCGATGTAAAAGTGATTAAATTATTTATAGAGTAGAAGTACCAAATAAGCGATATTGCTTTTCGACTTTCATAAGTGCTTTAAAAAACTTACACGATGAATAAATGGCATTGAATATAAGTATCCTCATACTTCCGTGGCAGGTATATTTTCGGCGTACTGCTCGGTCTGATGAGAGGTCCGCAAACCGAGGAACTGCCGCCGGAGCCGACTGAGGAGGAGAAAATCGGTCAGTTGAGGCACAGGTTGATCGCGAATCAAAGTAAGGGCACACACAGGTACATACACGCGTGTGACGCTTCCGGCTTTGTTGCGATCGATCGAATGTGGTGTCGATCATTTCCATGGTAATGTATCTGACACCGAACGTCATTTACGACATTATTGTGTTGTTTATCGTAATTTACTCTAATATATCACATTTTTCACTAAAAGGAAATTAACTTGGATATTCATTAGTTATTTGAAGTATTTTAAATTGTAACATATGACATTAAAAAGTAAACTTATTGTAGAATGTTAATTATCATTTTTATAGAAAAGCATGTGAAGATATAAAGTATCTAATACTTTCTCTAGACACAAAATATTTTCTCTTCTGAATTATATAAATCATCTTCACAAAAATGGTCCATATGTTCTGAATCTTAAAAGATCGATCGCATACTAAACACTACACACACATTAATTGGCAAACGCATTTTTATATAACATTTAATTGATTAAATTAACTTTTTCAATATTACGTGTATAATTTAAAATTTTAATTGACAGTTTAGCATTTATTTGAAAGTTTAACAACAAACAGTCAGTATCAAATATGTGCCTACTTAATCATTACTCTTGAAATAAATAACAATTAAATGTAATATTTTTAATAAATTTAGTGTTTTTTTTAATATGTTTAGAATTGTCATCATAAAGAAAAGTCTTATTTTTAGAAGACTAAAACAAACCAAACTCATAACATGAAACATATCGATATAAAAAATATAGATATTTTTATTCATCAAAATATTTACAACAACTACATTTTAAATATACTCCATATATCGGAACCAAAAAAAATGTATCCGTAAAGTCTAATCTTATATGTTTTTTTACAAAAATATATATTTTGATATTGACTGTGAATTAAATTTGCTTTTGGATGTTGACTCAATTATTTAATTTACTTTAACAAACCTATAACATAACATATTTAAATTATTAATATCTCGACGGTTAAATTTTGTCTTTAATATATTGTATATTGTCTTCTAATTTGAATGTGCACATTCAATTCTATAACAAAGGTTGGACCTAATCGATGAATCGTACTCAAAAAGACTAAGAATAAACACTTATCAAATTAAATATCGAATACACATAGACATTTTAAACAAAAAAGAAATGCTAATACAAGAGAATTGATTGGGAAGCGTAGGGGCCGTCCATAAGTTATGTCACATAAAATTCATGATTTTTAAACCCCCCCTCCCTGTCACATATTTATCTATACAAATTCTACTAAATATTGTTCTAATGTCACAATTCGTCGACCCCCACCGCCCCTTCTAAATTGTGACGTAATTTATGGATGACCCCATATCAGGCTATAAAAAATTGTCAAATCTCGCCAATTGATTCTAAACTTTAATCTTTTGACAATAAGGGATTGGATAGTTATAAAAAAGTGTTGTCAATGAATCATTATGGCCGTTAATTGATATATTTATAAAAATATGAATAAGTATTCATGATACCTCTGTTTTACTTTTAATAATTCAAAAATTACACATAATAGCATCATTTCAGAGAGCGTGATATCATTATGTGGCAAGAAAATAAGGTTTTTCAATAAAGAAAATGATGTTATTTATTATACTCAAATAGTTAAAATACAAAAATTACCTTCCTCATTTAACCATACACATTTTCTGATTGCCGTCCGATCTCCTATTAAAGTTAAAAATCAATTGTGGACATTTTAATATATCTTAATAAGGAAGTAACATGTCGAATACTTATACGATGACAGGTCCATCAAGACACTTGCCCGCGTTACCACCAACGGATGATACTGGACAAATGCAAGTGCAAGCTTTCGGTCTAGATATCACCAAAGAAGACAACGGCCAGTGAGTTTTTTTCGTATGAATTTATACTTAGAAATATGTAAATGAATAAAGTTAAGAAAGCGATTAAGTACCTTGGTGGCGTAGTGTGTAAACACCGTGGATCACGAACGTTGTTGTTAAGCAACTTTCGTAAGGGTCAGTCACGGTCACAGGATAGGTGTCCATAAAATTACTAAATCAAGCTACTCCGTGCTTCGGCATGCACGTTAAGCCGTTAGTCCCAGCTATATTTGTAGATGAATGCGCTCCAATCCGCATTGGGTCAGTGTGGTGGGCCATGGCAGATTCTTCTTGACCATAAGGAAGGCCTGAGCCCTTGTAGTGGGGTAAAAAGACTGATGGTGAAAGAAGTATGTAAGGATGTGTTTTGTAGCGCTCGATTCATAGCTAGATTTATTATGTAGAGCTCCACGATTCTTAAAAGGGCACGTTAGACCGTTCATCCCAACTCCATTAGCAGTCTTTAACAATCAACAATCCACACTGATCCCGCGTGGTGAGTTCTCTCTATATGATTCTATTTATAGGGAAGACCTATGCACTAACAGTGGATGAATAAATACGCTGACGATAATTTTATTACAAAATCATTTTGTAAAATAGTCTTCAGCCTTAAAGCTCACCCACTTAAACCAACAACCAGAGCTCATACCATACATAAACAGAGCGATAAAAACAACAATTACACAGGGTAAAAAGAAAATAATATCTTGATGTAGGATACAAGTGAAACCTCACGAGTCTCCGAGCACGTCCACTCCATCATCAGGCGAGGAAGCTGACGTTTCCCTGGAAGAGGGAACAGATCATTCTGAAGACCAACGACCGCCCTCACTTATAGATCTACTAGGGTAAAGTATTTTATTTTTTATTTCATAAAAACGGGAACTTCACAATGTCAAATACATTAATGAAAAATCTTTTCTGATGTCAAATCCATGGTAACTCTTGTCTCATTTCAAATATTAAGTTCAAACTAAAGTAGATAGAAGTAATTACTAATAATCGAGCTATAGTTAATTGCGTTCTTCATTTACATAGGTCATGGATAAATTGGAAAAAGTATCACAATATTTCGGACTATGAAATTTATTCTATGTATCGTAAACGCTTCAAAAATGAGTCGGTCATCTGTTACAACAATTATATACAGAGTGTAGAAAAAATATCCAAAAAAGCATAAAATATTTCTGGAAATACGTCTCTAGTCGTAAGGATGTCGGCGAAGTTCCCTCAAATATATATTATGGGAATGAAATGGCCAATGACCCGGTACGAGCAAGTGAATTGTTCTCAAACTTTTTTAAGTCAATGTTTGAACCTTCCTCTATATCTAATGATTTTAATATAACTGATTGTGACATACACATGAACCCTAATTCTGAATTTATTATTAGTGATGTTTTAATTGATACTGAAAGTACAATAAAGGCATTAAAAGCCTTAGACATAACCAAGGGTTCTGGATTAGATAACATCCCCCCGATATTTCTTAGATGTACTGCAGAGTCAATCCATGTACCTGTATGTTACTTGTTTACTAAATGTCTGCGAACAGGTTATTTCCCAAATGTCTGGAAAACTGCGAGAATTGTGCCCATACACAAATCTGGAGACAAAAGAGACGTGGAAAACTATCGCCCTATATCTATTCTGCCCACCCTGTCGAAGCTTTTCGAGAGACTCGTACATGATGCCATTTACCCATGTCTCCATTGATGTATCATTGAAGAGCAACACGGTTTTGTGCGACAACGATCAACCACTACCAATTTATTGTTATACACATCAACGTTATTTGAAAATATAGACAGTAACGTACAAACCGACAGCGTATACACGGACTTTCGAAAGGCATTCGACAGGGTTGACCATAAAAAACTTTTGGAGAAAATAGCATACAATGGCATACGTGGCAATTTATGGAGATGGTTCAAGTCATACATCTCAAATCGTACACAGAAAGTTGTCGTCGGTGGTTGCGAATCTAACGCAAATTTAATTAGTTCTGGCGTCCCTCAAGGCTCGATTTTAGGACCCCTTCTTTTTATATTATTTATAAACGATATCACCGAGTGTTTTAAATTTTCTAAATTCTTATTATATGCTGACGACTTAAAGATATATCACGCTATTCGCAACCACGATGATCACGTTAAGTTACAAAGGGATTTAGATAGATTGACTTATTACTCCAATCGTAATAAATTGAGTCTTAACTTGAATAAATGTAAATCAATCTCTTTTACTAAAAAAAAAAATATAAGTAACTTTACATATACTTTATGTGGAAGTACTTTGGAAAAGGTGACCATTGTTAGGGACCTTGGTGTGACATTCGATAGTAGATTAAATTTTGACATACACATTGACACTATTATAACCAAAGCATTCAAAATGTATGGATTTGTTATGCGATCTTGTTATCAATTTAAAAACTTATTTACATCTATTTAAATCTTTAGTAAGATCTCAGCTAGAATACGGAGTGAGTATTTGGAATCCGTATTATAATAAATATGTGGATGATCTCGAGAGGATACAGAGAAAGTTTATGAAAACCATGTATTATAGGTGCAGACGTGCCCGTGTGTCATATGGAGAATTATTAGAACGGTACCAATTGACAGATTTAAAGTCTAGACGGCAATACTTGGAAGCCGTTGTCTTATTTAACATGTGTCACAGCGAGTTTGACTGTACTGAATTAGTAAATAAAATTAATTATTTAGTACCAAGGCGGGCGCAAACGAGATCTCTGCGTAAACACCAGCTGTTTGCTATATCTAAATGTCGAACAAATGCAGGCAAGAGATCTCCAATGCACCGAGTAGCAAAATTTTATAACGATTATTTACAGGACGTGGACTTATTCAATTTAAACAAAACAAAATTCAAAAAGTTTGTTAAAGAAAGAATAACTGAACTAAATCGCAATGCCATATCATCGTAAAGTAGTATATATTGTCATATTTGTATAGTGTTCTTTTTTGTTAGTAAGTGTTTAGGCTGATAGCATGTGCAACTTTTAACTAGTTATAGTAACCTGTGGTTAACGGTGTTGGTTTTGCAATTATGAAACTGTGAACATCATATCTTAAATTATAACGCTATTGTTAAACTGTTTGTTGACCCAAATAAAATAAAAAAAAAAAAAAATATGTTTGAGTAATGAGTAAAAAAGAGGAGCCATGGATCTGACCTCAGCAGAACGATTCTGTAAAATTCCGGACTCGAATTCGGATTCACTCAGATTCAGACGCAGAATATTACGTGACATAAATGCAGTGATAGAATATCTGAAACACGTATGAATCAATCTTGTTTAGATGGATTGATTCATATAGAATTTTACACAATCTGAATTAGGCGGATGTCGCTTTCAAAGTGAATTTATACAACTGAGTGAATTCGAATTTGGGTTTGGATTTTACGGAATCGCCTTGCAGGAATCACCGAAATATTCCAGAGCGCTTAGTGTAAGTTTTTTTGACGTTTACGTTCACTGTCGATCGTGAGCGCGTTTAGATTTTAGTATGGAATCCGGTACAGCGCCTCTAGCGGTAACTACCAAGAACTACAAATCTCCATACAAATTCATAACGCGCTCACTAGTGAACGCGTTAGCGTAAAACTTACACTTACCAGTCAGTAGGCAATATACGCGCCGAATCGGCAGAATTGTACTGTCATTTCATTAATTTGAAAATTCACTTCGACCTCCTTCTTCGATAGAAATGCGACGATAAAAGAACGACAAGATCACTTTCAACAAGCAATACTTTAGCAAGTGAATATTTCAAATAGATTATTGAAAAATATTAAACACATATCTTTTAATTGTTTTGCTTTGGTAATCAATAAATTATGGTGATACATTGAGTTGAAATATCGCATGACATCACACCTTTATACATTTTCTACATAGTTGTGACGTAGAAAGCCCCCACTCCTCAACTTTGATGACTATTATCTAAGCCATTTCTTGCTAAATTGAAGCAAAAAAAAAAGGTGTCCAATATCTGACCTGTTCTTAGTTTCACAATTTCTTTTTTTGATCTTATATAGAATAGTTGTTATAGATTTAACTAACAGCATTGTTATCTATATACAGCGGTGAACAAGCCAAGAAACAAGCACAAGAACGCATGGAAGCTCAAGCGGCACAACAAGCTGCCATGTCCGCCATCGAAGCTGAGAGTAAGAAGGTAATATACATCAGAGCGACAGCCTTACTAACTCTAGCCTTGATACTAGCGATAAGATATGACATAGCTATATTATGACGATATGTCGTTTCATGTTCGTTCCAACTGTTAAGTTGGTAAAACTGCTGTTAAAACCATAATCATCATTGTTTGTCGTTCGTTCGTCGTTACCAAAGTACATGGCAAAAGTAGTAAAATATAACTAAATATTGAATAGAATAACAATTTATTTTGACAATACACACCACATATACTACACAACACAAGGTAACCATACAATACTAATAAAGAAAAAGTGCAATGTTGTTTGTTGTCAAAACTGGCTTTTCAGAATAAGCAATGGGTGACGCCCATTCCACTGCTGTAACCAGCGGTGACAACACAGATCATTAAAGATAATATGAAAAAGAAATATAATTTTATAAATCTGTTCATAATTAAATTTCAACTAGAAAATAACAAAAGCTAAAAGACACGTACAGTAAACACTTTTTTTTAATATACAGGGAAATACATCAGTTTCCTAAGCATGGCTGCATCGGCCAGATCTCTGTACCCTTATATATAAAAAAAAACAATATTGAATGACGGCACTAGCCTCAGGAACTAACATTTTTACTCTTTGCCTAACCTCAAACTCGATGGAGCCATCAAAACTGCCAAGGATTGAACTGTAGACGTGGTAATATCATATCGTCATAACATCGATAAGATGTCGTATCCTATAGCTAGAATCCGGGTTAGACGATCGCTCTAAAGGGCCGGCCCGTCGATATAGGCAACTGCCTAGGGTACTCTATCTGAAGCTTAAAAATACTACTGTATTAAAAAGTAAACTTTAGAAAGAATTTGCACTCTTTACAGTCCTTCGGGTGGCTCTTTTAAATCTTGTATTTTAAATTTACATGCAGCTACGATTTCTAAGGAAAAAGGTAATTTTTTTTTTAAATGCTCACAATTTTTGTCACACCAGTCACCAATTTTATCCAAATCTTGCTGTAGAACATGTACATCATCCGGACCCGTAATTGCTCTATAAACCTTTAAGTCATCTGCGTACATTTTAAATCTAGATTTTATTATCGAAGCAAGATCATTTATAAATATGAGAAAAAATACCGGACGGAAATGGGACTCCATTTGGGCCCGTTATTTTTCCACACGGTACCCTTTTGGTTGTTGAAGTAAACCCATACATTGCCACCAACTGAGATCTATTTCTCAGGTACGATTCACACCATCTCAATAGTGACCCGTGAATACCTATGTGTTCAAGCTTTAATTAAGATTTATAATCTATAAAATTATATGAATTAAAAAAATCAACCCCTTTTTAATTTAGTAAAAATTTCGAATAGTAAAAATAATCTAAATCGATAGGTTCAGTACCTACATTAATAATGTTAGATATGTTTTAAGTTTCATTGATATCAAATTAGAATAATATAGCTATTGATTAAGTTAGAGGAAAGTTAACCTTATGTTAGTAAACTTATCATACTAAATAAGTTATCAAAATTTCATTACTACTACAACTAACCTACCTAAATCTAATCGAAAGTCACTTTATAGTCTAATGAAGTCAATTTCCAATTGACTTCTCTGTATGAAAGATATATATAATACAGGGACAAAAACCACCCAAGTGCGAATCGGACTCACGCACGAAGGATCCCGTACCGAAAACGAACAAAAAATTACGTTTTTTTTTTGTATGAGTCCCCTTAATTATTTATTTGATTATGTTTTTTTTATTTGTTGTTATAGCGATAACAGAATTACATCATCTGTGAAAATCTCAACTGTCTAACTATCACAGTTCATGAGATATATATAGCCTGCGACAGCAAAAAAAAACACGTTTGTTGTATGGGAGCCCCTTTAAATATATATTTTATTCTATTTTTTAGCATTCGTTGCTTTAGCAGCAAAAGAAATGCATTATCTGTGGAGACTTTAACTGTCCACCCTAATATAAGACAGCGAAGTCATAGTAATAGGGTTCCGGTTTTACCCTTTAGGTACGGATCCCTAAGGAGAAGCTCCTGCTGAGTTTCTTGCCGATTCTTCTCAGAACAAGGTCTCCTGCCGTAGACTTGCGAACCGATGGAGTAGTTTTCGACATGATATTGAATTTCAATATAGAATTTCATAATGCAATTTTCCTGGTTTTGTCTATTTTAGGCGGTCCAAGTCCCCGCTCCGTCTGCGTTGTCGCAAGTAGATCTGTCTCAGTACACGAAGCGCGCTGTCTCTTTCTTAGCGAGGAACTTCTACAACCTCAAGTACGTCGCTTTGGTCCTGGCCTTCTGTATAAACTTCGTCCTGCTGTTTTATAAGGTGAGTCTTATACCCCGTGTGGCTTGCTCTAATAATAATAATAAATCAAATATCTTTTAAACGATTTCATCGCGTTTGTATTTAGTTTTATTGACGTTTCGGACACTTTACAGGTTCCGTGCTCACGTAAGACTAAGGCGTTGATTGTCTTAAATATACGTTTCTTAGGAGTAAATGATTGAAATATACGTTTCTTAGTAGTCGTATCGTAGCATAACGGAAATAGACGAAATTTCCTTTTCGGAGAAATACTCGTAGATTAGGTCTTCAGATATCATGTTAAGTCGTACGAGCAGTAAAACTCTTCCTAGCATTCACGTCCGGATCTAGGGAAGAGAGTCAAGTGGGAGCGCTTGCCATGGGGGTCAGTGGTAGGGGGGGGCGATAAAATCATTATATAACTTATGATACAAAATCCATAAATGATATAAAAGAAAAATATCATTCACGGCAAAATATATAAGAATATAAAATTACTAATTATTACTAGAATATATATTAGGCTTCACGGAAAATGGGGGGAGGGGTGAAAAAAGGGCGCCATACGAAGTTTCTTCCTGCCCCATTAAAAATAAACCGTAGATTCGGGCCTGCTTTTATAGTTTCCTTATTTGTCAAAATATTTAATTCAATTTACTTTATGTTTAACATTGTTAATGTGTAGGTGTCGTCATTGGACGGTGATGACGGTGACGGATCAGGTGTTGGCGACATCATAGGTGCATCTGGATCCGGCTCTGGCTCCGGTAGTGGGGATGGTAACAATTATCTCATATTACAATACCTTTAAATGAGTTTCTTTTTATATAAAATCTGAATATCGGAAACGGCCTCAATGTTTGTCGTTGAATTTAGTATGCAGGGGGTTTTGGGATTATTTACCAAAAAAAATCCGGCCATCCAGGTACTTAATTTATTTTTGATAAAAAATTGTTTCCAACTATTTCTTAGGGTATTTGAGGGTACATAGTTATAGTTGCTGACTTTTTAATAGAATTCCTAAAAAGAGGTTCTTATGTTCTTAATGAAAAATGTCTAAAAAAACACTTTGTCTTTGTAACAGAGACAAAGTGGATTTTTTAAGCGAGTGAATGCAAAATTGATCAAATATAATAAGGAGGTTCTTATTTTGACTGAATTATTTTGCATGTGCTGTAATATCTTTTTTAACACCTTTGCTCGTAAAGCTGATGTAATTCCACCGGTTTCAAATATGTAAAGCGGGTAATAAAAAACGCGTGTGTTACCAAAGCAAATAGTTAAGTTATAGTCCATACAAATTCCATAACAGAATTATTTGCCATTTCGCGCGCTGTTGCCATTCAAATTTCGAACTAATCGCTGCGCGGCGCCAGTCAGTAGGCAGCGCTAGCGCGCTGTTAAAATGGCGGGAAAGCAACAGTGTACATTCACAGATTGAGTTTATTTAATGATTTTTTTTTCTGTTTCCTCGCAAATGTGTTAAAAAACGTCGTACGATATACGTGCGTATTGGTTATAACATGCTCGGCTCAATTATGCCCTCGCCTTCGGCTCGGGCTGAAATTCCGCCTCGCATGTTATAACCACCATAACGCACTAATATCGTAATGTACTATATTGTAAAACTGAATCTGAAACAACTGAAACTGAATGTTATAAAAACAGTAAAATATATTTTGTCTTCTGACTTAGTAAAAATATGTTATAATTAAATTTATATATATAGTCTGTCTTCAAAATAATTTTATTGAATTGGTTAACCAACTTTCCAGTTGCTAAGTATTATTATTAAATTTTCTTGAGGTCACTTTAACACTAATACGGTCAGTTACACAAACGTCCATTAAGCTCTAATGAATGTCATATTTGTATAGGTAATGTCCCTTTAAACTAATAACATTTTTAATGTACGTTTGTGCAACTAGCTGATAATTGACGTTACAATATAAAAATCAGATATAGTTAACAATACAATATTATTCAATAACCTTTAATATTAGATCACTAGAGTAGACTTTAACCGCATGGAGTATACTCCCCGAGTGTTGCAATGACTTTTATTATAAGATATATTGAAACCGCACTGATTTGAACTATGTAATTCCTTTAATAGGTGGCAGCGGTGAATCGGGCGAAGACGAGGAGAGTTTGGAAGTGGTGCACATAGATGAGGACTTCTTCTACATGGAGCATGTGATCAAAGTAGCGGCCATGTTGCATTCTATCGTGTCTCTGGCTATACTAATCGGATACTATCATCTTAAGGTATGTGTGTGACTACAGATAATATTGATAAAAATAAATGCTTGTACTTGATCGGATTCATGAGTTATGATGTTACAAACGGGCCTTCCTTATGTATGGTTAAGGAGGATGGGCCGTAATCCTCCACGCTGTAACAATGAGTATTTATGTTACGTATATACTTTACGGACACTATATTTTCTAACGTCTGGGTGAATTATTAATAATATCGCCCAAACGTTAGGTCACAGATAACCTCCAATAGATACCGCACGAAAGACGGCAAGCTGTATCCATGCATCTATGATTCTGCAGATCGTTTTAACAAAAGTAATACACGTATACTGTTCGGGTTTGAACGTAAATTAAATTGATTGTTAAATGATAGAACATATACCGTATTCGTATATGTTCGGTTAAATGATATAAACCGAACATATACGAAATCTCAATTGCGAATAAATGTTCGATCTAATTCTTTCAATTAATTAATTGCAAGAAAGATAGTATAACTTTTCACCAGTAAAATAAATATATAAAAAGTAAAATATATATAGTGGACAATTAAATGTAAATTTATAAAAATGCAGCACGCATTGATATTATCCTAGAAACCCATGCCTTTCTCTCATTACGTCGACAGTGGCGTACTGCAGCGATGTATGAATTTGCTGCATCAACATTTAAATTATTTGGAATCAACAACGTACCTATGTGACGTCACAGTATTAACGACTGAAAAAGATTCCGGGACCAACGGCTTAAGTTGCCTTCCGAAGTACAGAGTAGCTTGAGTTAATAATTTTTTGTCACCCATCCCGTGACCAACCATTGCGAAAGTTGATTAACAAATAATTAAGCAGGCCGTGGCGCATAATCCCTACGCCTCCAAGCTACACCATAAGGAAGGCCTGAGCCACTGCAGTGGGGACGTAACAGGGCTGATAATGATGATGACAATGATACTGTGATTAAGATAGGGGTTGCGAAATTTGCATTTTATTTAATGGATTTTTTATTTAAGTCGTAGCCTTAAGGTGTCATTACCATATATAATAGTGATATAACTGAAATGAAAGATAACACTGCCTGCGTTTGAATAGATTTATGCGTTTCAGATTACGAATAAGTGTTATGAAATTCGCAATTTTTAACTAGATTAAAAATTTTTTTTGTCGAAATTGAAAATATGATCTAGCATTTATGGAAACATGAATTTTAATAAAAGGCTCGATAAAAAATGAGAGATGACTCTAAATGCCCTTTTATTATTTGTACATATAGGTGCCTCTGGCTATCTTTAAACGCGAGAAAGAGATTGCGCGCAAGTTGGAGTTCGATGGCCTGTATATTGCTGAACAACCTGAAGACGATGATCTGAAGAGCCATTGGGATAAGCTCGTCATATCCGCCAAGTGAGTATATAGGGTCTGCCATGTAAGCCATGTTAGTGAAACTCTTATTTGATCTGTCGAAATGAAGGTCTAAATGAGTGTTTTTTGTAGTTTATTTTTTTAAAGGAACGGTCTTTTTGGTCTCTAAAACCGCTGATCGCCTAATGCCTCCGCTCAATACCCATAAATCCAGCATGGAGAACAGTAAAAATGAAAGCATGGGTGTCCGTTTCTACTGCGCAGCAATCGGGTTTGTTCAGCTATAACATTCTTTGGACAGATTTACGCTGATTGGTCTGTCAAGCTGATTGAATCAGGGTTTTATATCGACAAATCGATAAATGATTTACGCAGTTGAACCACAGGGTCCAATCTAGCAATACAGCCGCTTCGAGAAATAAAAATATTAAAAATCTCTCACTATTTATTACTAATATTGTACATTTCTAATCGTCAGTACAAACACATCAGCACATCACGTTATCTTCTACAAAATGACAAATGAGTTTAATTTCCAATAGAATTAGATATGGAAAGGTTTCCCAAGTTTTGTATAATGCTAGTAAAATTTTTGACGGACAATGTTTACAGAAACTTAATGCATTTTGTCACTAGTGTGTTTAAAAATGAGTTAAACACACCATTCGATAGAAAATCTCAAACTGCATTTTTTTTTATATTGACGTTTCGGATCCTTTGCAGGTTCCGTGTTCACACAAGACTAAGGTGTTGATTGTCTTTTAATTAAGAATATAGCTACCTTGAAACCAATAAATACTACATATAAAGTAAGGACACATCCACAATACAAAAAAAGATTGCCAACGTTTACATTTATTGAATTAATTTATTTTAAATATATATTTGACTTGTATTTATTTACCGCTGGCTACCGTAAGCTACCCCCACTTCAAAATTTTTGGAGTCTCGTCTGAGCGAAACAAACTCCAATAAAAAAAGTGAATTATTCTCTTTGATTTAATATGTACAGAATGAATTAACTGTATCTTTTTCTTTTGCGATGTGTTATTTGTATTGAAATTTTATTTGACTAGATCTTCCAACTCGTATATTCCAACCTTATTCTCCATTGAAATGTGGATATTTTATAATTTTAAAAGTATCGTATATTATTCTAGGAATGAATCGTTGTTCAGTCGCAAGAATTTTCGGACTGTCAAATCTAATTTAATGCATGGGTCCTCTTAACGCATGTTTACACACTGCAGATTTATTTTCGCGCCTATGCTTAACGTCAGCTACATGTTCTCTAGCGCGAGTTTCTATAGAAAAAGGGGTCTGAAACGTCAATAAAAGAAAAATACAAACGCAATGAAAACGTTTAAAATTTGTTTCATTTATATATACTATCATTCTGTTCTCTCACAGATCGTTCCCGGTGAATTACTGGGATAAGTTTGTAAAGAAGAAAGTGCGTGCTAAATATTCGGAGACTTACGATTTCGATTCAATATCTAACATGTTGGGTATGGAGAAGACTTCCTTTTCTGCGCAGGAGGAAGAGGGAAGCAAAGGATTGCTGCAATTGTAAGTAACATTATATCTTACTATATCACATAGTATAAGAGGTCACTGCACAAGACTAGCGAGCTAGATGACTAATATTATAATCTACCGCGATATCAATCAAAAACTTAAACGTTTTTTAAAGTAATTGATATGTGAATGATCAAGAAACACCATCAAAGCTTTCTTTGAACCGGACTAAGAAGCCACTACTGGTGCGTCAAATTACTTAGATTTTTTATGAAATTAACAAACATTGATTCAGGAATTTCTTCTTGATTTTTCACTTATTTAAAGCAGAACTGCCAATAAATAAAAGTGAACATAAAGATTATTCAATTTGCAACACCATATATAAGTATGTTCTTCTAATATATAAAAATTTATTGCTGTTCGTTTATCTCGGTAAAACTCGAGAACGGCTGGGCCGATTTAGCTGATATAGGTTTTGATATTTTTGTTTTTTGATATTATTTTGAAGATTAAATATTTTTCCAAACCTATTAATGAAAAAAAAAACATATGTTCATTCATACACTAGTGTACTTTACAAGAGCGTTCTGTTTGTGTTTGCAGCATTATGACCATAGATTGGCGTTACCAAGTGTGGAAAGCGGGCGTTACTATAACGGATAACTCTTTCCTCTACTCTCTATGGTACTTCTCGTTCTCTGTGATGGGCAACTTCAACAATTTCTTCTTCGCCGCCCATTTGTTGGACGTCGCGGTCGGATTCAAAACACTGAGAACCATTTTGCAATCTGTCACACATAACGGGAAGCAGGTAATATTACAAAATATTTACAAATATTAAGAAGAGTAAAGATTTGATTGTTGAACTACTGGAATAATCAAAAAATTCATTCACCTACGCGAAGCTGTAGCAGACAACAAAGGCTATAATTTTAGCGGGCGATGTCGCGGGAAAATAGCTAGATAAATATTAAACGATATAAATTTGAAGTACTTGTATTATGGAAAGTCCAAACAAGGAAAGTACCACACCCGGATCCGATACAATATAGAAAAGTTCGTTGTTATATTGCTCCGACCGGAAATCGAATCCAGAAAGTCACTGATGGCGACGCCTTGAAACCGACGTACGAGCCACTCCGTTGCTTTTGTCAATGTAAGGTCGCAATCTGGCAAATACATTAAAATTTGCATATATGATAAATACCGTTCATCTTAAACACGTATCTGATCTCCTTAGTAACCTGGTATCCTCAATACTCATTTGCTAATCATTTTTCTCAGAACTTTTATATAACTTGTATAGTATGCAAGTACTTGGAAATATATGCAAAGGCCTATTGTTATGCAAATCAAAAAATAATGTTTTTCCCCAAAAATAGATTCTGTATCGATACTTTCAACTGAAAATCCACTTTGGCCCTAGTATTTTCTTAGAAATATTTTAAACTTTTAATGAAAATGAAAATCTAATTACTTACATTTAGATATTTTAATACTTTTTATCCGGCTCGAAGGATCATACTTGACTGTGTTTGACCACAATAAAAGTACAAAGAACTTCCAAAACAAAGAGTAGCTCGAGATAATTACTTTTCACCCATCCCGTGACCGACTATTGCGAAAGTTGCTTAAGAATAACGATCGCGGACTTGGCGCTTATCCTCTATGCTATCGAGTTACTCCAGATTATATAATAAATAAAAATCGTACTCCAGTAACAGACGGACAGCTATTACAATGTAACCTATATCTCTTCATAGCTGGTGTTGACCGTCATGTTGCTGACTATCATAGTGTACATATACACGGTGATAGCGTTCAACTTCTTCCGCAAGTTCTACGTACAGGAGGAGGACGACGAAGTCAACAGGAACTGCCACGATATGCTCACGGTCAGTGTATAAAGCAATTTTTAATCTTTATATTTTAGTTTAATCGGACATTTTGTCTCATCTATAAATTATGTCTAACCGTTTACAGATAATTAATTTTATGTACGCTGTTAAAACTGCTAAGTTACATGATTATTCGTTTTGTCGTTTAAAAGATTACCAATTCGCATCTGAATAGAATCTCAATGAGGAAGTATTAAAAAAAAAACTTTAGTTCCCGAATTCAAACTAGATGTCGCTATGGTACGTTCTTGATTTCTCTATGACAACCTTTCCGGTTTTCTTTCAAGTTTATAAGTAAATTAGTTTTCAAAACTCAGTAAACAACTCATATTCTATTTGTACTTTTTCGTATTTGTATTGATATCTGAGTTTCGAACTTTTCAAATTTCAGTTTTTTAACATGTTAGTCAAAAGGAACGGGAATGACTATCTTTGGTCCATTTGTTTCCTGCAAAAATCGACTTTTGCTAGAGTCGTCATCTAGTGGAGGTGCTTTCTTTTTTTTTGCAATACTTTTTTTTATATGGATTTGTTCCGTTATACACCCTCATTACTATCTACCTGTAGACCAATATTATTATATATCTGTCAAAATTGATGTGTGAGGAAGACATTGTACTGATAATATTGGACCTTAGATAGAAAGTACAATTAATTTAATGCACGTAGTCGAGACTCTATTGAGATGAGATTATTACTTAAACATCAGCGGTGCTATTAATAAATAAGATTTAGCATCAGAGTAAAGTTTCGCTAAAATTGCGATTATATTATTAGTCCAAATTCTTATATAAATATTACTCCCGTAGCACTTCGAACTAGGTTAACCTTTGCCTTAATAATATGAATTTTAACCAGTACTAAGTACAGTCTCAGTGTAAATTTACTCCAACGCTAAGCCTTTTTTATTAACAGCGGAATAAGCCTGCAGGCGCTGCAATCTCGACAGAGTTTGCGATCGCAATGTTACCGAATTCGGTCATTAACTCATAGCGATTGTAAGTTAAGGAGTATCGCAAGTTTCTACAGTTAAATATATTATTATTTGTTAGGCACGTACCGAGTTCGACAATCAAATTATAGATATTAGGTAGTTTCCTAGCGATCGAGTTTGATAGCTCGGTCAGTGACCTTTGCGATCGCTACTTAACGATTATAATTCTACTCTATTGCTAATAAATAACGTTTGTATGTGGCAGTGCTTCGTATTCAACTTATACAAGGGAGTACGCGCGGGCGGTGGTATAGGTGATGAGTTGGAACCACCAGATGGTGACGATTCAGAAGTCTACCGCATCATATTCGACATATCATTCTTCTTCTTCATCATCGTTATCCTGCTCGCCATCTTGCAGGGTAAGTACAAATTTATTTAAAGGAAAAACAAAACGGTACCCTTAAAGGATCGCTTTGTTGTCCGTCCGTACGTCTCTCAGGAACGCGAAGTATCAAGATGAAATTCATATCAAATACTCAAGTCTACTGTCGCTTGGAGCTGTGAAAACAATAAAACTTCTAAGCCAACGCAATCAAAAATAACTTTTCGTAAACTCAGAATCTTGAAATTTGGTAAGAAACAACATCTGATAGCACAGATAAAGGAAACACCTTTTACCTTTTACTTATACACCTACAGCCCTTGATGCGCGAGGCAAGTTTTTTTCTGAATACACTCTAATAGTTATCAGAATATCCTTCAATCCCCGTGGCTTAAATAAACTAACGTGCTGTCAACTATACTAGTGTGCGTGAATACTTCAAATAAAGAAGTTTTGAAAGGACTCAATTCAGAGAGACGCTTAAAAATTTGCAGTTCCTTTAATTACCGCTAGGGGGTGGGCGCTGTACCGGTATCCGTGTAGGATTTATAAATTACATTAAAAAAATACCCTACATTTTTTTCAGACGTCTTAATTCTTGTACATAAATAAAAAAAAATTATTCTGAATTTCATTAGATACTCTAAAATATTTAAATATGGGTTAATTTGGAAATTGTTATGAATACTCTTTATATAAATTGATGTTCAAGTTGTTTATTATGTTCTATGATTGACTTTAGGTTTGATCATCGACGCGTTCGGTGAACTCCGTGATCAGCTGGAGTCCGTGAAGGAGGACATGGAGTCGAACTGCTTCATATGCGGAATAAATAAAGACTACTTTGATAAGGTCAGAATTTGTTGCTTCATCATCTTCTTCTATTATATATAGTCTCAAGTGCTGAGGCATAGGCGTTCCTTATTTACCGCAGATCGAGACGGTAAATTTGTGATCACCCATCTTTTGGCTAGCCCTTATGAAAGTTGCTTAACATCCGCAATACAGATGTGCAACACCTTTTTATACTATAGAAACCCAAACAATGACAGTACTTTAATCAACCATACTTAAGACAATACCTATAGAAAATTTCATTTTCCTTATTTTTATTAAAAAAAAACGTGTCCTTTCCTACTCCTATATGATATATTTATAAAATAATTCATTTCAGTTCAGAATCTCCAATTACCGTAACGTCCAGTACCCGAAATGACCAATAGGGATGATGCCTGGGTAAAACGAAAATAAATAATTAATCTGATAGTCAGATAATAGAAATATATTAGATACATATTTTGTTATTTCAATTTAACAAGAAATGGCCTTGAATGCCTATATCTAAGCCTTAGGCATTCAAGTTGAAGAGTAGCGCCTCGCTACGTCTTAACTATGTGGAAAATGTACCAAGGCGTGACGTCATACAATTTATTGATTTCACAAAAAAAAATACATGTTTGATAATCTACTTGTCGGATAGACAAAAAAAATAGTCACCATTCCCATTCCTGACATATTCTTAAAACCTGGCTGTATATTATTTATTTGTGTATGCAACAAACCCATCATGGTTTCAGGAATTCAAAACTTTGTGTAATGGCTTTATCGGGAACTGGATATTCTGAACTGAAAAGAAATTATTCTTTATATTGTTTCAGGTTCCACACGGGTTCGATACTCATGTTGCGCGGGAGCATAATTTAGCAAATTACATGTTCTTCCTTATGCATCTCATCAACAAGCCAGACACAGAGTATACAGGTGAACAGTCTACTAAAAAGAAATATACCATACTACTGTATTATATATATTTACAATGCTATAATGATGAATAATTGAAAAATGGTTAAAATTCCACCAGCCCCTGGTACATTTTTCGTTAAAAATATATACTACTATAAGTATGTCAAATTAGGGCTTTATCACATTTAGATAAATACTTTAAAAAAATAATTTTGATGTCATAATATGCAGGTGTACTATGTCAAAATCAAATGACAAAATCATTAGCAAATATTATCGATATCGATAATTCAGCAGCACGTCAGGCTATACAATATTGTCATTTTTTGAAACTTGATTTTCAATTAAAACCTTAGTGCCTTGCGAATAGAGATCAAAATCAATTGAGGACATTTGACGTATTGTGGTAGCCTGACGTGCAGCTGTGTGTACACTGTTAACTTCACTTCTTATATTGTTTACTGGCTCATTTCCCGCGACTTCGCCCGCTAAAAACATAGCCTATGCCACCTGCGTCTGATGTATCTACCCGTAGGTGAAAGAATTTTAAAAATCTGTTCTGTGTTTTCGGAGCCTATTCAATGCAAACAAACAATTAAATCTTTCTGCTTAATAATATTATTGAAGATACCCACAGTTGATGCTAGGAATTTATTTTACAATTTTATCATAAATGTGTTAATGACAATATCTATCATTTCCAGGTCAAGAAACTTACGTTTGGAACATGTACACGCAACGATGCTGGGACTTCTTCCCTGTGGGAGACTGCTTTAGAAAACAATATGAAGACGTCATGGGGGAATAATGTGATCAATATGTCTATGAGATTTAATATCAATCCATATTAATCGATATTTTCAATAATTCATTAGTTCTAAAATGGCACGATTTATATTTTTACAGAATTGTTGTAGTTAGTGCATTATTAAAAGGCGCCCCTTTTTTATTATTGCAATAAATTTCAATATTTATCGATTGATTTATCTATATTATTACATCACTAGCAAAACTATAGGAATATATTACAGAGCCTAATTTTGAATGCCTTATTTTATGAATCTTTATGATGATTAAAATACTTGTTTATATTCAAAAATAAATTGTAATAAGTAGTATTAACAATCAATAATAAATATTAAATCTCATAGCGATAATATTTTCAAATAAATTCGCTTGAATTCTACAAAATTCTGCTCAAAATAACACCAAATAATTATGACTTTAAAAAGTTTAGAATAATAATGTAAGTTCAAATGGTTTGTACAAAATGAATGTTTTTGCGATGTAAAGAATACAATTATATATCTATATCTGTAATTCCGCTTCCGTCATTTGAATAGTGACGTTGTGTTTTAATAAAACATAATTATTATTCATCCACAATACTTGTCTATAGATATTTCGCCAAAGAATATTTTTTAAATGTCAATTTGTAAATTTCTTAGCAATTTATTAAAAAAAACGTAAATATCAAAGATATTATGCGTTATATATTTAGATGGAAATAAAAATATTAAATGATGATATATAAATATGCCTCGTACATTTTGAACTACCCGAAAAAAATTAAGAGCAATCATTAACAGGATTTTTTTTTTGTAAAGTTTTATAGGATTTAAAATTAATCGTGTTAATACATATTATTTATATATGAATAAATAAGTATTTATTCGCCAACTTATAACATCTGTTATAAGTTGTTATTTACATAATAGAAATATTTTTCATAAATATTTCACAGAAAAGGTTTTTCTTCAGATAATAATATTAATCAATGTATAAAAAAAAACGATAAAATTTTCTATATCGGGTATTGAAAAATTTACGATGAGTTAATAACTTCTATATCAATGAAATATGTCGTTATTAATATATAGAAACAAAGTTTTTCTCGGATCATTGAAACAAGCGATCGAGTTTTTAAAACTTATTTGTATTATTTTCTTCGAAAAATATAGTGATTTATGAATGTAAGGTGGCCTTTCCAAGTAAACTTTTTCTATTTTTAACTATTTCTGTATAGTTTATGTAAGATAACAATAAAAATGTTGAATAAATAATATAAAATAATAAACTTTTGTTTCTTTTGGTGGTCGAGCCATAACTATACACAGTACAAAACAAAGTCGCTTTCTCTGTCCCTATATCTTTAAAACTACGCAACAGATTTTGATACGGTTTTTTTTCATATATAGGGTGATTCAAAAAGAAGGTTTTTATGTAGAATACAAGAGCACGCGGGCAAAGTCGCTGGCGGAATGTTAGTATTAAATACAAAAAGGTCATAAAAGTTCTTACATATCAGCGAGAAATAAAAAAATAAAAATACTTTTTGATACACATATTTTTATTCAATAAATAACAAAAAAAAAACAAGATTTTAACAATGATTTCTTTAGAAAAATAAATTTTAAAAAATTTATTTTATTATAATAACTGCTCGCTTAGAGCTCCCGCTTCACCGTACCGCAGGTTCAGCACGACAATTCTCATCTCAATAGTCTCTCAAATACTTACAGTTTACCATTGTACCATTTACCTAACATTATTAGTGCTTGGACATCAATGATAACAGATATATAATAACATCTGACTTGAGGTACCTCAATAGTACAATGGCAAATAGTACAAGTTGTGATATTATTGAGCTATTATTGCGTAGACAATGGCTGATTTGGCATGGAAACAGACCCCCCGAGTACCGCTAGCAACGCCATTGCGTACATCTGTTATTGCCAAACGCTATATTACTTCTATTTTTTTTATTGTTGATTTGTGATATAGTTACTTTGATATATCAACTTCCAATTCGTCATTACTGGTTTACATGTAATTAAGGAGTAAGTAAATCATTAACTTAATTTTAAGCGATTTAATTTCATTAAAAACACAAGTAGCAAGTTTAAATTTAGTTAACTACTAATGAGCTTTTTGATAAATTAGAATGAAATATTAACTTGCTACTTATTAGTACGTTTTCACTTACTTAATCAAAATTAAATTTAAAATCTACTTACTACTTAATCACGTGTAAACGAGCCATTAAATTAAAATCTACTTACTACTTTATTACGTGTAAAACCCAGCCGTAACTGACAGAAAGTTAAACCGGTCAAAATACAATTTATTTCTTTGTTGACAGTACCCGTTGATGTGAGTATGAAGTATTGGTAACGATCGTCGACCGGCAACTCGAAGTGAACAGCTAATACAACTCAAGATTGTGCAATTGATTGTGCTATATATGCGAATATTTTGGACATGTATAGCACACATTAGTCGATGGGATCCGCATGACGTGAAGTCGAAAATTAAAATTTCTTTATTCAAATAAATTTAATTAAAACTTTTAAATGGTCCAATTTTTTTTATTTTTTTATTTTGCAACCCATTTAAGATGTTTTTGTCTGAACATAAGAACAAGCGAAACCAGCTCTAATGAAGCAATGACATTTATAAAAAAAAAACATATGATTGCCTGCCTTTTGACAATACTTATTTACCGACCAATGAAAACGTGCCACAAAACATCGCCCGCATCCCGCATCCGGATTCCATCAACCAATTAGGTCTGTAAATAGGTCTGCAACCTCAATATACGCATAATCTCGAAAGCATATTTTTTATGATAACGTTTTATACTAAGACAGTGTAAAAAATAATTAAAGATAATACAGACAGCCTTCAAGATAATTTTGTAGATTTAATCGAGGGAGTAGAAATAATATATTAGAAACCAAAGAAATATATAGGATTAATGCCTGTTTTCACTAAACTAAGAAGTCGCCCAAATCTTACGCTTAAATATTTGGGCATTAGCTAAGATGAAAATGCGTTTCACCAATGACAAGGAGCCACCTAAAGATTCTTCTTCTTCTATTTTAATGACTATTTTGTGTTAACCACAATCCTGCCAATTTCACGTAGGAGACCACTACACGGTACAATAGATTAATATAATTAATTTAGAATAGGTAGTAAATCTCTTTCTAGGTCGCTTTACCCAAAACAACACAACATAAACTTTGGACGCCACATTCTTAAGTTGGGCAACGCTTAAAGTTAGGACATACTTTGTGCGACGCCTAGCGCTGGGCATATGCGTAATGTGACATATGTATACATTTACTCTTTAGTCATAATGGATGTGTCAAAGGATAAAATCAATTTAGTAATTTGGAATCAAGGAGTTTCTATCTATAATATATAAATATTAGAATAAAGATAACAGCAATGACATTGTTTGAAATTTCGGTCTTTTTATATACGGAAATTAACGGTGCCCGTATATTATTTTTCTTGGTAATACCTCAAAATATATATTATTGTTAATGTCGTTTTACGTGTAAAGGCGACTAACGTGACCTTGGCGAAATTGTGTAAACGCAAATAGGTCATACATTAAAAAAAGACGACCTGAACAGTGGCGGAATAACCGGCATCGTATATAGAGCGGCATATATGGCGGCATCAGTCCCAGACTCACAACTTTTTCCAACCGGGGCAGAATCCCCCCCCCCCCCCATGCTAAAACTACAAAACTAGACATAAGAAAAATAAGGTAGTACAACCCCAATTTATGATTAGATCAAATTGGACATGATTTTATGGTCATATGGTGGTACAAGATCATATGGTATATCGAGATTCAGACCAAATTTCCGATTACTCACACTGTTATCTTAATTCTTATATTAAATAAAGCTTACAGCTTTCATCAGTCTTATAAGTAGATAACAATACTTAAGTATAATCTAGTACACAACTAATTAAAATGGAAAGTACCATAAGTTTACTTTAAATGACTAATAAAGTCACTTTATACTAATGTTAGTAAAACTTGGTTTTTGATTGTACTAAAACATGTGACTAAAAAGCAAACAATGGTTCATCATCATCAGCCCTTTTACGTCCCCACTGCAGGGGCTCAGGCCTTCCTTATGGATGGTAAAGGAGGATGGGCCATGACTCTCCACGCTGGCTCAATGCAGATTGGAGGGTATTAACGACTGCAAATGCAGCCGGGACCAAAAGCTTAACGTGCCTTCCGAAGCACGGAGTAGCTCGAGATAGATAATAATTTTTTGGTCACCCATCCCGTGACCGACCCTTGCGATAGTTGCTTAACGACAACGATCGCGGGTCGCGGCGCTTATCCACTACACCGCCAAGCCACTAATAAACAGTAGTTCCAATTCTTTTATAGAAATCTCTAAAGTAAAATAAACTAATAATTTGCGTTTTTTTTACATTTCTTCACAGACGTGTAATCTTAACAAGTCTTAATTTAACAAGTATACTTCTTGTATAAGGCATTTAAATAATTGAATATTCATTTTGACAGGACTTAAATTAAATTGGTCATTTTTGTGCGGCAGAATTGCTACCATTATTTCGTCACAACGACATTCGATGTATAATACTTTTACACAAAATGTATAACACAAGTACACAAAAAAAAATCCAGATTACCACAAATTGCCTTTTCTTATTGTATTTTCAACTTAAATCTGAACACTCCGAACTTAGGCGTTAATTAACATTAATTATTTTAGATTAGATTGCAACTGTGAAACAAAACTTACAGAGCGATTCCGTAAATATCCGAACCTGAATTAGAATTCACTCATGTGTCCGGATTCACGTCATTTAGTGTAGAAGTTCGTTAGATTCCATTAATTTGTATAATCAATCGATTGATTATACGTGTCTCAGATATTCTATCCTCTATGTAATTTCGAAACTCACTACACTTATGTCATGAAACTAATTTAAGGTTAAGCCAATGTCGCTCTCGAAGTCAATTCGGACACCTGTGTGAATTAGAATTCCGGTTCGGATATTTACGGAGTCGCAGAGCTGTTGGACATTGTAATTAATAGGTAAAATGCATTTATGCTTAAAGACCATATATTTACATTTAAATCATATACACAAGCGAACTATTTACACGCACAGTAGCCGTGTCGTGAAATTTCGTTTTATATTTAAATTATTAAATACGCATCGAAAAAACATAAAAAACAGACTTTAAACTTTAAAAAGCGATAAATAAGACTACTCTCAAAATCGACTTATTTAAGAAAATGCTATTGAAGTCAGGAGGTCTTCTGTAGGTTTATTAGTTAAATGATAGGCTTCTCCGTTTATTTTTGAATTTTCGCCATGACATTACTAAATAATAATCCGCATCGAATTTCTTGTGGAATAGGTAATTTAAGATATTCTTTTGATTGCAACGTTTCATACAAATAATTATGAAGTTCGATTCATTCTTCTTCGTCACGTTCGATGAAGACAAATGAGCTCTCACTCTTAAATTAAAATCACTCAGTGAGTTAAAAAGTATTACAAATAGCACTTATATTAACTATTAATTTAGAAAAGTTTCCACTGGTAGCTATTTTCAAAATAAAAGGACAATATCCAGTTCCGAAAAGCAGCCTGGCTAAAAACATTCGTAGCCTATTTCCGACTTTGGCTTTAGCGTGCATGTAATAAGACTTAAAATATGTTACATAGTCCATTACATCCGTTCAACTAACAGAAGGTTGTTTATGAGCTAAATACAGTGTAAATATACTAGTTAGTGCACTCACTAAGAATATCACATCGAACCATCTGTGATAAAAGTTGAATTGCAAATCACCTAACACTTGAGTTATGATTATTCTGTATTCGGCGGGCATATTCATGCGCATGAGCAGGACGGAAGAACAGAAGTACATACCCATGACTTGCGCTAGAACGAGAACTATGATGTTGGACGATTTCGAAGATGAGATCTTGTTGAAAAACTGCAAGGAAATATTTTATTTAATTTATAAATATGATGGAAGTAACAAATTAAAAATATTGAAGCAAAAGAGAATAGTCCCTTTGATTATTCTCTTTTGACAGATGTGGCGAAATAACCTAATGGATAATCCGTCAAAAAATTATAATCGATTTTAATTTTAATAGACTGAGAGCTCGTGACAAAAATATGCAAGAGCTTTCTAAACCTTGATATTTCAGTATATTGAAGTACTAAGGTGTTAACGACTGCAGATGCAGCCGGGAAAACTACTTAACGTGCCGAAGCACGGAGGAATTATAGAAAAAAAAATTGATCACCCATCCTAAAACCGGCCTTTGCGAAAGTTGCTAAACCTCTCGCAGACCGAACTCATCATCTAGCTACCTTACCCTACCTTACCAAAAACAACCTTACTTTGGCTATTTACTGTTTACAATATTTGGCTATTTTACAATAAAACGACTAACTTTTCACGCACAATAGACCAATTAAAGTATCTAAGGGCAGTAAATTGGAGCCCACAAACCTAACATCCTATCTGGAGAGAGTATTTTCGATGCTAATTCTCCAATATCCTAGAATCTGTAAACTTATTAAATGAAACTAGTAAATCTAGTAATACGTTCGACATTCACTTTGACACGCTCAACCATATACAAAAAGCTGTTGCTGAGGATTGTCCGGAATAGTTTTATAATCAGTTATTGCAAAATCAATATTGATAAGCATAATCCTGAGAATGTGATGTCGCTCTTGTTTGAATATTTTTTTTCTTTCACTATTTTTGTTTTTTTTTTTCAATAGGTTTCGATTCCATTTAGTCTGTTAGTCAGATAATAAAAAAATATTAGATACTTATTTTTTTACCTCAATTTAACAAGAAATAGCTTAAATAACAGGCATTATAGTAGAGAAGTGAGGGCTCGCTACGTTAGTTTTGTAGAAAATGTACAAAAGCTTGACGTCATGTGACATTTCAACTCAATGTATCGCCGTAAAGTAAAGAGTAGCTCGGTGGCATAGTGGATATGTGCCGCGGCACGCGATCGTTGTCGTTAAGCAACTTTCGTAAGGGTCGGTCGCGGGATGGGTGACCAAAAAATTCTTATCTCGAGCTACTCCGTGCTTCGGAAGACACCTTAAGCCGTTGGTCTCAGCTGCATTTGTAGTCGTTAATACACGCCAATCCGCATTGGGCCAGCGTGGAGGGTCATGGCCCATGCTCCTTAACCATGCATTAGGTAGGCCTGAGCCCCTGCAGTGGGGACGAAATAAAGGGCTGATGATGATGAAAGTAAAGATTATGAAAAAAACACGTGTTATTTTTCAACAATCGTCCTGTCGTTATCCCTGGTTGTTAAATCTAGCAAATGAAAAACAAAATCCTTACCTTGGTGAGTGTGAGTAGCAGTCCACGTATGCTGGTGAGCGCTATACATCCGACCAGCGCGAAAGAAACATGTTGCGACCAGAACGACACGTCCACCTGCAGCCCTAGCCAGTGCACCACTATCTCTAGACCACGGGTAACGGGATCCTTGCGGCCGACCCGGTCGAACACTATGTTTATAGTCGACTGTGACGGAAACAAAAATCAAGACATAAGAATATACCCCCATAGGGCTCGAAGGGCTCGGCTGCGAAATCTCATCGCAAATATCGAACTCGCACGAATGCACTGCAAGAACTAGCGATATTACGTCACACATGGCGACGCCATTTTAGGCCGCTTTAAGTCAGAGAACGATGACAAAACTTATTTTAAAATAACCAAAAAATCTTCTTATGTTTTGAAACCGTAAAACAGTTCCCATTAGTGTTCATAACCGTAATAAATGATGCATGGTCACCTGTAGAGCGATTCCGTAAAAATCCGAACCGAAATGCGAATTCACTCAGGTGTCCGATTACACTTCGAAAGCGACGTCCGCTTAACCTCGAATTGGTATTAACGTTTCGTGGCATAAGTGAATTCGAGTTTCGAAATGACATATGGATAGAGACAAGTATGAATCAATCAATCTTGTTTTGTATTTTTATGCAAAAAAAATGGAATTAATATCAGTTAAGCGGATTCGCTTTCGAAAAGGAAACACCTGAGTGAATTCGCATTTTTAAGGAATCAGTCTGCTGAACCAATGCTTTGCCGCACGAAATCGTATCGCAAGTAACTGCGATGCGGCTTCATATGGCACCTTATCGAGGATTTGTGTTCTTAGCCTTCTTTTTTTTCGATTGACAATAGTTTCAATAAAATGCATTCAGAGGGGCGGCAGGGGTCACCGAGTGACTGCAAATTTCCTTGATCAAATCGTCAAGACGGGTCGGAGGCCCCATAAACAGATAAGTATAGCCTGTGGAGGGGATCCACGCCTCTATTAGGGTTAGTCCGTCACAGATTCATCGTCCAACACAATGGCTACTTGAAAGTTCTATAAAATATGTTTTGAAACATGTGAAATTACAGTTCTCTACCACCACAACTGGTTTTCTCTTTATAAAATCATAGTTTCATAAATTTTCTTTCCGATGACGACTAAATATCGCGGCAAAACTTTGGATCACGTGACTTATACGTGCAATGACGTCACGATACAAAAAATAATTTTCTGCATATAGGAGAAACATAATAATATATTATTATGTGGTTTGTATTACGTTTAAATTATTAAGAATGTGCAAAATTACCACGATTAAAGATTAAGATAACAATATTACACACTTAACAAAATAATATTAACTAATTGGAAAATTAATATGAATTTTAGTTCAGTACTTACAATAAATATTTTCCAAATGCAATACAGTGAGAAGAAATAGCCCAAAAAGTTGAAATATTTCCCCTGGAATGTCTTGGACCACTCTATCTTCTCTCGCATGCTCCTAGCGTCATGAGCTTCGAGGAACAGTTGACGGCTCAACTCTTCCAGACCGACGATCTCTTGGCGTAGTTGTGCTATATCTATAAGAAAAGATAAATTCAATTGAAGACCATAAATTAAATTCAGATTAAAAAAGCCTGTCGTAAGTCTTTCACTCGGTGGCAGTAGCTCGGAGTAGCTCGGTGGCGTAGTGGATATGCGCCGCGGCCCGCGATCGTAGTCGTTAAGCAACTTTCGCAAGGGTCGGTCACGGGATGGGTGACCAAAAAATTATTATCTCGAGATACTCCGTGCTTCGGAAGGCACGTTAAGCCGTTGGTCCCGGCTGCATTTGCAGTCGTTAATACCCTCCAATCCGCATTGGGCCAGCGTGGAGGGTCATGGCCCATCCTCCTTAACCATCCATAAGGAAGGCCTGAGCCCCTGCAGTGGGGACGTAAAAGGGCTGGTGATTGCAAGTCTTTCACTATGTTGACAAATTTTTGTATAGAGACTAACTGACACGTTGTCATGTCTTAATTATGAATATTTAATTGGAATTGGTATGATTCATAAAAAAAATATTAAAAAAAAGTTTTTATTATTCCAATACTTTAAGATATACAACATTCTTATTTTTTTACATTGTATTTGACGATAATTGCAGCACGCATTCTGTCCATTCTAATGACATGTGTCACATATGTACAGGTCGGTTATCTAAAGCTGGCACGAACAACACATTTACACTTTTATCACATTAGTATCTCTGAATAAGTGCGCGGCGTAACGTCACACTGTATGCGCATAATGAAAAATCTATCCGTCTCTCTCACGCGCAGTCAAGCTTATGAGTATGAAGGAGACAGTTATTGTTTGACTTATGCTACAGTCAATAAATTGAGGTGAAAACAGCGTGTTTCTTTTTTTGCATTCATACGCTATTCGTACACGCGTGTTATTATTTACATAATATTTTGAGGTTACAATAAAATGTCTTTTGAAAGAATTGGTTCCGGTAAAACTTTAACAGGACAATCTCGTGAAATAGTGTACAACGTTTTCAACTATTTCTTACATCACGATAACAGTGATTTAGGAGGTCGTATGAAAGATGTGTACGCTCTCACGTCAGAGGCGACTGGTGTTTCTCGGAGAAGTGTTCAACGTATTGCTTGTGAAATACGCAATCAAGTTATGGCCGTTGTTGACATGTCAACATCACAGCCATCTACCTCAAGTGAAGGAGTAACGCCAGCAAAATCATTGTCACCTGTAAAAGTTACTTTCTCAACACCAGGTAAAAAGCGCCCAAGGTTGGCTAAAAAAATCTACGGTAGATAGTTTTGATGAAGAAGTCATAAGGCGAACTATCTACAACTTCCATCTCGTTCAGCATGCATTTCCAACATTGAAAAAGCTATTAGAAGTGTTGAAGGACAGTATCAATTTTAAGGGCGGCATTTCTACATTAAGGAAAATTGTTCGAAGATTAGGTTTCAGATGAAGAAAGACACAAAACAATAAAAAACTCCTTATTGAAAAGAGATTAAAGAGAACCTTATACCTTTCTAAACTAGAGGAATATAGATCGCAACACCGACCTATAATATATACAGATGAATCGTACATTCACAGCTCGCATACTTTGCCACGATCTTGGTCCGATGAAACGAACAAAGGCTGTAAAGTGCCAATTTCTAAGGGCGATATGTTAGTAATTGTTCATGCCTGCTCTGAAAAAGGATTCATTCCAGGTGCTTTGCTTATATATTGAGCAAAAAAGCAAACAGGGGATTATCACAATAATATGAATGCTAGTAATTATCAGAAATGGATTAAAGAAAAACTTCTTCCAAATTTACCACTACAGTCAGTCTTAGTAGTTGATAATGCATCATACCATAACGTCGTATCGGATCCAGTGCCAACGTCCAGTGCAAAAAAGGCTGACATGTTAACTTGGTTGCAAAAGCATAATTTATCGTATCCAGAAAAAAACACAAAACCTATGCTTTATGATATTATTAAAAAAAAACAAGCAAAACCATTTACAATTTGTACTGGATAATATCCTTGAAGATCACGGGCATAATGTACTCCGCTTACCACCCTTCCACCCAGAACTCAATCCAATAGAGTTATTGTGGGGTATTATTAAAGGGAGAGTTGCGTCACAAAATGTTACGTTTAACTTGAAAACCGTCGAAGAATTATTTAGAAAAGAAGCGGAGTCCATTACTATCGATATGTTTCGTGATGTTTGGAGAAAAACGCGAGAACATGAGGACAAATATGTTCAACTGGATCCAAAAGTTGATAATTTGACAGACTCTTTTATCATTGCTGTAGGAAATACCGAAACATCAAGTTCTTCGAGCGATGACAGTTTAAGTGGGGTAGAACATATCGATTCCGATTCTGATTAAAAGCATACATTTTCTATTTATTTATGAAACAATAAAACAGTAATATGAGTTGCTCTTTTAATCAAATTTATTTTTTTAAACATACTGTATAGAGAAATTGTACTAGTGTGAGTACTGTGAACGTGCCAGCTTTAGATAACAGACCTGTATATGTAACTAAATGTCATAAGGTTACATTAAAAAAAGTTTATATTATCCATAGCAATAAGGTTAGATTAGAAATAGTTTTATATGGCAGTTAAATATTATTAAATTTCCACACAATTTTATTCTTTTCTTTCATAAGAACCTTCTCCTGACAATAACAAACATTACAAAAAATAATTAACAAAATCAGTCCAATCGTTCACGTGGCCAAGGGAAATAGAGATTCATTTATATATATATATTGTGTTACCTATTATATAAATATCACTAAAAACCATGATAACCTTTTCTTTTAAAAAAAGACCAACTTCAAACTTTAAAAAGTGAAAAATATTAGTTACTTTAAAAGTAAATTATTCAATTAACTGCTATTGAAGTTGGACGACTACCATTTATTTAATAAAATCCAACAGAAAACCTCCATCCGACTTAAATAGCAATTTCTTGAATAAGACGCTTTTTAAGATAAGTATTATTTCTCACTCTTTAAAAGTATCAAGTCCATTTCCATCTTATTCAGGGACCTTTATATATAAGTCTAAATACAAGTAAATAAAGTATAATAATATATTTTAGGTATCTATAAATAAATAATAAAAAAATATCAAATAGAGTAATTTATAAAGTAATAATTTTACGAGGCTTTGCGGACCATTTGGGATTCCACGGACCACCGGTGGTTCACGGACCGAACGAAATTACGTCTAACGAAAGAAATGCCATTTCCGATAATTTGCAATCCAACGAAGGTAGATAATATCACATCTGATGCACAGATAATCTTCAAAAAAATAATTCCACATTTATTTTTCTAGAATAAATAGAATAGGCCCTTAGTTGACATTTCAATACGTATGAATCATAAAATCAAACTTACTCTCAGTGCCGTGCCCGAGTGGGTTAGCTATACTGCCGACACTTGACAGTATATTAGTCCAGAAACCTCTATTTTTCACATTGGACTGGTCCAACATACTATAGTTCTGTCTCCCTCCCATGCTGTTAGCTTCAGCTAGTGCTATCCTTTTCTTTTTCACCAGAATCATATCCATAGTTTGCAACAATTTTTTCTCAATTGAAAGTACATCTGATTGTGTGACTGGTCTAGACAAGAAAATAATTTTTGAAAATCGTTTATCAACTAGCATTGTTATGAATCAAATGGAGATGGAAATCAACATGTATTAGACTTAAGTCCAGGTAGGAGGCCTGGGCGGCACTCTCGAAATAGAAGGCGACAAGATCGCGATCGCGTATTAACACATCCGTCCCTTCTGCGGATTGGCGAACGAGGACTGAGACCCCAGAGGGGTGCGGCCCTCTGGGATTAGCCCACGGGTCCGATTCACCATTTGGGAAAAGGCTGTCATTCACCCAAGTCTTTTCCTTCCCGCAGAGGGCGTCTCCTCCACCTTCTACAAGTTTAATAACGTATAAAATCTTATAAAACTTTTTGTTAGTCTATCTACAATGTCACGCCTTATCCCGGCGGGGTAGGTAGAGACTACTACCTTCCATTTTTCACTATCCTGACATACCTCTCTCGCTTCTTCCATACGCCTTCCACTTTGTGTTAATATTATTAAACTTGCCTAATAAATATCGCCATTGACGTGTAAGGGTAATTCACCGCACCGAAACCAGATAGTAGCGCCATCACTGTCACACCTATGACGCCAATGCGGGACACTCCCTGCTCTATAGAGAATATGCCCTACAAAAAATTAAATATAAGAATCAATGAATATAATAAAACTTATTTGACTGTTTCAACTGATTTTAAATCACTAAAGCAAAGTTTCCAATTAAAAACAACAATATTAACAAGATACTGACAGTGGCATAACCATCTGTTGTAACTGCGACTTTATGATCTAATGAATATTCTAAATTTCAAAAATTTTACCAGTAATGTCATTTTAAACTACTTTCACTGGATTTTTATTCAAGTGGGTGTTAGTGTTTTATTTGAGACTGAAAAGATCATCAAAATCATTGGTTTTATCACTTTATATTCTTTGAGTGATGACACTACAGTTTTCATCCTAAGTGACTATGTTAATTATGATGACCCTTGCTCTAGGACTTATTGACAAGCACCAAGTTGCACCCACCTGTTTTGGACTCAAAATTGGAAATGGATCACCAATCTTCCAGAAGAAATATAAGTAGATGAACCAAACAAACACTGTTAATGTTCTTATCATGCTATGTGACACTGTAACAAAAACATGTGTATCAATTGTAATAATAAGATCAAAATCAATTGATAGAAATATTGAAGCACATACAAGCTCATTAATAAGTAGTTCAGTGAATGAATTAATGAACACTTTATTGTACACCACAAAAAAAAACACTAAAACAAACATTAATTTACGGTAATAAGTAGTTGTTACTGAAAGTGGTTAAATTCAACAAAGTTTGAAAATTATTGAGGTTTCATTATGCAATTCAATTTCTTTCTATGATATGATATAGGTAGTGTCAATGTTGCATTATTGATACGCAGTCTCTGTACTAAATGGTCTATGATTACAACATTTCAATAATGATAGTTGTAGGAAGTTCTATCAGTTATTATAGACATACAAATGGGAATAAGATTTTTATTGTAATTTGGCCAATAACCTTAACTACTTGGTTACCTTTTAAATAAACACTTACCAAATCTTATATTACTAATGCAGAAGTAAGCTATATAAAATGGTATAAGTGCTATCACCATAAAAAGTAGGGAGTACAATCCCATATTCCAATGAAAGTATCTTGAACTGAAAATAAACATAAGATATTAGATTTTAATATAAAAGCATCAGATTAATCAATCTTATATTCTATAGTAACACTGAAAATAAAATAGTTTGCTGCAACAATTAAACTGGTTGAATACTTTATTTCTTGAAAAACAAAGTTACAATTAATTTCAATATGGTTTTAACCATAGTTTTGGTAAACTTCCAATGGAATAATGGTTCTATTGGAATAATCAAAGAACATAGAGATTTCTATGGGAATAATAATAAAATTGGAAGTGAAGAAAATATTGGAATAATAAATAAGTGTAGTTGCACTATATCTATCTATATGTATATATAGATAGTAGCTATATACATAGGGTAGGCAGAGGACCCACATTTAATAAAGAATACAACAACTTTCTTTTTAAATAAACTGACTAAGCATTCTGAGATCTGATAGGTCTTTGGGACTTGATTAAGATAGTAGAAAAAAATGTATTGAAAATTGGTCATTTGCACAAACATCCATTAAGGTTTAATGACACCTTTAAGCTCTAATGAATGTCAAATTTGTATGGGTAATGTCGCTTTAAACTTATGACTTTATATCAACAGCACATCAGGTTAAACAGATCTGTCAAATTTGTTTACTTAATTTTAAACCTTTATGTATCAAGAGCATAGTTGAAAGTCAATTGTGAAAAGTAATTATTGTGATGATCTGATATGCTGCTATGTCTACAGAATCCTGCAAATGTGTGAGGTCTAGTATAAAGTCTAGTATAATAAAAAAAATACATGTATAGTAAATTCTTATCAACTATTAATTTTAAATCAATGTTACATATTGAAGAACCACTGAAAATATTACCTTGAATCCAAATATCCAATGATTTCAAATATTATTAACTCAAACATTGTGCAACTTAAAGCAAAAGTGATAGAGAATATCAGCTGCACTAAAGTGTGATGTACTTCGTAATCCCTAAATAACTGCTTAACAAAAAAAATCCATCCCGCAACAAAGAATAGCACCTGAAAATTGATTTTACATTAAAAGTGATTTTGCGATTGAAACTCAGTTATGTAGCTTTATTTATGAAGAATTGAACTGAGGCAAAATTAAGTTTATTTCAATATAATATTGTTTTATTGTTAGCATAGTAAATATCAACTAGATAATTAATTTTCTGACATTCCCAAACGGAAATTTAACAAGTTCCTTTCTATTTTTGGTATTTCTTGCCTACGGAAGAGATATTCTCGATATAAAAAAATCAAAACATAAACCACTAATTCTACTTACTATATTTTAATTTATTGCCTACCTGAGATATAAGAATAATGAAAGTGTCTTCCCAAAAAGCCATTGTAATAATAAGTTTTTGATTTTAGGGGTTAAAAACACACAATCTACAGAAAAAAAAGCAGCAAAACTATATTTACTGAACAACGTATGAATAGACGTATGTTTTAATTGTGTTCTGTGACCACTGTGACGTATGTTCACAACACAGAACACCAACAGAACCACAGAACACATTTCACAACCACAGACCAAGAAGGAGATAAGTTACTCTATGGGCCATACTACCCATAGAGTACATTATTATAAGTATGAGGTAAATACGACCTCTGGGTTGCCAGAGATATTTGAGGACAGATAAATCTCTGGATAAAATGTTAGAATCTATCTTAATCAATGTAATAGCGTTATTTGTAATGTAATATATGACTATTTCTTAGTTAAACAAAAATAAATTCATATGAGAATGTTTATTAAATATTATTTATGTATGATACAGTTTTATAAGCAAACTACCATTTCTCAATAAACAAACCAAAAAAATATTTTTATTATCACAGGTATAGTACAAAATTAATCGATATCTTCTTCATCATTAATAGACATGTCTTCAATTTCCATATCCTCCTCAGAATCTGGCTCATTTCCTAGATTTATGATTAACGCGTCTATCACATTGTCACACCTCATGTCGTGGTTCAATATCGGTTCTTAATTTTTTGTACATGCTCGTCACACTTTTGCCATATTTGCGGAGTAAATTCAGAAAACAATCTTGTGATGATTGGAATTTTGTCGTGTCGATGAATTTATATAATTTGAAGCTAAATTGTTCTTAAATCGGCCCACACTAGGTCAATGGGGTTGAAATCGGGATGATACGGCGGAAGGCCTTCGAAATTTCTTCAATGGTGTAATTTTCCATGACTTTCAATGTCTTTAAACTTGACATTGCAGGTATTTTTTCAACTGTACGCAATGGCATTATCCATCACAACCACTGAATTAGAAGCTAATTCATTTTTAAATTTGTGATGATACTGAACCTAGTTATGAAAATTTGTGGCATTCATATCCCCATGGTAATTCCTAAATAGTTATAGCACCGTCAACTAATCCGTCTCGATTGCCACCATGAACAATCACTAAACGACGCCCTTTGCCAATATATAAGTACCAGGCTCAGATTCGGAGTGCCAGCACATTTTGGAGTTGTTAAGGTAGGTTTCAGAAAATATGCTTCGATTTTCATTTCTCTATTTCCGTATGGCTCTTAAATACCTTACTCGCCATTCAGCTATACTATCTCTCGATCAAAATATGTCTCTTAGATTTATATTTCTTAAAGAAATGTTCCATCTTGTGTAAAAGCTGTCTTAAATAGGTACAACTGCAGTTCACAATACTATCATCTTTTAAAACTGCAAGCAGCTTACGAATACTTGGGATTTTTTATCAACAGTATAAAACTGATAAATTTTTCTTCGTATTACACCCATGTTAAAATCATCAATATGGATTCTCTTTTTTATTTGTTTAGGTTCCATGGAGACGAAAATTTCAGGTTTTCCGATGTTTGCAGATTCGAGTTTCCTTCAGCTACAATGAGGAAGTATTTAAAAAATAAAAATTAGTTCTTGAAATCATACTAGATGTCACTCGCGAGTTTTGGATTTTGTTTATGATATTCATTCAAATTTTATTTCTGACGTAATAAATGTAAATTGAGTATTTTCGATTAATAAATATGACATCGTTTTGTGTTTCTTATAATGTCTCACTTTCAAACTAATTTTAATTTATTTTAATTGTAAGTTTAAGTTGTTTATTATGTTACGTGTAAAGGAACGATGTTTGGTTGATACGTCAACATTAGTGATGAGCCAACTTATTGGTTGCTCGTAACTTTCGTCGAATTCAGGTTTGGAATGGAGAACAAAAATGATGATGAAGATAAAGTGTCATTATGCATCCACAAAACGAATGATATTAATATAAATATCAAAATCAATTCAATCTAGACTGTTACATAGTACTTGTGAAAGTCGAAAACTTTCCCAATGGTTCGCAAAACTAAGGCGGGAGATCTCTTACTGACAAGAAACGGCAAGAAACTCAGCAAGGGCTGCTTTTTTAATTTCAACTAAACAACTCATCTATACTATATTTGAGGGATCGTAACCACCTAACGCACACGATACCACCGCAGAGATTTTAAGAGACCATAACAACTCTAGGTACTTAGTAAATAATATATTTCAATAAAACGGATTTCTAGAGTAGGTTGTGTAGGAATTCAAATTATTATTAACAATATTATTGTAAGAACCAAAAAGAACAAACCCGCCGTACGAATTAACTTAACACATGGCTCGACGTCCGCCGTCGACATGCAAGATCAGTAGCAATATAATAACTGTACGTGTCTTTGACATTTGAAATTTAAAGTTACAACCTTGCTGTTCGTTTAGAGCAGACGTTTCTTGTTAATTGCTGAATGTTTATTAAGATGATTTAATTATGAATATAAGATTTAATAACTGATAATAGTTTTATAAAGTCTTAATTTCGAAAGCACAAGTTATTTGCACGTTACACTTTGCACAAACGTCATTTTAGCCAGCAGTTATGTTATTTTGTACGAATATATAGTATATTTGATACATATCGGGTAAGTTTATAGATAATAAACGGATTTTTCTTAAAAATTATTGTTTTTATGACTTTTGTTGCTGATTAATAAACCCTATTCATTCATTCACCATACATAATATAAAAAAAATATTGAGAATTGATGTAGTTTTGTTGTTGTAAGTTCAACAAACAACTAATAGCAATAAAACTAACTTACCTAGTTGTTATTTTTTCAGAACTTTTGTTAAATATTAAAATGAAAATTCCTAGACCTATTATGACATAAGTACCTATTTTATTTATAAAACGTAATATTATTGTATACCGTAGTTAGATGCCACTTTTAATTATATCACAGCATTCAATTAATTTCCGTAAATTTAAAAAACCTCTGTGCTCACTTCCATTATGTTAGTTTCCATTTTCCTCTATACAAATAAAAAATAAATTTATTCAAAGATTACTTTGTATTAATCGAGTTGCGATTGCATAACTCGAACTAGTTACATTTCAACTCGATATTAATCCAAGTTATCAGATCCATAACAACACTAACAAATCTATTCTCTTTGGTTTAACGTCATGAATTGACGTTTAGATCCAACAATTTGTGCTGCCATCTAGTAACATAATTTTTTGTAGTTTCTTTATTTTTTTTAAATACTTCCTCATTCTCATTATGCTGGGAGCTGACATTCCTGTATTACATTGTAAATAACATTTTTCACTTGTCGTACCCATCTTGAGATATTTTATCTCACGTATGTTTCGAACAAATTAGCACAAACAACTAAAACGTGTAACCATCACAGCATTTGCCTCTCCCATCCTGCCGCTCACATATCTCAAGCGGTGACTAGCACTTCCGCGCACACATACTCATATCCCTAACATGTTTTGATCCTAGACAGTGGTTTTACCTGTAGACACAGTTACGGTCTGCGGTTTTAACGTTTTATTATAGGTGGAATTTTCTTATAACATCCATTACCATTATTCTAGCTTTCATTAAAGAATCAATTATTCATTCTAATGATTCTTTGAAGTTTAGTTTTAGTTCTAGGTATATCTGTAATATATGAATAGAGGGCAATCCTTGACTTAATTTTTTCCTTTTAGTAAATAAAATAAATAATATGTACAAATAATTTTATCCACTTATTTTTCCATATAATGATTAACCTAGTTTTGTTTGATATTTCAGGATCTACAGAAACCCATAAAGATTTAACTGATTCCATGTATTATCAACATCTTCATTTATTTTAGAAAAGCACATAATATAAAATACATATTTTTATAAGTCTGCAATAACTTAACCGTCTTCATCATTGGAAAATTCAAGATAGATTTCATGTTCACTGTCAATTTCATTGGAAATCCTAAATTCCTGTGTAAACTTTCTAAAATCAATTTTATCTTTATAGGGTGTTATATTTGGACCACTGTTAGACTCAGAATGGCCAATAACAACAGTGTTAAAATGAGTCTTTTTATGTTTCTGAAGATAATTTTGAGAGTTGAATTTACTGCCACACACCTCACATTGTAATGTAGCATTTGTATGATGTCGTTTGAAATGATCAGTTCTCCGTGATGCAGAAAGGAATCTGGCATTGCAACCAATGCATTCATAAGGTTTTTCACCAGTATGGATACGAGTATGATACAATAAAGCTTCTTTTGTCACAAATTTACCATCACACAATGTGCATGCAAAGTTTTTCTCCTTGGTATGTTTCACCATATGAGCTTTTAACCTACTCTGAGCCCAGAATTTCTTATTACACAAGTTGCAAACATGATATTTATAATCACCATGTTCATATTGTATGTGCACGCGTAATGATACTTTTTGAGTATACTTTTTATTACAATAGTCACATGTATACCTCGCATTTGCTGGAGAGGCTCTAGTTTCTCTCTCGCAAACATTCAATTCTTTGTGCTTTTTGTATGTGGATTTACTTTTATACACTCTACCACAATCTTGACACACAACCTTCATAAAATGACTCAACTCATGATATTTAAATGATTGTTTATTCGTAAAACATTTTCCACATTCACTGCATATAATATTACAGTGTTTTTCAGATATATGTGTTTCAACACATGACGGTGAGCCGAATGTTTTTGTGCACTCGGTGCATTTGTATGTTTTTGGTGCATGTACCCTTACAAAATGGTTCCTAAGGTTTAAAGTTGAATTAAATGCTTTAAGACACTCTTTGCATCTTATTATTGAATAGTTATTGTCTGCAAGCATATCTTTAGTGCTGATTGGAATTATACAATTACCATGTAACTTTGGTTCACTATTTAATAACTGTATCAAGCCTAATTTTTCAGATTTTACGTGTAGTGAATTTAATTTGTTATATCTTTTACGAGCCATAGATATACTAGTTATATGCTTTCCAATATCATAAAATTGCTTGCTAGTAAAATCTGCTGTATTCAATGATACAAATAATGTTTTACAATTTTCAATTTCACTTCCTGTATTTTCCAAACTACTTATAAGGCTATTAACAGTATTAGTTAACAGTTCCGAATTAGATTTACTTGTTCTAATAAAGATGTAGCTATTTATAGAAGATTGAATGCACAATTTGCATACATGTTTGAATGTAAATATATAGTTGATAATCTGAAATTAACCAAAAAAATATTAGTTATATATTAATATTAGTTAGAATTAATTAAGCAAAAATAACTGAACTTATGTAAAGTTACCTCATTGCTAAAGACACCGCACAGAATTTCAAAAATTGGTACTAAGCTTTGAGTGGCTTTGATCGAGATGAAAACCTCATCTTCAACGTGAACAAGCCCTTCAACATCAGAACTAAAACACAAACAGCAGAAGTCCTCACCTCTTTTCCATATATTTCCTAGAATATTACTTAGAGCTGTCATAGTACCACTTTATTACTAAAGTCTAACAATTTATGGAGGATGAATATACTTGATCGGAATTTAAAATGCAAATATAAAAAAAAAACTTTCAGTCTTCTTATTTTATTGATGGCTTATCTGCGCATTTCGCACAATTCTGCCAATGTCAAGTAAATAAATTAATTTAACTTAAATTAACTTTCAGTCTTCACGCAATTAGTTCCCTTTTGACACATGTCATTGGACCGTAAATAGTGACCCAAAGAGTACATTTGTAGTGACCAAAATTACTCTTTCATAGTGACGCTTACAAACAAATCCGATGACAGATATTCGATTATTTTTCGTTTGTTATAATAGTATTTGACTTTATTGATAAGTTTAGGCCCTAAATAAATGCTGGATCCCAGGTATGCCCAAGAACAGTCATATTGATTTAGTTCAAAGAAAAATAATTTAATGTCAAACTTTTTGACGGTCGAAATTCTACATATAAGTTTTGCAATTTCATCTGAAACTATGATGATTTCCAGAACTGTAATGTAAACAAACGTAAAATATGCAAAAGATAAAAAAAAACTGTTGCGGAACATTGTGGTTTATCGTTTTCAGTTGAAACTTATGGTCCTTTTGATTTTTATATAAGAATAAAAAATTTGGAATTTTTTTCATAATATAGAGTTTAAGGTAAAAACTCGATCGTTACACTTTTTATTTTATTTGATCTATAATAACAATTTATCTCTATATAAAGGGTAAACAATGACAAAGTCGATATTAAATTGTTTTTTATTCATCGATAAATAAAATAATCATTTTATTAATAACATTTTACGATTAATAACTTGAAATCAAATTTGAGATGATGTTACAGGTATAATAGTACCAAATTTTTGGAAGCATTAATATTATTATGTAATGTATCCGATTTGAACTATAAGATTGAGGATAATAAACGATTAACGACACTCTTTAAAAAAAAAAGGACCAAAGTCGTAACTGTTTTTGGGACATTGAGATTCTGTATAAAATAAAACAGGGTGAAAAAATCTGCTCTTGCCGAATTTCTTCCCGGTTCTTTTCGGTACACGGTTTTCCGCTGTAGATTTATAAACCGATGGCGTAGCTCTCGACTTTCACAAGTGCTTGTAACAGTCTAGACTGATTAAATAATTTTGGTTTGGTTTTTTATTTTTATAAACAGTAATATGCATCTCTACGAATGCGCCTAGCTGCCATTTTGTGACATAATGATGTTTAATAATCAGTAGGTACCGTTAACAAATAAACACTGTTTAACTAGTAAACTTATCGACTTTGATTGTGTTAAGAGCCCTATTACAAATTTGCACTCTGTGAGATTAGGTATTTCGAAGCGTCCCGAGTTCTCGACAACTTGTTCAAGGTCACGAGTCTACAATACTGTTTTGAAACTACTACCAAGCTATTTTAATACTTTTTCCAACTTTTGTACACTTTTTTAGTATTTCTATGATGTGACTCATTATTGATTTTATAGGGTTATAGGGTTCTTAAGATCACACACAATTATTATATGTTTTGCCTTTTTCACGACTTTTATTATTTTATTTATTTTTTGTTTACCATAACCTCAATGTTCACATACAAATAAACCATTTTTGAAAATTCTTGTAAAAATTGAACTAACTAAAAATTATTAAATTGTCATACATAACAATAGTTTTGGAATTATTTATTAATATTTTAATTATTGATAAAAAAAAACACTTGTATTTCGTGCTATCTGTACCTTCTATTTTCGAATGACGTCGCGCGAGTTTTAGACAAGACACAGTGCGGGATTTGTGGGACTTTTATTTATCGATAGATATTTTTAATTTTCATTTCTACCATTTTAAGTAATATGCGTTTTGTTTGGAAATTTTAGATGTATGAAACAAACATGATTTGCAAAATGACCACTTTTATTAGAATACCTTTTGGTGGTTTGGAAGTAATTACAACTAATATGTGCTAAATAATAATATATTATGTGTTCCGTTAGACGTCCGAAGTCCATTATGGGAGAGAGTACATCGTTTTCTTACTTTTTATTTCCTGTAATGTCGCTATCTCCAGTTCCGTTTCCGCTGTACGTCCGCAGCGCCCCCTAGCGCCCTTAAGAAAAACTTTCTCCCGCCAAAGGCAAGCCGCCATATTTGTCATTGTTGCGTCGTTTTTTTTTCAACGGTTGGAGCATTTTATCAATGTCGCGAAAAATTTAAGAATTTTCGAGATTAAAGTAGAGAATTCTATGTTTTTGGTGTCGTGTGACATAAAATAAAGTGTTATTTCAAATATTTATTTGAAAAAAGTGCCTTCGTTCCGTAAATTTTTTTTATAACCGCGTAGTGGATACCTTCACATCATGAGTGATAAAAATTCACCTCGAAGAAGTTCCCAAAGTTCTTCATCGTCGCGGGGATCTTCATCGGATGCTTCGCGCGAGGCGAGTCCCCCGCCGGCTAAAAAGAAGAAGTCGGTGGCTCAACCTGACCGAATAATAGATAGCTCCGATTTGGATCGCAGGTTTGACATACTATCTCAACAACTGGTGAGTCACGTGAATAGTTTTTTACTGTCAAATTATACGCAGATTAATTCTATGCCTCGTACAATAGTTCCAAACCTTGATATCCCAAATGAAAATTTAGGTATAGAAAACGAGAGCTTTTTGCGTCCTCCTGTAGAAACGGTTTCAAAGCTAGGTGACATAGCAGAATTAGATGTATCCGTTAAAGAACCCTCGATATCTAAGGCAAATCCGGAAAGATTAGCAAAAATTTCTTCCATGCAAAGATTTGATTCACCTGATTGGAATTCAGTGCGATATTCGGACATTCAGAAAAAATATATTGCTACCCCCGCCTTCATCGAATTAAAAGTAAATGAAGAAATGCGACGTTTAGAAGACCCCTTCGCTCCTTTAAGATGGTTTCAAATGGAACGTAGTTTTGCGACACTATCGAACGCATTTCTAGCACAAAATGAATCGGTAAATTCAGCTTTACAAAACCTGATTGACTGGTCTGCCACATCTAATGTGCAAATGACGCCGTCGAGTCTTTATTCAAAACTGAAGGATTTATTTGGAAACGACTCGGCATATAAGAATGTATCTCACGATATCTTACAAATTATTTGTGGGAAAAGAGCGGAAGTTCTTGAACTACGACGTCGTACACTACTGAAATCCGTAAAAGATAAATATATTCGAGAAGATCTAGAGAAAATTCCTCCGTCTTGCGAATATATGTTTAACCCTCAACAATTATCGTCTTACATACAAAAAATTGGAGGACTGGATAAAATAGAAAAAGTGGGAAATCGTAACACAAAACAGCCTAGGCCAAAATCTCCCCAACCCTCTACGTCGTTCGAGAACAAGCCATTTCGAGTCACCAATAAGAAGCGTAATGGGCAAAGAGAAACCGGTAGTTCGCAAAAACCCTTCGAAGATTTCTCTAGAAATAGAAGAGGCGGACGGAAAGATAGAACCAGTAAAAGACATCATAATAAAAGAAAATGACTCGGTCACGTTTACGGGGGGATGTTTGAGGTTCTTCCACAAGAATTGGTCCCGGTTATACCCACCGAAAACGATACTAAGTTTAATAACTGGAACTCGAATTCCTTTCAAAAGTCACGCCCCTCTGGTATTGCCGAGCTTAGAACTAATGAAAAATTTTCAAACTCCGATTTCGCAAGCAATGTCGCTGGAGATAAATATACTCATCAAGAAAAAGGTTTTGGAAATAGCTCCTCTGACACCCTCCTTCATTTCACCAATGTTCCTAGTTATAAAATCAAAGGGAAAGTCCCGCATAATTTTGAACTTGAAAGCCTTAAATCGTTTCATGGATCCCAAACCATTTCGTCTCTTCAATCACCATCACATGCACGAGTTTCTTCAACCATTCGACTGGATGGTGAAGTTAGATCTCCACCAGGCTTACTTTCATCTGCCAATAAGCCCAGAGCATCGACCTTATCTCCGCGTCAGCTACAACGGACAGCTACTTCAAATGACGTGTCTACCGTTTGGACTAGCTGCGGCTCCTCGGTTATTCGCGTCAGTGACGAATTGGGTTGCAGAAAAGCTACGAGAAATGGGAATGCGCCTTGTAGTATATCTCGACGACTTTTTGTTGGTTCACCAGAACAGAAAGGTCTTAGAGACTCACGTATCAACAGCCATCAAATTCTTAACTTATCTAGGCTGGTCAATCAACAAAGAAAAGTCGATCACAAAACCTACACAATCGATCGAATTTCTTGGAATCGCTTGGGATATTCACCACAATACGAAATCCCTTCCCCCGAAAAAGCTGGCGAAGCTGCGCCAAATTTTATTGACTCGACTCGCTGCAGGCAGTTGGTCCCTCAAGCAGGCGCAATGTCTCTTAGGGCACCTCAATTTTGCTTCCTTCATCACCCACCGGGGAAGGTTGCATTGCCGAACTTTGCAGCGTCACAGCAACCAGCTTCGCCGTGCCATGAGCAAGCATTGTCAGCTCACCGCCGATGCAATCATAGAGCTGGAATGGTGGCTGGAAAATGTACATTTAAAAACACCCATCCATCTGAAGAAACCTGTTACAAATTACTTAATCACGGATGCTTCGGATATCCAATGGGGTGCTCTAGTCAACAACATCAGTGTACAGGGGCCCTGGGAGAATCATCAGAAATCTTGGCATTGCAATATGAAAGAAATGTACGCGGTGATAGCTGCGATTTCAGCACACGCCACGAACCTGAAAAACTCGAAAATTTTGTTTCAAACAGACAACAAAACAGTAATATCTTACATAAAAAACGAGGGCGGAACGAAGTCACAAAAATTATTGGATCTGACAAAGAAGTTGCTAACCCTAACAGACAACCTCAATATTATACTACTCCCTTATCATCTTCCAGGAATATACAACACCGAAGCCGATCACCTGTCGAGGAACCAAACCGGCGCAGAGTGGTCACTTCAAGGCAAAGCTACACTA